GTTAACACAAAGTTCTGAAAAACAGATCTGAAAAAACAGATACTAGCTCGTTGCCTAAGCTTCGGGTGTTGGCTTGCACGGTAATAATGCGCCGGTGGTCATTATTGATCCCCTGCCATATTATGCCAATGCAATGGAGGGCGGTGAATTATACTGAAGACGGAATCATTGGGAATCAATTTGAATTACAACAATGACACAATGCATTCCCATCAACAAATACTCACTCCTCTCTAACCATCTTGTAGGGTGACATTTCACTCTATGATGTACAAAACGGCATCATAAATATCAAAGCATCAATATCATCTGACCGAAGCATGTGACAACTACAGGTGAATGTGATAAATCAATGGGATAAATGTAATATGACTATAATAAATATAATAAAATCAATACTTGGGCATTATGAAATGAGAAATACCATCTAACTAATAACAAGTCAAAAGCATATCATTGCTGTTACGCCGAAACGTTGTATCTCTATTTTTGTCATATTTTTTATTACTTTTTGCATCTTGCATTCAAGCTAAGAATGTTTTTTCCTTCTCCTGTAAATTTATTATTTTAGAGATACAAGGTTTTGTTCTGACAGCAATGTACTACATACTATATGTACTATACAAAAACATTATCCAAATGATAAAATAATATAATCCTAACAGGGAGAAGCTGTACTTTTCAGACAGCGTTGCTAGCTTCCTCTTCCAACCTTATTCAAAACTACTTTTAATAGAATAATTGCTATACAACTATAGTATAACTGCATCTCTTTTAAGTATGCTCTGAAAGGGGAATTCCACCAATTTTGCAAATTCCGCAAATTCAATACGCTGTAAAAATGTTTTAATTTAAAAACGTTAGTGTACAGGCTGCCTTAAATTTTTGAGTTAGATGAATTTTTGAATAGTCAGTAAACAGAACAAGAATCTGTGTTTTATGCCCTATCGACTTATTATTTGAAGTTCACATAACTTTAAAGCAGCCCACACACCAATGTTTCTAAGTTAAAACCCCACATTTTTACATTGAAGTTAAGATGCATACAAAATCTTTCAGAGTGGTTTGATAACGTAGGCAATGTAGGAAACCTACCAACTCAGGTTTCTGTACAGTGGTGGTGATTGGAGCCAGAAGTCATGATGTTTACAACACAAATACAAACATTTTATTTACTATCCAAAATCACCAGTGAACTTTTAGGTTTAAGTTTATATATGTAATGTTGATGATGGTAAAATAGTGCTAAATCTAAAAACAAGTGTTCTTTGAGGAATATGTTGCCTTACAACACCCTGCATGTACCCCTCCACCATGAATAATTTAAAAATATGTGTTTAAGGCCAAAGTTTTATCTCAAAACTATCATAAAACAAGCTCTCAGGTATCAGATAGCATATTCATAACCATTTTATGTAATAACTTGCTGTGATGTAGCTTTTAGAGGCATTAAACAATTCATACTCTATCTCTAGATTGGAGCATTTCACATTAAACCACTCTGAATACCTTTGTTTATATTTTAGTAAGTAAATAACTTAAACATGTAGAAATATTGTTGGAATTCCCTTTTAATAGCTTTGAAAAAGTGCATTTTAGATTAAAATCTTATCTCAGAACTATTGTAAAACATTGTTTCAGACATCAGGCAGTGAACCATTTCATGTAATAACATCCTGTAATGTAGCTCTTAGAAGTATTAGGTTTTTATCACCTATAATTCTGGATTCTCTACATCTTAATGATTTAATTTTCCAGAAATCTTTGGATAAATGTACCAATAAAGGGTTCTTTGGAGCAATGTTGTATCAAACCATCTTTGGTTCCCTAAAGAAGACCCTCCACAAAGAAGGTCAAAAACCTCCATATAATGTAGAAGTCCTATAGCAATTAAAGGTTTTTCCTAGAACTGCATGTGTGGGCTGAAGCTAAGAGCCATATTTTTAAGAGTATGAGCCTTGTTGATATAGGGGTTCTCTAAGCCTCAGTGTCCCTTTTAGTTCCCTCAACACCAATCAATGGTCAATTGTGTAATACAGCCCAAGCCTCCACTGATAATCGATGACAGTATCACAGTGATGTGACCCTCCAGCAAAGAGAACAGAAGGACACAGACAAAGCCAGAGCACAGAGCAAAGTCTCAATATAGACATGGACAAGATAACTGCATTTTTCCTATTATGTAAGAAGCGTACGAGGACGCTGCCTGTTAACTTTTAATCTAAGTTAATGTAAAGCGTTTTTATTCCATGCAATTCTGGAGCATTTCTATTGGTCCATTCATCATGAAATTTTCACACAGCCACTGTGCTTAAATGATGTAGAAAAACAAAAAGAAAGATAAAAATGGAGATACTTGTTTTTTTGTTGCTTTTTTTTGGACAGCAACAATATAGCAGATTACATCTCATAATGTTTCTATATTCTACTGAGAGACTGATTGAAGACTCACTGAAAAGCAGATCTGTTTGGATTTACTTCGAAAGATGCTCAATTCAAAATCTTATCTTTAAAGTCCCAAGGAACACATAAAAAATATTTCTTTGATACTAAATTTGAGTGTGATATTAAACATTCGGTTTTTATGTTTTAATGAAAGTTTTAATGAAAAATATAAGATATAAATGTGATAAACCAGCATAAAAACAGCTGATCAGACCTACCTGAGAACTGTGTGGACATGGCTAATGAGCTTGATTGACAGCTCTGTCATACACTCCTAGCCTGCTCCTCTACACATACAGAACTAAAATCATTATTCAGCTTTTGTGACAGTACAAAAAAAGTCACAGATGAACAGATGTGCAGATAGACAGATGGACAGATGGACGAAGCAGTGTGTGAAGGAACGGACAAATAACGTTCGTGCATGGATAAATAAATGGCCGACAGGCAGCTACAGACAGGTGATCTTGCTTGCCAGCTTTTGGTTATGCTGGGTTAGCTTTAGCTCGCTAAGTTTCTCTGACTCTGAAACTCTTTTGTGTGGGTGGGGCACAAGATGCAGCCTTGTGATTGGGTCAAGGGAATGCTTACTCAAGATTACAGATCAGTTTACAACGAGAGGAGAGAAATATGGTGAAATATATCAGTCATTTATTGGTCATATTTATTGGTCATTGGATCATTATTCAAAGGGTTTACTTAACACATGTTTACTGTTTGCCCGCAAGAACAAGATTAACCTAATTAACCTAATTCAGAGTGGTTTGGTATGAAACGGTTTATTGTACATAAACATATTGATTTCTTTACAATGGTGGTGATAGGAACCAGGGGTTGCAATGACTACACCACAAATACAGCCATTTTATTTACTATCTAAAACCACAACTGAACCAGAGTTTTTAAATAGCCTGGTAAAAACTGTATAATAGTTGTAGTGGTAGTGGTTTTTAGCATTTATCTTTTTAATTTGATCAGTGTTATTGCCTTATATGATTTTAAATCAATACTCAGTTTCTTCAATTACTGTTAAGCCTTTTCACCTGTCTGAAAAGCACTTTGAGTTGCCACCACTATGAAAAACGCTCTATTGAGGTTCATAGACTTTTTAAACAGTGAAATACATGACTTTTCTGAGGCATAAAATGACACAAATATTTAGCACGGTGCTGGGTTATATATCATCTGTATTATGAGGATTTTCATGACCGTTCAAACCCTGTCTATTAATAAAGTTCTTATTCTTATACGATTATTACATACAGCTACAATCACTCACCCTAAAATTGATTTGATGTAACAATTATGTTATGCATTTATCTGCAACCAAACTGGTATTATGGTATTAAAAAAGTGATTCCAGGGATATAATGTATCTATCCTGTGTATAATAGGGTATCTCAAACTGGATGCAGTAAGAGAGGTGAGGGAATATTAGGTGAGCTGAGTTAACGCTCCTTTATTTGTCAGATAGGACGTGTAGAGTTTTAGACAGGCACAAAGATGGATGATACTTCAGTGTATGAAAACTCAGTGTAATCTATTATGTATGATGAGTGCTTTCTTTTCCACTGATCTTCTCCTCATCAAACCCATCAAACCCCATCACTACAAATGAAAAACAAAATGTGATTTGTTACAAGTACAGGCACAGTAACAAATTATAACTGATGAGTCACACATTTGATCATTCGTCTTTAACAGCACTTCTAGATCTCAGGAAAATGTCTTTAAGGCCATAGTGAAGAATGTTAATATGAGGGCAAATTAAAAAATGGTAAGCCTTTTAGGAGGGAACAGAAGGGAGAGGGGACAAACAAAAATATTGCATTGATCACACTGCAGACAGGCTGTCATTTTCACTAATTGGAGCAACAAACAAATTTGCCCCCTCTGGTGGCAAATTACATGAAGTGTAACAAATGGCAAACTGCATTTTGAGATGTAGAACAGTGAAAAACAAGTAAAATCAAATGTTCCAAGTAATATTAGTTGGTCAGCTGATTGTTTTACTCATTACAATACATAATACAGCATTGAATACTGAAAAAGCTCGAACATTAATAACTGCTTTTCACTCTGCTTGTACTAGATGCAATGAATAAGCTTAACGAAATATACTACAGAACAAAAAAATACATTTTAGAGGACAAAAGGCAGAAAGAACACAAAAAAAATACAAACAGACACTTAAACCAATAAATGTAGTAAATAAAATATAAAATGATGACTCCTTATCAGAAAAGATTGTGGCAACATTGGTCTCTGAAATAGTGACCACATATCGACACATTCTATTTTCTTTGTATCTGACAAGTATAATGAAAAGCACAAATGAAAATGGGACTTTCAGTACAGTTTTTTAATCAACCATTCAGGCCTGATCTAATGACAGACAAATAGTAAATGTACAATAAAGACCAAATTTAACCTCAAGTCTAATAGTATATTCCATGTAGCCAGACATTTAAATCAACGGTTTAGGCTGATCTGTCCTCAGGTATGAGCACCCATACAGGTAAAATGGTCAAGATAAGCAGTTCACTCTTTATGCTGAGTACAGAATCCTGTTTCTGTTCCCTCTGTTCTTGATTTTCTCTTTTCCAGTGGTATTAACTGTCTCTAAAAGCTGCAACACGGCTTCATTCTACCACCAACTCAAAACTCTCAGCCTCTTCAAACTCAGCATTCATTTGGCAGCTAGAAGGTCCAGCTCAGACATCTAAAAAGGGGAAATCAAAGACATAACATTAGAAATACTCTGTAGACCTGAGAAGAACATTCATTCATCCTATATCTCAGGATTTAATTAAGCTTTAGCGCAGATTCACAGGTGGGCAATGAAGCAAAAATATACTACGGTACTTTAAGACATTTTCATGATACACATTCAAATGTGATCGTAACATGAGCGCATGCAAATTTCACTACAGTTTTGTTATTTATCAGCCTCCTTCTTGGCACATCTGTACTATCCAAGTCATATCTGGTAGAAGTGCGTGGAAAGTTCAACGTAATAGTCTAACTGAAAAAAATGCTTGATTTGTGGTTAACTAACCAAAACTGTCATCAATCTCATATATAATGTTAATAGTAAAAATAAAAATAGAAAGAACATACCCAATAATTTGTGCACACAGCAATCTAATACAAAAATGGATGTACTTATTTTACATGCACACTGGTATAAAAAAATACCTTTAAATGTTCCATTTAAATTTTAGTGTGCTTTTTTAACTACGACACCACCCAAATAACAGTCAACACAAAACAAAGCTACTGCAGAAGCGTCTCCCACGCTACAACAATACAGCATAATTTTACTGTCTTAATAAATAACTTTTATTTCACATTTTAGTTTTTCCAGCCATCCTAAATTTAACACTATAAACTTTGATCAGTAGTGGGAGCAGCGCACTCACTGCTAGACCTCAAACTCCACATACAAGCTCAGCCATTGGCTCATGAGCTGTTCAATGCTGTTGTTTTACTGGCCACCACCACCTGCATGAATTAGCACATGCTTCATATAATAAGGTGCTGGTAGGCTGGCGCTTCATTTCACAGATTTCAAAGATTTAAGAAAGGAAAGGAGGACAAATCAAACAACCATTAAAAAAAAAAGTTTGGTCATCCCTGTTTTTTGCGTTGAAGGTAAGTTAACACATCCTCTACAGAGAAAACACTTAATTATGCCATTTCAGCACAACTTCTATCTGTTTATGCTGATGGTTAGATTTATTTCGCTTGATGTTCGCATTTCATTTACTGGTTGTTTACATTTTATATACTGACTGATTGGCCCAAATGCTCCAACTCTACCTGATTTGTTTTACTTGTAATAAATGTTGTTGCAACAACTTAATAAAGCAGGAACTTAACATTTATTTTAAAATCTGAGGTTCAAAGTTGGTTACATTTTTCCATGCTGATCCAAACTAAATTGAACCAAGGCCAAGAAACTGAGGACCAAACAGACCCGTGAAAGGGGTGAACCACGACACCTCCAGTATATACTATTAATACTAATACATCATTGCGGTGTACTGGATATATTTTGAACTGCAGTAACAAACATGTATGTAAACATTATGCTTATATGGGTTATTTTGAGAACAAGTAATTGGGTACTCATTTGAAAAAATTACAAGTATTCAAAGCTTAAAAAATGCTATTTTAACAAGCCCTATATGATACACTGAAAGGTGGGCCTTGAAGTAATTTATCACTACTATGATGACATACCTTGTATTGCCCACCCCTAAGATCTACTATGCAGTATGACCCACAAATGTCCCTTTGTCTCACCTTAATTTGTTGGACCCTCTTCCTCCGAGGGTTTTTCTTTACCAGGCAAACTCCAGGAATGTTCGGGTCAGGTTCTGGGGCGTTGGATACACTGTCGTCAGCTGCTGAGAGGTTAAAAGATCCTCCACAGAGCGAGGAAGAGGCCTGGAGCGCTCCCCTCGACACATCAGCCTTACGGATCACCTCAGGGGTCTGGAGCCTCTCAAACCCAAACAGCGTTTCACGGCGTGTGGGGGATGAGGCGGATTGCGGTTTCGGACTCTCAAAGGATCGGTCACCCATGCTCAAGCGGCTGTAGGACCGACGGACCTTGTTGGACCACACAGCGTCCTGCTCCGGTTCTCTAGGTGGGAGAGGGGGTGATGAAGGTGCCTGGATGGGGGACAGGACAGTAGGCTTGGGAGCTGATGTCTCAGTTTGGGGAGGACTTGAGACTTGGGACCTCTTTCTAGTAGCACTGGATGGTCTTTCCACATTTTCCTTGTTAGGCTCTGAAGACACCTGTGAAAGAAAAGAGTGGAATAAGTAAAATTTGGAAAAATTCTCAACATTTGTAGTGTAAACACTATAGTGTCTTGATGCGTCCTTGACAGCATTAAAGAACCACCTTAGTCAACTGTGTCATCACGGCAGAGACAAAAGCAGATATGTAGCTTCATCTTTGATCTCCTCAACCCTTTGTTTACAAGTTGTATTAGCAGTTCATGTGGTATATATTTGTAACAGGCCTTTCATTTACACAGACATGGACTCACGGTACATTTTTGTCTGACAACAAACACAGCAAGAGACTGACATAGTAAATGTGGGTGATATATTTCCTCCAGTCATGAAATCAAATTACTGGAGATGCATTTGAGACTCATGGAAATGCCAGGTGTAAACAACTATACATCTTGCCGTCCACTTATGATCATATCACTATAGATCACTCTGAATGTTAATACCAGATATGAACAGGGCCTAGAGGTGAGGTGACATGGCTGCCTAAACTAAACCAGCTTTAATTAACATTTCCATGTAGTAACAATCACTGTCCCTTGCCATGAAATGGTGTTGCAGTTTAGGCCATAATTTTTGTGGTTTGAAGGAATGGCAAATTTTCCTAGTACAAAACACAGAACTAAATTCCAACGCAACAAACAAATTAAATTCAAATCATTCTGTCAAGCCGTAATTAACACAAGAACAGATGGAGCCCATGTATGAATGCACTCTGTCAGAATTACCTGGGTTTTCCTTGGGGCAATTTTCCTTACAGTAATGGATCGTTTAACAGCCACTTGTGGAGCCTTGGTGGAAAAAAAGACAGTGTTACTAATACATTCAAAAGTTTGTAGACTATTACTCATCTAACTCTTCTTCCATATATAAAGGTTATTAAATACAAATTCCACCAACTTTTCTGCATAAGTCAATCATTAAGATGTAAACAAAGTAGTCCAGAGTGGTTTGATGTGAAATGCACCATTCTACAGAAACGTTCCAAGTCAGAATTGTTCACAGCACTGGTAATAGGAACCAGGCATCTGAAGTGCTTAATGCCTCTAAAAGCTCCCTCAAATGAAGTGACTATATGAATACGCAGCTGAGACACTGTTTTACACTAGCTTTAAGATAGGCTTTTGGTCTAAAATTAGTTTTTAATACATTTATGGCAGAGGGAAACATACAGGTTGCTGTAAGGCAAAACAGTTAATAGTGAAAAAAATTAACAATATTTTACCATTATCAACATTAGATGTAAAAAAAAATTCAGACATGTAGGTTCACTTGTCATCTTGTATAGTAAACATCTAATATCCATGGCTATATTTACGTTGCAGACATCACATCCCCTGGTTCCTATCACCACCACTGTAAAGAAATTGGAGTCTGTAAGTTTCTTCCTTAAAGCAGCGTTTCACATCAATACACTCTGAATGATTTTCTTTCACTTTCAAAGACTGAATTATGCATATATATATTTTTTTTTAATCTTCCGAATTCCTCTTTAACAGAGTCTACTCTTCACACGAGATGGTGGAACTCCAACTCATCCCACAGGTACTGGATGATGCTCCTTCACTCCCCTGATAGCAAATCCAATGCCCAGCCCAATGCTGTGGGGCTTTACACCTCTCTAGCCAAAGCTCAGCACTGGGCATGGTAACAGTGGGTTCATATGCAGCTGAGCATCTTGTTCTATTGTCAATGCTTTTCTATGAAGATCATAGAAGCTGTGTGTGCAACTGAACTCCTGTGTCAGCAATGGGTGCATCTTTAATAGATCATATCACTACTTAGAAAGAGTGTATGGATACTTTTGGACATACGGCGGAGACCTTGTAAAGAATTAAGAACTTTCCTACAGTAAAGTTATCTAGAAAGCGTAACGTTACTCACTACATATAAACGCTCTTACCTCAACTTTGGGTGGTAAGTTTTCCTCGTTCGCTGACAGTCTCGCAGATCGCCTTCGCGGTGGACTGCCTCCATCTGTGGCTAAGAATTAAACACGAAAAGGACTAAAATAATAGCTAATTAAGTAGCTACGTTTAAAATGGAAAGGTGTTACGATAATTAGAAACAGAAGTTCACAAAGAATTCTTCATTAGCGAGTTAGCTAGCTAACCGCTAGCTAGGTTAACTGAGTAACGTTAACCCTGAACCCACTAACAGCTGTAGCAGTTGAGACGCTAGCAAACGTTAGCTTCTGAAGACAATGACTAATTTTAAATAGTTCAGGTAAGGGGGTTTTCGTCGGCATCACTGTTAGTTACCCAAATCAATTCAATGACTGGACACTTTCGGTACAGGACAGTACTAGAAAGTGACTTACGTCTGCTCTGCCTGTTGTTTTTGCTTGTCTGTCCAGTCGACGCTGGTCGCGGTGTCCTCGGTGTTCTGCCGCTCATTTTGTAAAGTACCGCTAGCTAAGTAAGTAGTAAGTTAAGTGCAGCACCCACTCAAATCGCAAATGCACTTATAAACATGAGAACTCGAGATGCCGTTTAATTTCAATTCAAGTGGTTTCTAGCAGCATGCAAATATCAGCTCTCCACCAGCGTTTCAAAATTGCCCGCCTTATCGTTTCAAAAATGGCGGAACAGCGGTGCTCGACTCGTGAATGAATCCTTTGAACCGATTCTTTTGAACAATTTCACAAGTGCAATTTATTAATAGGCGAAGGACTCTAATAAAATATAATATTGCAACCAAAAATACATTCTTGACATTTTTAGTTAAAAAAAAACTAAATAATAAAATGCGACACTGCATTATTCATGAAGCCTTTAGATGGGCTGAACTGGACACTCGAATCGTTGAAAGAGGCAAAAGGAACCAAGGAGTCAGTTCATTAAAAGGAATCGCACTTCTCATCAAATGAGAAGGTACAATGCACACAATGACATTACTGAGGACTCTATCAGCTTAAAGGAACATCATTTAAAACATGTATAATTAAAATAATTAAACTTATGAATCGCACTGAAACAGCAGCAGCACGCTGCTGATGACCGAAATGTTTTAATGTAGCCGCTGGTCCAGTAGAAGGCGCTGCTCGTAACGCTAGTAGCTAGAAACCGCATCAACATATGAAGTCATTACTTTGCGACTATAGCGGAAGAGACGTGGCAAAAAAATGCTTCCCTAAAGCATACATCGCAAACATGAAGTGGAATAAGTAGACGAAGACATCCCTAATTCGGGGTTTTGGATTAAAGGTGTTGAGCTGTACTGATTCTTCACATCCCCGGTGAGTGGAGTAGCCTTAGTTTGGACGTTAATTGTGTTTAGGTTCTTGACAGTTCGTGTGAAAACAGCTAACGTCACTGTAAACATAGATCTACCAGAGATACCTTAGCGAGCTACATGCTAACGGATGACTACTGTGTCTGACTTACTGTTATACCTGCTGTGCTGTTATTACTTTGACACATAGTTAGCTAACTTGTGTAAATATGTACAGATCATTGATACTGGTTTAAGGTTTTCCTTTAGTTGGGCATGTTGAAGTAATTAGCTAGGTTAGCTAACGCCGAATCTACCCGGTATCCCTGTTTCCTACACAGTGTATTATTTAAAGGAGAATCCTGTTGATTTGTAGATTTGTATATAATTCAGTGGTTGAGATGTGTACAGAATCGTTCAGATGATTAAAATTAAAATGATGTAATGCACTGTAGAGAAACGTAGCTACAGTTTCCAATTTCTTTACATTTTTAGTGACAGAAACTAGACGTTGCGATGTCTACAACTGAAAAAATACAAATAAATTATAATTATAAATAAAAATGTTTTATTTACTGTCCAGTGTCATTTGAGTTTTTATATGTAGTGAGGACAAAATAGTAAAATAGAGAAAAATTTGAAAACAGAATTTTTCTTTGGGGACTATTTTGCCGTACAGTGCCCTTACTATGTGGTAAGTGACAACATGGGTGTGTTTGCTTGTAGTTCAACAGGCAGACCATGGGTCTGTGCAAGTGTCCGAAGCGGAAGGTTACAAACTTATTCTGTTTTGAACATCGAGTCAACGTTTGTGAGCACTGCCTGGTGTCCAATCACAGTAAGGTTTGTGATCTAATTCTTTTGGGTAGCTGTTTACTAAGAGATCTTCTGTGAACTATAGTGCTACTTTTGTGTGTTGACCTATTCTTTTGCTCTTCTGTTGTGCAGTGTATAGTACAGTCCTACCTGCAATGGCTCCAGGATAGTGATTACAATCCCAACTGCACTCTCTGTAATCAGCCTCTAAATTCCCAGGACACTGTGAGGTTGGTGTGCTATGGTAAGTAGGTCTAGAAATTGCCATATATATTTTATGGTCAAACTAGTAATGTGGCTGAGGAGTGGTAGTGTATTATGTGAGGTTTTAAATGACCTCGTTTTTACATGATGATAAACAAAAGATTACTGAGACTGAGAAGCTATCAAAAATAGCTTCATTGGGGCTAAATGGGGCCAAATTTGAGCAGTTCTATAATACTAGACAGGCAAATAGGCAAAGAAATTTGAATGAAATGTTTTGTGTCAAATATGTGACCATTTCCTCTTTATGTTCTTGTCCTATTCCATCTCAGATTTATTCCACTGGTCTTGTCTGAATGACTTGGCCTCACGGCTGCCCCTGTACACGGCACCAGCAGGTTACCAGTGCCCAACATGTCAGGGACCTGTCTTCCCTCCCACAAATTTGGCCAGTCCTGTGGCTGACGTTTTGAGATCGCAGCTGTCCTCTGTCAACTGGGCCAGGGCAGGACTGGGCCTTCCACTGGTGAGCATTATGACAACACTGTGACTGATGCACACAGTCATGTGAAAAAATTAGAACACTTCATTAAATATTTAGTTGTTTATTAAGAAATATAGACAATATTTGATCTTCTTTAAAACAATATCTATAGATAAAAGTGATGTAATTGCATCATCTTTGCAAAAATAATGAAAATTTGACATGATTATTTATTAGAGAAAAAAAGATGCCAATTCCTACTGACAAAAATTTAGGATACTCTATGCACTAATAGCTGGTATTTCCCTGTTTGGCTGAAATAACCTCAATTAGACATTTTCTATAACTGTCTACCAGTCTCTGACATCGACTGGGAGAATGTTTTTCCCACTCCTCCGTGCAGAATTTTAAAGAATTTCTTGCAGCCCGTTTTAAATCATGCCACAGCATCTCAGTGGGCTTTGATTTTGAGCAATTCTTTGGTGAATTTCCTGGAATGTTTTGGGTCATTGTCTTGTTGCATGGTCCACCTCTGCTTCAGCTTCAGTTTTTGGACAGATGGTCGTACATTTTCCTGAGAAACTCTCTGATACAATAAAGAATTCTTAGTGGATTCTGTGATTGAGAGCTTGTCAGGACCTGCTGCAGCAAAGCAGCCCTAAACCTTCACAGTTGGAATGAGGTTCTTGTGCTCAGATGCTGTGCTAAATATGTCTTCCGTTACTGTGCCCAAATAATTTAACTTTGAATGTGTCTGTCACTAATTGTTCCAGAAGTCCTGGTCTTTGTCTAGGTGTTCTCTAGTAAACCTTAGTCTTACTCTGATGTTTGTTTGTTTTTTGACAGCAAGGGTTTCCTCCTTCCATAAATAAGATCAAACTTGTGCAGTCTCTTTCTGATAGTAGATGCATGTACTTTGACATCAATTGTTCTGAGATCTTTTTAAATCACTTCCCAGATTAATATGCATCTACAACCTTCTTTCTGAAAGCCTCTGGGTGCCCTTTGGATCTCGCCATGGTGATACCACTCACTTCAACAATCAAGATCAGTGTCTGAGTTTTAAATAAGACATGCTCCTCCAAAATCCTCACTAGCAATGTTCTAATCATTTGCAGCTGATGTGGCATACCTGATTTTAGTTTTAGGTATTTTAAGTAGTAAGAAATATAGGGGCATTCTGACTTTTTCCTCACAAGAAAATTTTATTAAATTCTATTAATTCCATTTTTTAGAATTCATTTTCAAAGACATTTTTTCAGTCTTATTTGTTTAGTTATATTAATTATCTCTCAGTATTGTTAAAATGAAGATCAAATTTCCATATGTTTAAATATGTTAAAAAAGACAAAAGTTTTCATGGGGTGTCTTGTTTTTTTCACATCACTGTAAATGCAGTAAAGATGTAATGAAAAGTATAGGAGATTACAAGTTCAATCCCTGGGTGGATAGGTTGGGCCTCCCTCTCTTCTCATCACTCAGCAGAATGCTAGCCAAAGGAGGCATCTGTTCGGTTCAGCAGTTAGCATTTTCGTCCAAGTGTGTTCAACTGTCCAGTGATGTTGCGTTAGCAGCAGTAGGAAAATTTTACTCTTGACGTGACTCTGAGGAAGCTTGTGCTAGCCTTCATCAGTCCAGCTTTGGTAGCATTCTGTGACAGGGATAGACCTGGCTAGTGAGTAGAATTGGACATGACTAGATGGGGAGACAAATTGGGGGAAAATGCTATAAAAAGTAGACTGAAGACTGTTGCACAGGTTTTTTTGATAGCTTGGGCCAGTCATGAAACAAAAAGATTTTGTGTTATTTTGTTTATTGCCAGCCATTGCCTAGCTATCAAGATGACATAGTTGCCAGATATATTCAAAACATGAAGAATATATGTACAAAATCATTCTTGATATTATATAGTGATAGGCTAGTTAAAGGCCCACATACTTTTGGACCACGTTAAAACAGTTTGGCCATGGCCCTGCCCCCATTCTACAGTCCATAGTATTGATAGCAATCTTGTTTAAGGGGACAGCCAGGCCAGGGGTCACTGGCTTGACTAATAGCCGTCAAATAGAATTTTAAGGTTATTATAATTATGGATGCGATGATTAATTGATCTGAACTATAATGTTGATTAAAAAAATGGTTGGCAACACATCACATTATCGATTAGTTGGCATGAAGAAGTCCGCGCATCATATTTACATCACGTGATTGAAAAATCAAAATACAGGTAGCGCAAACTGAAGTACAGCGTCTCACCCCAAAAAAAAACAACTTTGAAAACATTTCACTTTAACATCATCTACACTAAGAAGTGTGCAAAACCAAACTCAGCAGGCAGTGTGACCGTCAGGCGTGATTTTGAGAAAGAATACACATTGCATCCACAGCAGAAACTTGGTTGCATATTGCACAGCATGGTTGGATATTAATACCTTACTAAAACTGAAGTCATGACTAAAAAACAGCACGTCACTATCTGCTTTTCTGTTATTTGTGTTTTAGTTTAGCCGATAGAATAAGCAGCCTTGACTAAAAGAAAAAGAGCTGCATTTTGAAACTCTTGGTCTAAGCTGATCGGTTAAACTACATGGTTTTCAGGGCTGCTTTCACGCTAATGAACACAGATGGATATTTTGAATGAGTTGTTTCCATGAGGTCACGAAAACTAACATAACACATATTTATTTACATAAATCCACCTGCTTGGCCTATAACAGTTTAACCCTACCTACACACTGAAGTTTTAAGAAGTGTTTCAACCCACACTGCTTTTTGAATGAGGCACAATGCAGGACAGCCAATCAGAACAGAGCTCATTTATTTATATCAATCTTAAAGGCACGGTAACAAAAACAGCCTGTTTAATAGTGAAAAAAAGGATAGGAAAATGTTCATGTAAAAACAATGTTTTTGGTACATAATACAACATAAACCTAATAAGTCAACCTAAAATACAAAAAAACTGTATTGATATTGACACTTGGACTCTTGGCTGTTGAATGATGGTTTATTCCAGATCTTCTAAAACTTCTGTATCGCATTTTCTTCAGGTTGAAGACAAAGATGAGATTGAGGAGAGCACATCACACGATGTCACTGACTATACAGATTGGACTTTTGATGGTGAGTTTATAAAGATTTTACTCGTTCAAAGACCTTTTCTTTATATACAACATTTTGAGACTGTGTTACATGTTGGTTTACTCCTTTTTGAAAAGTGTTTAGCACGTAGAATTCTCCACAGCTGGACTCATTGTACTTCTACCTTAGTATCTTTGTTATTACAGTATGTAGCACCAGAGGCATTATCAGAGCAAGTGACTCTGGTTGAGGCTGAGTTATAAATGTGATACTTCGTAATGCCCAACATTGTGGTTTTATCACAAGAAATCCTGCCTTCAATAAAAAGCGCTTTTCACCTGGTTGGCATAACCAGGAAAAAGCCACACTTGTTGTGGAGATACAGTGCTGTGGAAAAGTCGTAGGCCATCTGGAAAAATGACATGTACAGCTAATTATCTGGGCAATATTATAGTGTTTATTTCTTTGGGGAAAAACTGAAATGACAATAAATACATAGAATCACAATGTATTGTTTATTTTGTGTCCACTAACCTCTAAACAACTTATTTATATAAATTATTTTGGTTATTTTATCTTAGACTTCAAATATTTTTAAACACTAGCTTGGGGGTTTAAGCTCATCCCCCATTCAAGTAGATTCAAGCCCGGTCTTTTATAAAAATCCTCTAATCTGTCTGCACGTCAGCCTCGGCTGTGGAATCTGTGTCTGCCTCATACACTCCAGAGCCGACGATCAGTCCGGTGCCTCCACATCAGGACATGGGGTTGAGCCACAGCACACACAATAATGGAGGGCTGGGGGTCCAAGAGCACTCCGTAATCAACATGATTGCAGCCACTGCGCCTGACACCATCACTATCAGCAAAGGTATAGTGTTTCCTATTACTTCAAACATTTCTCTTAGTAATTTAGCTTTATGCTAACTGTGGTAAATGAACCCATAAGACAGAAATTGACAGTGGTGTTTTCATTCCATAAATGTAAACTTATAATAGTCATTGGGGTCTATGGAACCCACAAAGCAACAGTCTGCAACAGGTTGTTGTGCAATAAAATAGCTCCTTCCTGTCTGCCACATTGAGTGGCGAACCCCAAGCAGTTCCTGACTTTGCTTTTAACTGTGTGTTAATGCTGCTACCATTGTTATTAACTCATATTCTGTATCTTCTCCCAGCCTCCTCACCTAGAAAAGTGTATGACACACGAGAATCAGGCCACACTTCAGTGACGCAAATCGACTTTGATGACGATAAATACCGGCGGAGGCCAGCCCTGAGCTGGTTTGCGCAGATATTAAAGTGAGTTTTTGAATATAAATGCAATTCCACGCTGTGCAATTAATCATGTAATTGTGTATTTACATTTAGTTAGTATAGTAAAATGATAGTGATACTCTAATTCTAGAGTTCTTAAGGTTGGTTGCATACACCATATATACAAAGGTATGGAGACAACCCTTCTAATTTGTGAATTCAGCTGCACCCATTGCTGACACATGCATTCAAATGTACACACACATAGCTTTTATAATCTCCACAACAAAGCACAGTAGATATAACGGGATGCTCTCTGCACATGAGCCTAAGATCACCATACCCAATGCCAAACTTTGGTGGTTAAATGTATTATTAGCTAACTTCGGTTCTAGTATTTTATATGATATTCCTCTCAACAATTTTTCTACCTCTCGACAGGAACCGCCTGGGGACAAAGAGAAAAACCTTGACGCTGAAGCAGAGAATCGTCATGTTTCTGCTGATCGGTATGATTGGCTTCTTCACCCTCATCATCATCATGGCTAAACTGGGCCGGGCTTCGGCCGATGAAGACCCCAACCTGGACCCCATGCTGAACCCTAACATAAGGGTGGGCAACATGTGAGGAGCGAAAGGCCTCTACTGCCTCTGGACCTGTGGTGCATTTCACCACAAAATCCAGCTCGAATAGAACAAAACGGAAGCAGGAAGTGACCTTCAGAGCGCTGGGACCAGCGAATAGACGCCTCCTATGTGGCATTGCAGGAATGGTGACCCAACACTTTTTCTGTCTGGTGGTTGGAGGAAGTGGCTGCCTTCTGTCTTTCCTTAGTCTGGCTGCCGGCAGATGCAAAAGTGTTTATACCAACGTATCTTCTAATGCTGTCTTCTATGAGTCAACACTGAATTTGCACTTAAGAAGACAGAAGAGTGTGTAAATGTTTCATTAGACCATCTTTAGTTCTTGATGCATTCTTGTATACTAAAATGCAGTAATCAGGTGGGTGGTGGGGAGGTGACTTTTTCTTAAAGCAATACGGCCAATCGGACACATTGTGCTTCTAGGTGTTTTGCAGTTTAATATGTTATTCATTACAGAGCCTGACCGATATCTTGGTTGGCTGATGTTATTGGCTGATTAGCCTCGGTTTTAGCGAGCTGTATCTGCGGAGAACTCTTTCCATGAAGAGAAATAAGAAGCATTTAACAGAAAACAAAATGGCAAATAATTTGAGGTAGCTCCACCCCTAGTGCTGCAATTCTTAGATTATTTAAGACTGAGTTTCTGCTGTTTATTTGAGTTTAAAAAACTCAACCATTTACTACTGACAGTCCTATCAGTCAGTAAAGTACTGTTTATTTAAAACTATTGGCGTATACAATTTAAAGTCTAAAATATAAAAACAAATTTATATCGACTGATGTCAATTATCAAAAGTTGTAGCCCCTTAATATCAGTATTGTACCGTAATTCGTTCTTGTATCTGTTACCAAGTCTGCCGTTCGTGGCTCCAAACAGCATCTACAACCAGTGGAATGAAGATGTGTCCAAGTACAAGTGAAGTCCATACCAAATCTTTGGAATGTAGATGGGAAGAATGATACAGAGTCTTTAACTGACTAGATAATTTGGTTAAACACTTTTCCTGTGTCTTTCTTGTATGTTCCAAATAATACCTGGATTTTCAGATTAAAAGCTGAATCCACAGAGCTGTGCTTGAAATCATAAACATAATTCCCCAGAGAACTTCCATGTGGCTTTTGCGCTTTAAGATTTATTTTTGTCTGTATATCTGATTGAAACTATGATATTGAAATCATCTCTGGCTGTGTTAACACTACACTGTTGTTTGCACTTTCTCCCCTTTTACAATTCTTGCCCTGCTGTTCTTTACTTTGAAATGTTTCTCAATGTATGATGGGAGATACTGTACTGTATGAACTTTACAACAGACACCGGAGCTTCTTTAGGAGAGAAGAGATATGTGATAGTACGGTATTAAACTCTGAGGATTTCACTCTGTTCACAGCAATCTCGCTATTAAATGATGAAATGTAAAAATTGAAACTTATTTCTGTTTTCTTCACACTGTGTTTCAGTAGTACATAAGCATCAAGATGATTGCATCAGCAAGAGATTGAGCTAGTATTATGAAGGTGTAAACAGCCTATATGAGCATTCAGGCAATTAAAAAAATTACAAAAACATGTAGAAGGGCTGCACGATAAATCGTATTTTCATTGTTATCACAGTATACGTTTTTGTGATAAACACGGATCAAATTACCCCAGAGTGCCAGAATGAGGCAATTACATGGCCGAGAACATAGAGTCAGAAGCCTGCCTAGTGCTTTCTGTGCTGGGTTCCACCTGTGGAGAGTTGTGTGTAAAATATGTGAAGCAGTAAAAGTTACTGTTACATCAGGCTTGCATTATAAGGATACTTATGATCATTATTTTAATTGTAATGGATCACTTGTCATATCATCATAATCATGATAGCCAACAGCTTTATCAAACACTATATGTTATGTCCATATCGTGCTGCTCTTAACTGCAGTGGTATATTTTAATTAAACCGTTGAATAAACCCTGTAAGACCAGTTTCCAGGACATGAATTAGGTTTTTTTGTATTTTTATTTTAAAGAATACTTAATGAAACTAATCTCATGGTAAATCTAAATCTTTTAACCTCACTTTAAAAGAAAAGAAAAGTTGAAAAAACTATTTTCACATGTTGAAATTTAGGGATTAGGGTTTAGGACAGCCACCCCCTCATACAAAGTACCCTAGAAATTATTATTTTGTTTACATTTAGCTTATACCTATCTCAGTTAATGCCTGGGATTTAAACAGATCATGCATTTGCAGGATGCATCATTCTAAAGAGGCCTGTTAAGTCAGAATTGTTCGCAGTAGAGGTGATAGGAACTAGAGGTCTAAAGCATTTAGAGAGCCTCTAAAGGCTCTCTCACAGACAGTTTTCCGCAAAATGGATACCAATACATTTCTTGGGGCCTGATATATTGCTTTACAATAGTTTGGAGATGAGGATTTTGGCAGAGGGTTACAGGGAGGGCACAATAGTACCCAAGGAAAAGGATTTTTTCTGATGTTATTTTTACTATAATAAACATTACATATAAACATTCAGAAGACGTGTAGGTTTGCTGGTCATTTTGGATAGTACATGAAATATATTTGCATTATGTTCAGTAGACATCACGACCCCTGGTTCCTATCACTACCATTATAATGAAATCCAAGTTGGTAAGTTGCTCTATAGCTCGTCATTTCACATTAAACCACTATGAATAGCGTTTGTAATGATTAAACTTTGCAGAAATTTTGAAATACTGGTGGAATTACCCTTTCATTCTGAAATTGAGGGTATTAATAAGGAGTTTGTTTCCTCTTTGCTGCAGTAACAGTTTCTACTCTTCTGGGAAGGCTTTACACTAGATGTTGGAACATTGCTGTGAGGATTTGATTTGCAGCCACAAGTTGTGAGGTCACATACTGATGTTGGATGATGAGATCTGCCACTCCAGCTCATCCAAAAACTTTTGGAAGGAGATTTATCACTCCAGAAAACACAGTTCCACAGCTCCACAGCCCAGTGCTGGAGGGCTTTATATCCCTTTAGCTGACACTTGGCATTGGACATGGTGATCTTAGGCTCATGTGCATCTGCTCCATATAACAAAATCTTAGTATTACAACTGCAGCAGTGACTCTGCAGCACCAGATTGTAACTGCTTTGCTTTGTTGGGTGAAGGGTGTGATATGCGACTCACAGACTAACAACAGTGCGATGAGTCCATGCAATGCATTCATACAGCCCAGCACATACCAATAGAAACAGACAACCAGGAACAGCTAACCATGAAATTAACACAAATACACTGATAACTGTACATATTTATCAAGTATTTAAAGCGCCCATGTCAAATTTCCCTCACTTTTTTAAACATTAAAGAGCTTGAGGTAATATGTAAACACTGTTAAAAAAAATCCATTCACTACCCAGTCCATAGAGTCCATGTATGGAAACCCAGCTGTTGTGCCTTTAAGACTGATCTATGTAAATGAGTTCTGTTCTGATTGGTTGCCCTGTATTGCGTCTCATTCAAAAAGCTGTCAAGGCTGAAACACTCCTTATAACTTCAGTGTGAATGGGTGGAGAACCTTCTATAGGCTGAATAGGTAGATGTATGTAAATGTGTTGGTTTTGTGACATCACGTCGGTATCTTTCCACATAGGGACTGGACAGACTGGAGAATGAAGGTATGTTGTGAAATTTGAATTGTGTTTCCATACAAGATCAAACTCTTTTATTTAGATATGATATGGGCCCTTTAATGTTATAAAATATCATTAGAATAGTCATAGTAATGTCATATTAGTGACAACCAGCCTATCATAACAAGTGAAACACAGTATCAGGGAGAGTCTCATTTTGCTTGATGATGAGGTGGAGGTGGCTCACCCTGGTGCCATATTTCCACTGTTTTTCATATGGTTTTGTACTGAGCACGAAGCATTGTGGGTGATGAAAGGTCTTGATGAATACACCAGCTGAGTCCTTCAGTGTCTCTAAAAAGAAAGATGCATTTTTCTGATGCATGTGCAGTCCTGCAGTCCACATTTGTGCGTGCTTGCCATTCAAAGTGGTGCTCAGTAGCGTCATCTATGTGCCTTTACTTGGCCTTAATGCGGATTCTGAAGCAGCTAAAGGTGATAAAGGTGAGGACCAGAGTGGATGGGTTTTGTTTACAGCTGTTGACATTCAGATGCAAGTTAAAATGTATTTGTTTATTAATTGAACCAGTAATTCAGCTGCATTATGCTTGTAATCTGAACAGAGCCACTGTAGATGACTACATTTAGCTCTTTTTAAAAAATGAATATAAACAATAGGCCAGTTTGTCCAAAATGCACAAGTTTAAACCAAGCATCCTTGAGGTTTCTTGCTGTATAGGGCTGCACATTGTTGAAGTCACCAAAGTGTGGACTTTCAGGAGAGCTGCAGGGCTTAGGGTGACATTTGAGACTGCTGGGCCTATGGCTGCAACCAAAACTACATATTTATGTGCTAAATAGTATGTCAGAATAGTACACCACCATCAGAAGAACAATTTAGGAGTTGTACGTTAGTATTAACCTTTTTAAAAGCGACTGGCTTATTAGATAGGATATGTTAGCAAAAAGTAGGGAAATCTTGTCCATACTCCACCATAGCCAGTGCTTAAAGAGGAATTCCACCCATTTTTCAACACTTCTGCATAATTCAGTGGTTGAAATATAAACAAAGTCATTCTGAATGGTTTGATGTAAAATAGTTTATTTGCAGAGAAACTTACAGAATCAGATTTCTTTACAGTAGTGGTGATAGGAACCAGCAGTGCTGATGTCTACAATGCCAATATAGCTATTTTATTCACTATCCAAAACCACCAGTGAACCTACATGTGTCTTTGAGTTTTTATGTAATGTGATGGCAGAATAGTGGTAAATATAAAAATATAAGTTTTATTTAAAGACTATTTTGCCTTCAAGCATCTTTCATGTTTCATGTATCCCTCCACCATGAATGGATTAAAACACGTTTGAGAACCAAACTTCATCATAAAACTACTGTAAAAAGGCAGTCTCAGGCAGTGTATTTATAACCATTTCATGTAATACCTTTCTGGAAGGGAGGTTTTAGAGGCATTAAACTCTTCAGAAGTCTGGTTTTTAACACCACCACTGTGAACAATTCTGACTCTGTAAGTTTCTCTAGAACGAAGCATTTCACACCAAACTCCTCTGAATGACTTTGGTGGAGGCTTCTAGCCAACCGTCTAAAGGGGGCGCTAATGCAACACTGTGGATGTGGTGCGCCTGAAAGCCAAAGAAGAAGAAGTAGAAGACGACGAAGAAGAAGGAGAAAACCCTGAAGGCCAAAATGACGGATGCTTCGGTGAGTATTTGATGAATCTCTTGCTTTTATTTTGCTGCCTCAAGCCGCATTCAATCCGCTAATATGTTGTATATTCACAGGTGGAGATCGTGGAGGGCTGCCGTCTTCCTGTGCTCCGGAAAAATCAGGAAAATGAAGACGAGTGGCGTAAGTGCTCTCCGTTAGCATCCGCTGCTAACGCGCTAACTGAATAATAACAAACAGCGCGCTGTCATGGCGGAGCAGCATGTAAACAAAAGACAGGCATGTGTATATATAAGCAAATAATAAAACAACTTCATACCATTATAGCTGTTTTGAGAACATATATTGTACATAAAGTCCGACTTGTTTTCCGTTATTGCTGTCATGCGACGTTGAGGCTGTGAAGTTGTTTCCCGAAGCTGATGACAAACCCGTTCATTCATAAAGTGTCCTGGAGATATTTTACAAAACAGAATTTCTTAGTAAAGCCGAAATACTTGATCCCAGCTCCTTCTTCTATTGGGCAGACTTGATTTGAGCTTATCATGATAACTTTAGTGAGAAACCCTGTTTTGTGAAGTAACTCACCTGAGGACTTAAAAGCAGTCATACTTCAGGGAGCTGTTGAAGCTGATTGTTCTTTCCTCTGTAATGTTTTACTTGATTGTAAAGCGTTTAGCTATACCTAGATATGTGATAATGCAGTTGCTTCAAATGTGTCCACTATTTAACTGTGATATTTCTCATCTCCTCTAGCGTTGGCTGAAATTCTCAGCGTCAAAGATACTCTTGGGAGAAAGCTCTACTATGTTCACTATGTTGACTGTAAGTACATTTGTTTATATGTAGCCACAAAACTTGAGCATCAGTGACTTACACTAACTAGTTTTCGAGGTGTTTCACAGTTAAGTAATATGCCACATTCTGACATTTTTTTAATTTTATTTATTCATATCTTCATGTATTTATTTATTTGTAGTTAACAAGCGTCTGGATGAATGGGTCACTCCAGACCGGCTGGACATGAAAAAGCTCCAGTTCCCAAAGAAGGAGGCGAAGACACCCACGAAGAACGGTCTGCCTGGGTCTCGGCCCAGCTCACCAGATAGAGACGTGGTAAGAGAGGCCACATTAGATCATTTTCACCCCTGCCTACATTCAGCACTTACCAGTTCATTACACTGTTCTGAAGTCCCACTAACTTGGAGCCAGTTTTGCGTTTTTTTTTAAATGAATACATGAAATATTTAAATGCATAAAAAAAATTTTTCTTTTTTTTCCCGATTGCTGTCATGTGAAATTGTTTTCCAAAGCTGATGGCAACCCTTTTCTTGACTGTCCTGGAGGTGTTTCACAAGACAGGTTTTCTGAATAAGGCTGAATGACTTGAACCCACAGTAAGGACTGTCCAGTAGGAATGTGTCTTAACCTTTCTCCTATTAGACACGGTTAACTTTGGGCTATAGTTATTAGGTTAGAAACCTTGTTTTGTGAAATACCCTCGCTGGGGATGTTTTGAATACAATCCAGTCATATCAACGTTAATGTTATCCGCTCTTCCTTTTGAACTATTTTACTTGACTTTAAAGGTAGATCCAGGGATGTGTTAATGCAAGATTACCAGAAAAGTCACAGTCATGTACAGGTGTTCACATGATTTGTACTCTTTAATTCTGATCTCTTCCTTTCTGTTCAAATTCAGAGGAAGAGTCTAGATCTCAACGTTCAGTCTGCTTCAGCTCCTTCCAGAGGCAAAACCCTTCCCACTCCGGTACTGATAAACTTTGCCCATTCTACACTAAAAACACCCTTTTCAATTACTGCAAGACATTTGAATGAATGGGCTCAATATTCTGTGCTGCTTGAAAAAGCCCCGATGAGGTCCTCTCCTGACACTTGCCACAAAGTGGAAGGGATGTGCTTAAAGTGACTTTTGCCTCATCTGTCTTTGATGAGACTATATTGCACCATATGGTAAGAGTATATGGCCACAGTTAATAAGTGCTTGCAGAAGAAAAACAACTATAGGACATGTAGATTTTGATTGTTGGTTGATCAAGTAAAGTCAACAGTGATTGAAAACAAAGCTTGTCAGTGAACATTAGAAAGGGTAAGAAAATCCTATTTAACATGCCTGTGTGTGCAGCAAGTCATAGCAATGTGTAAATATTTGACTATTTTACTCTGTATATAACAGTATATATGTGATTTATTGTGTAGTCTGTATGGTGTGGGCCATCATGTTTACCTACAGATCTCAGTAATACAGTTCTTATTTTTGGGTGCATAATTTCGTTCACTTTTTAGCAAATGTATATTTAAACAAATAGTGGTGTGGTAGAAAGACATATTTGAATGTTGTATGTTTATGTCTCGTTAAAAAAGGTAGTTTTGATCTTATTCTGATTGCGTTTTACAGAAGAGAAAAGCTGAGTCTGTCTCTTTGGCATCTCAAGTTTCTGCTGTGACGTCAGTGCCTTCGCTTCCCAGCTCTGCAGAGGCCTCGCAGGCGTCCGTGTACCCAGCAGTCCGAGAAGCTTTCAGCACTAAATCCAGAGAGGACGAACAGCTCACCTCGATCACCACGGTAACGGTATTTTCTCTCTCAGTTCCACAACATCCACAGACACTTGACCTGTTGTTTAGTTATTAATATAGCTTTTACAACTCTGTTCTAGGGTGTAGGGGAAAATGGCCTTTGTGCTTATGTGCGTTTTCTCTCTGGCAGAATGGCACAACGAGGCGTATTCTCCCATCTCAGCCTGGCAGGAAGAGGAAGAATTGCGGTACAGATGAGGTAAGCACTCTGATTTCTCTGATCCTCAGAACTTTTTACTATTTAATATCCACCTTATGTTCCATTTAAGACTGTGTGTCTGCACTCCCATGTTCATTTAATTGGAAAACCACTTCATGTTTGGACTGCAATATGTTGCTTATTGCCCCATTATTAGGAATGTCCGGATCTAGTTATTATCACAAATTTGAGTCATATAAAATCAAGTTTCTGCTGATACTTTGCAATTTAATAGATAATATAGCTATACAGTGTATAGTTAGAGTACATTACAGTTAGTAAGGTAAGTGCAGTGGAGCTACGTGGCTAATATAATAGAAGTCTAGGTTACTCTAGAAGATCTTAAGTGACCTAGACCGCTCGAAGTTCAGACACCAAATATGTCTTGGCCAAGCAAATACTTTTTGGCTAAGCGTGAAAACTGTCTAAATTAGATTTTTTGTTGTTGTTGTTGTTAAACCATTCCTTAAATGTTGAGCCCTGATAATTGGTAGCTGATTGGTTAGTCAAAACAAAGAGTCAGGGTTAATGTAGCCAATACGATCCATTAAAATATGGTCAGGACATCCCTACCCATTACATGTATCATCTGTTTGTCTATAGTATGGGTCCAGATATCAATTAGACACGTAGATATAAAATCCAGATATCTGTTAATATCTAGTAAACTTTGAACACATGCATTTGTTATTAATACACTAGCAGTGACGATGCAAAGTCTACAGTGACCATCAGGAGAGCTTCATACACACCTGCTAAAGCTACTGATAACATACTCCTGCTCACTAACACCTGAGAATAGGGCTTTTTGTCTAGCACTGAAAACACTCACTATTTAACTCAAACTGCACATACCAACACAGACTCCTTACTGAGCAGGAAAACAGAACAAAGACCAGAAATCAAGCCCACCCTGTTATTAAAGAGTAAAATCTGCTATGCTGCGACTTTTTTCCTCCCCTCTCAAATGAAAGTGTCCCAAAGCCTTTGCAACCCTTTTGTTTCTCTTGATAGATGATAAAGGTATTCCAGTATAACAGCCCTCGCAACGCCAGTGGCTGTCTGCCGCCAGGAGAGGTTCGTCTCATTTCTTTATCATTGCCTGTTTGCTGTGTGTCTGTCGGAGAATAGAGAGCAGTGGCCCCACATACATGAGTGCTGTACAAAAGTCTTCATTTAAGCTCAGGACAAAGAGAGGGAGACCTGACTATAGTTCAGCATCTGTTCTGAGAGATTCTAAATATATTGGATCTTATAATAGTATGTGATGTGTCCATTAACATTAGAGAAGAGTTAAAATATTTTTTTTTGTGCTTTCAGTTGAAAACTTTCATCAGCAAGGATTTCATAATTTACAAAATGAAGTGTAAGAGAAATTTTTCAAGAAATAATTAATCATTTTTATTGAATTATTAATGGTAAGCCATTTCAGTTGTTTTCCTGATTTGTCTTAAAGTTCAGAATTTTACCCTAAAACTCTCATCACACTCCAAAATACACATTAAAAGTACAGAAGAGGCATCACTTGTTAATAGATAATTTTGAGTGTCTGTCTTGTAACTTGTTCCCTAAACTCCACCCCGGCATCAGGACTCTCAGGACAGCTCGGACGGAATCCCATCGGCTCCCCGCATGACTGGCAGTTTGGTGTCAGACCGCAGCCACGATGACATTGTTACGCGCATGAAGAACATTGACTGCATCGAGCTGGGTCGTCACCGGCTCAAGCCCTGGTATTTCTCACCGTACCCACAGGAGCTGACTTCTCTGCCTGTCCTCTACCTCTGCGAGTTCTGCCTCAAGTATCTCAAGAGCCTCAAGTGTCTGCAGCGGCACCTGGTGAGAGACGCATTCTTCACAGCTCACAGGACCTTAGTACAAAGCTTTCCTGAGTTGAAGTTAAGTGTTAGAGGACCAGTGGTCAATTGTATAAAACATCTAAAGGGAATTTTAATCTTAAGTTTCCCCCTTTACATTAATTAAAATGTGTAACATTTCTTCAGGGAAGCATTTAAGTGGAATTTGAAAATATTAATTGAGTTTTAGACCCTAAGTTTAATTTTCTGCTTTAAATTCATTGCTTAAGCATTTAACTTAAGATAAATACTTTTGATGTTTAATGGAGGTGGCCACAGGATTAAGAACTACAGCAGTTGTGGTCTCTGGCTCAAGACTACCTTCATAAACCTTCTAGACTGCTGGATGTTACTGCCAAGGCCTAATATTACTTTACTGAATAAGAAATGTCATTTGTCTGCTGATTTCTCCTGTCATACTACTTTTTCTCCTGTCAGATTACTAGATATAACTTGCATAATTTTAACTATAGCGTTTATCTAGTAATTTTGGTCATTGCAGTGACCAAAACTTTTGATTCTCAACAAATTAATGGTTATTTTAATATGTTAATTTAACTTCAGTTTAAACACACAGAGTACATTTAAATGGTATAAAACAGATACCATATTATTGGATATTTTTAGATTAGGTTTTCAGTATCTCATGTGTTGGGGGAGCAACAAAAGATTATTAAAGGCTCAATATTCATAACTAGGTAAATGCATCAGGTAAATGTTGTGTTTTTATTGTGCACAGACAAAGTGCAACCTCCGGCATCCTCCAGGAAATGAGATCTACCGCAAAGGGACCATCTCCTTCTTTGAAATTGACGGCAGGAAAAACAAGGTAAATTGCTGTCTAACCTATTTCTTGGAGTAGTTGAACTAGTATCAGTTATAACCACACAGATTTAGGTTATTTAAGGTCAGTGTAAGATCTGTCAGAAACCAACTTAAATGTTTGTTATACTAACTTAAATGTTATACTTGTTGCTTGTTTTGCAGACATACTCCCAGAACTTGTGTTTATTAGCAAAATGCTTCCTGGACCACAAGACCCTGTACTATGACACAGACCCTTTCCTATTCTACGTTATGACAGAGTACGACTCCAAGGGCTTCCACATAGTTGGCTACTTCTCTAAGGTGCATTTTTATGTAAATTACTGCACAGAATCAGAAGTGTTATATAGTTGAAATGACTCGTAATGTCACCTATTTCGTATCATCTAAACTAAAACACATAAGGGGCTTGCTCCAACAATTCATTAATCTCAACCATGCATTTACATTGTGTGCTACTCTTCCAAGGAAAAAGAGTCAACAGAAGATTATAATGTGGCCTGCATTCTGACGCTGCCACCATATCAGAGGAGAGGCTACGGCAAACTGCTGATTGAGTTCAGTAAGTTTCTCAGCTCAGAATGAAGCTGGTGCTTAAAATTTTTTTTCTTTGCTTTGCTGAAAATTTGATTAATGCTTTCTTGACATCAGTTTTGCAAGTGCCTGATATGTGTCCTGTCTTTTTCTCAGGTTATGAGCTGTCTAAGGTCGAGGGCAAGACGGGTACTCCAGAGAAGCCTCTGTCCGATCTGGGTCTGCTGTCTTACCGCTCGTACTGGTCTCAGACCATTCTGGAAATACTCATGGACCTCAAATCAGACAACGGGGAACGACCGCAAATCACCATCAAGTGTGCAGTCTCTGCCTTTATACACTATGGACTTGTATAGATTGTACACAATCAAAATTTATTACAGAATCTAGATATACATTCTGTTAAATATATATTTTAATGGGCTACCACAAATAGAATATTTGTTGTACACCTGCACACCTGATTGTTTTGTCTTGTTTGCAGTGAAATTAGTGAGATAACCAGCGTAAAGAAAGAGGACGTAATATCAACTCTACAATACCTCAACCTCATCAATTACTACAAGGTAATAATTAGTGCTAATTAAAATCTTTTTAATGTTTACAAAGTCACATGACAAATTAGTATTTTCTGTCCTGAGGACAGATTTTATTGCCCTGTAAACATCTTCACGTAATTTCACTTCAGTTTTAGGATGTAATTCAGAAATATTAATGCATCCATAAACTAGAAAATAGTATAATAATGTCAGACGGCTGAACTTGTCTTCAAGTTGGAGGAACTACAAGTGTGCAGTCTGACCTGCTAATACCCTCATCTGCTCTCTTCCTCAGGGTCAGTATATTCTCACTCTCTCAGAGGATATTGTAGAGGGTCATGAACGTGCCATGCAGAAGCGCCACCTTCGGATCGACCCTAAATGTCTACATTTCACCCCAAAAGACTGGAGCAAAAGGGGCAAGTGGTAGAGACATGTTGCACCGTGGGACCCATGGCACACAATCTTGGAGACCTACTAAAAACCTGGATGACCAAGTGGGCCTCAGAACTTGCAGACCTTTAGTAACAAACCTGTCACAATCAGACTTGACTAAAAGACTTGAAAACACTAGTGCTTAAGTGACCAGCAGCTATAATCTTCATCTAAACATTGGACATTGGTGGTTGCTTCTTTTGAGGTGCTTCGCTGTTGTTCATATTTTTCTTTTTTTGTGTCTCTTCTCATCACTCCTTTTTTGTCCAGTTAAGTCTAAATGAACTGCTTAACTAATAGGTTTCATAAGAAATCACTACAGCCGCTTTTCCTCCTATCACAATGTGGAAGTGTCAAATGAGATGACTGTCAGAAACAATGTTTGGTCATTTAAGGTATTTTCTATCAGAACAGCAACCTGTGGATTCTGCACAACCACTATCACATATTCACCCCCTCAGGCTAAACCTGAGCATTGATCATTACTGACTGTATATAATGCACATTATTCTCTCACTCTCTCTTTTTGTAAAGGAAGTTTAAATGTATGTTACTGCATGTCTGTGTGCCATGTTGAACTGTTACAAAAATGTAAATTGGGATACTTGTACAGCTGTTAGTCTTAAAAAAAAAGTAAATGACTACTTATAGCTGAAAGGGTCCAATTTTATTTAGGGTATTTTGTTTTGTGACTAGATATTTTCTTATTTATACTAATGAGGTGAAAATAGTTAATCAAAATACTGATTAAGAAAATGTAGATTTTTTTTTCCCCCAGACATTCTGGAATGTGGGAATATGAATCAATCTTAAATCTTAAGTCGTTCAGCACATCAGCAGCACACATTTGCCACGTAATGAATTTTATACCTTGCTCCATCACTAGCTGTGTAAAAATAATTAAAAAATAAAAGGAATAAAGAAATATTCATAGTAATCTTTGTATCTGTGTAGTACATTTATACATATAATGTATTTGTGTGCTTCACAGGGAGATTGGAAGACATCAATAATATAAAAATCCAGTGATGTCCATAAATATTTGGAGGTCAACATAGTTATCATAGGTCTATCACAGCATATTGAAATTGAAATTAAATAATATGAGCTCCAAGTGCAAACATTCAGCTTTAATTTGAGGGTATTTATATTCAAGGTTGATCGGATATAAGTGATCCAAAGCACTATATCTGTCAAGTGTGGTGAATATAGAGTTGTGGCATAAGCATGTATGGCTGCCAATGGAATAGGTTCATTTGTATGTAGTGTACTTATATTTAAGCAATCCAAGACTTTGGGGTTGTTAAACAATTTAGATTTGTCACGAGTTTATTTTTTTTGTAATAAAAATACCGTCACACACTGTAGATCAGGAAGTGAGACTGCATCCCTGTCCCTCATGACAACATGAGCAGTTAGATCCCATAATTTTGATGGAAATGTGTCCCGAAGTCTGAAAAACATTAAGAATTGACACTACCAAAACATATTCTCTAAACTTTTTTGTGTTTTAAAACTATATATATCATGATTTTATGTGCGTACAACTGTTCAGAGCCATGTTTGCTAGCCATGAACTTGCTACCATTCAGCGTTCTACTCAAAATTACCTTAAAATGTCACTACTGAAACATTTGATAATGTTTCAGTAGTGTTATGATTGTTTTGACAGTGACAAAATGGAATGTTTAATCTTTCATTTTAATAATCTGAACATAATTAAGGTATAGGGTCTCTCTAAGCAAAGGGACTTTTGTCTAAAGTCCAAGTCAGTTAAAAGACTGAATGTGGCTTAGCATTGTCTTGCTGAAACAAACAAGGATGTCCCTGAAAAAGGTGTCATCAAGATGGGAGCATATGTTACTCCAAAATGTATACGTACCCCTCAGCATTAATAAATTATTCTTTCCTTTGGCACTAACACACCCCGATATCATGACAGATGCTGGCTTTTGAACTTTGCATTGGTAACAATCAGTGCGGTCCTTTTCTTCTTTGGCCCAGAGAACACAACATCCTTTATTTCCAAAAACAATTTAAGAGGTGCACTTATCAGGCATCATTTCACAAAACCCTCAGTCTTACATTGCTCCTGCCTCAACTGTTTTGGAATGCATTGCAAGCATCAAATTTAGAATCAGAATATATTTACAACAACTCAATCAAGTTGATAATAAAATACCTGTATAGACAGTTTACAAAATGATGCTTTCTATTTTTTATTTGCTTTTTACCTTCTGTCCCAACTTTTTTGGAACATGCAGGCTTCTTACTGTACAGTGGCCTACCACATGAGTCGATCCAGAAGTTAATAATCTTTATTGGCCTTCTGTTATGATATTTTAAAATACCTTTGTAGTGTAACTGCATCATGTAACCCACTGGAAAGTATAACAGGAAGAACAAGAAACTGTGATCCAATGTAAGAACAATTGTCATGCAGTTCATTTAAAGAATAAAGCAGTTCATAAGAGAATATTAATGTGCCTGTAAATAAGGGTTAAGAATGTAGGTATAGTGAAATGTGCCTTTCATGAGCATGAAAGCCAAAAAAGAAATAAATTATTGGAAAAAAAAAAGTGACATGGTACCTGATGTGTACTGCATATGGTTTGCATATGGTTTGCCCAGAACAGATTCACATAAACCAGCTGCCAGTCAAATTTCTATATGTCTTAAGCTTTGTTCCAAAGAAAAGGCACAATTGTCCTCCTGCTTTCACAGTTTTGGGATGATTTTCAAGGATTTTTCCTTTTCTTTTTTTCTGGCGATGTTTGATGCGTTAGTTAGAACCTTCATGCCAATGGCCATGGTCCGCACACCAATCTTCACTGCATAATGAATCTGAACACAGGGGAGAGGCATAGGTTGCTGAGCATTAAAGTATGTGATATTTAATGAAAATCTCTATTTAAAAGAATAGGCTGTCCAATAACACCATTTTTAATACCAAACCAAAGCAGCTGACTTACACTATATGTTCAAAAGTTTCCAGACACTGCTTCTAATTTGTGAATTCATCTATTTTAAGGTTTTTTTGACCATTGCTGATACAGGGTTTCAGTTGCACACACACAGTTTGTATAATCTCCATAGAAAAGCAATGGCAATAAAATGGGAAGCTCTGGAGCAGCTACACATGAGCCTAAGGTCATCACGCCCAATTGCCAAGCATCAGCTAGAGAGGTATAAAGCCCCCCAGCACTGGGCTAAGGTTTTCACAAGATGTTATAATATTTGTCATTATCAAATTATCAAAATAATGTTCTTTTATTGAGATAGCATTCGTTATGTTGTGATTATGGCATGAATATTTAGAGATCTCCAGAAAACAACAGTTGTTATGTCATGATATAAATAACTCAACTTATCACAGACAAACAGAGTAAAAAACATGCAAATCCATGGTCCTTTAGAGGATGTGGAGGATGTGTTAACTTCTTTTCACAGTCCACAAACCTTTGGACATAAAGGTTATGTACACAGTGGATCATTTACCTGTCTTGACTCCGCTCTCCCATATCTCAGCTCTGTAACAAAGTGTTCGCAGTTTCCTCTCAGAACACAGTAGGGCATCTCCAGGCCAGCCAGACTAAGCGCGTCACGCAGAATGACACATACGCTCCTCGGCTTGTGCTTGGAGTCTAGAAGGTTGTTGACGTGGAATCTGTCATGGCCCACCACCTGGTGTAGCCCCTCTCGCATCACTATGGCCTTGTCACACAGAACGGACATCAGGCAGTTAGGCCCTGCTCCTGCAGTCTCACCTGAGGTAGAGAGAAGATGGATAAAGAACAATGGGGAGGGAAAGTGCAGACCTTCGCCATCTGCTGGTTACATTCAAAACATTATCCATAAATAAAAATCATGTCCAATCATAAGTGGACCTCTGTGAAACAGACATTTTGTGACCAAACAAGCACATCAGAAAAATGGTAGCTGTGGTGCAGAATCGTTTGATGAATCATCATATAATATCCAAAAAACTGTTTCTCAGCAACTACTTGGCCGACTGAGCTGAAACTTTGCAGGGTACTTTGTAATATAGATATTCAGGACAACTCAATAATTGGACAAATATGGCTGGCTTTGGCCAATAAGCTTTCAAGAGGCATTTGGAGGGTTTTGCATTGGCCAATCATGAAAATTGAATGACTTGTCCACTTAGGCAATCTCTAATAGCCTATCAAGTTTCTCATCTTTCATGAGGTGGCACTATTCAATAAAAACAAGGATATGTCCTATTAATTGTATCTTGGATAAAAATAAATTATGTCGTCATTTTTGAAATACAAGTGTATTCAAATTCTTAAAGGTTTTGTGCAGTTATTCAAAGTTTGAAAAATGAGCTTTTCAAACTAGTCTGTGGATTTTAATCAAATTGTCTCAAAACAATCTGTGGAGTCTGTAGGTAAATACATACATCATCTAAACCGCTTATCCTTCTGGGTTGCGGTGCTGGAGCCTATCCCAGCTGTCATGGGCAGAAGGCAGGATACACCCTGGACAGGTCGCCAGTCCATCGCAGGGCAGACAGACAGACACAGTCACACACACACACTCACACATAGGGGCAATTCAGCATGTCCAATCAGCCTGACTGCATGTTTTTGGACTGTGGGAGGAAACCGGAATACCCGGAGGAAACCCACGCAGACACGGGGAGAACAGGCAAACTCCACACAGAAACGACCCTAGTCTAGGAGTCGAACCCAGGCCATTCTTGCTGTGAGGCACGCTACCCACTGAGCCACCGTGCCGCCCTGTAAGTAAATAATTATCAAAAAAATCTTAATTTTAAATGCACAGAATGGCCTCAAGACATCAATCAAACTGTTTGGCCTGGCTTGTTCTGACATAAGTGTCTATAAATCCATACATTCTATAAATCCATACGAAACAATGTACATCTCCATGTAAAACACGCCCCTGCTTCTCAGGCACAGAAGATGAGACTGACTGGCCCAAAGGGGGCACTACAGCATAGTGTTTTAAGATTTGATCCGTATCTCCTAAACTGAGATAGTTACAGACATAATTCTTGGTGCTGCTGGTTTCTTGACTCATACTAAACCAAAATTCATCAAAAACTCAAAACAGCCCAAGGTAAAAACCTTGTTTTTTGTGAACTTGTTCTACTTTTTTCAACGTATCTTCATTAAACTGATTTCAAAATATCTGCAAGATCCTAAACTTAAATATTTATCAAAAAACATTGACATTTGTAAGCAATATGGCTGCCACGTGCCAATTAAACTCTTTTGGGTGGAGCTTAATTCACAAAAATGGTTACAGATCAAGCTCGACACCAGTTTTTCCATAGGGGGCACTATGATATAAAAAAAAACTGTTTCTCAGCAACTGTTTGCCCGATTGAGTTGAAACTTTGCATACTGAAACAATGGGCTATTTTACTTTATATTTTGTTTACAAATATGGCTGCCATTGGCGATTAAGATTTAAACAGATTTAAATAGATTTGGAGGGCTTAGCATTGGCCAGTCACGATGTCATGATGTGTCCACATAGGCACTCTCCAGTAGCTTATCTAGTTTGACTCCAATTGGTCATAAGGTGATGTTATTCAAAAAATACATTACTAATAAAGTACTTTAATTCTTTAAAGTTTTTCTGCATTTGTTCAAAGTTGAAAAATTAGCTTTTCGAACAAGTCTGTAGATTTTAATCAAATTGTTTCAAATCTTTCTTAAAACAATCTGTGGACTATTTAAGTAAATAATTATTTAACAATATTGATTTTATTGCATAGAATGGCAGATACATCAATTTAACTGCTTGGACTTGCTTTTTCTGACATAAGGGGCTACAAATCCATCAGTCGTTTTTTGATTATAACCAAATTGGGAAATATTGTACAAAACGATTGTCTGAGGAAGCATGCAAAGTTTATATTAAATTGGTCTCCATGGGCCCCTACAGTGCTTAATCTGATGAAAATGTACTAAAATGTCATTATTTCTTTATTTGATTAAAATAAAGAAAAGATACTGGTTTTAAACTGCACATCTCATTAACACCTGAAACTTTGCCATTATATGTATGTTTCAAACTTGCACAGGAAATATGGAAATTTGACAAACACATCTTGGCCACAGAATCAGGAATGGCAATATATTCTCTGGCCACCAGATGGAGCCTAAGCAAAAACTGCAAATTGCGACTTCAAAGATAACAGTCACAAGCTTCACTATTGGCTTAAGTGTTTTTTGACAATGCTCAATGCATATTAAACAAGTCTTGCATTTTAAGCACAGCATGGCTGCAAGATATGAATCAATCAGTTAGAATGACTAATTCTGACATAAGCGTCTACGCGTCCATCAGTGATGCTCTGTTTTTGACAAATTGGTTAATATAGTGGCAACAATCTAGATTATCATTGTATCTCTCTATGGTTAAAGTAATAAAACAATAAGGGATCCAAACAACACACCTCATAAAGATTTAAAACTTTGCAAATACATTTATTTTACTCAAAGTTGGTCTTAAAACTGTCTTTGGAGTCTGGAGATAAATAATTATTAAAAACATATTGACTTTTAATCACAGTGTGACGATTTAAACAAATTGTTGTGAGTTTATTCTGTCTGAAAGGGCTACAAATATATCAGTAATTGTCTGATTGTAATTAAATTTGGAACATTTATACAAGATGACAAAATGTGGGTGTTTTATGAATATAAAAAATGCAGCACTGTGATAGGCCTCTTGTGGCTCACCCTGAAAACATCTGCCTTTGAAGACTAAGGTTGTGGGTTTGATTCCCTATTAGGGATGGTGGACACATCTGTATAAACTATAGTGGAAATATCACTTAGGAATCTTAAATAAAGAAATAGTGGTTTCTTAATGAGCCAATCATCAGCCTTAACTTCTAAAATCAGAGGCAAACCCACAAGCCCTAATTGACCTCAGGCGCTTGGACCCCACAGCTTGTGGCTGTATTTATGTTTTTTCTAGTGGTTTCAGAGGTTTTTTTTAAAATAACTGAATGGCATTGGTAGGTCCTTTTAAAATGCACTTACAAGGAGGTGCAAGGTGAATGATGTCACCCTCGCCAATGTATAAACCCCAGTGTTGGTATGTCCCTCGAAAAATCTCAATAAGGTCCCCTGGTTGCGGCTTACCATACTGAAAATGAAAATATATTAAACAGAAGTATATGAAAATACTCTCCAATTAATTCAGAACTTAATTCAGAAATGTGACTATAGCTCAAACAGTTGTGAGTGCTACAAGTTTTTTAGACTGCCACATTTTTTCTGATAGTTTGTGGGTAAAGCATCAGACATCACGTGTTGGTCATTTAAATATCAAAAATCAGACCGCGTCATGCTTTAAGAAAAAAGCATGAGTAGGGGGAGACCGTACAATATTAATGGGACTTAAAGCTGAGCAATATGACAATATTTATCATTATTGTGATCAATTATATCACAATACGTCACAATATGCTTTTTCTGAGCATATCTTAGATATGGTCAGGACTTAAAAACACCTTTGAACTGCAAGTTTGGTTACAAAGAGAGTCTAATTACTCTGTTTAATTGGATTTAGTGCAGTACAACATGAAATGTTTGATATAAATCATTGTATTTGTAGTTTTTAATAATACTTTAATGGGACCAGTGGTAACATTTATGGAGGAATGCAAGGAGGCATGTAAAAGCCTCTGTTTTTAGATATTTCCAAAAAGAAGAAAACGAAATCATTGTTTTTCAAATTTATTTATTTGTTTTTATGTCTGAAATGAGTATATGACTGTGGTGTAGGACTTTCAGATAATAGCCAAACTTGGCAAATCTCTACACACTGCCGCTGAAATGAGCAAGCCTATTGTAGTTCAGTTTGGTAATTACTTCTTCTATTATACAATTTTATATAAACACTTTTTGGCAACTTTATTAGGTACACCTACTGTATATTTACATTTTATCAGGTCCACGTACCATATAGGTGTACTTTGTAGTTCTAGAATTACTAAATGTAATACTGAATTTACAGAATTTTCCCATTTATTGGAAAATACATGGTTAGCTGATTTATAAAGCACCCCTAGTTTTAATGCTTTTAGCCTTGTATAGTTAAGATATAACACTTGGTTCTCCACTAGACAGAGAAAAATGGATTTTAAGGATAGAAAGAACAAAATGTGTAATTTGGCCAGGGGCTGTATATTCACATGCATACAGTTGCATGCAAAATTTGAAAACCCCTAAACAAATTGCATTTTGTTGGTTTATAAGTGAAAATAAGTTAATCCTCAACAGAGAAAACACATATATATGGTGTCTTTCTGCATATTTTAATGGACAATTTCTATTAAAATGTACTATCCCTAAAATGCACAGGCATAGTTTATGTCTTAAATATTTCTATGTTAAATTCAGCAAATAAACAATAATTATGCTTAAGTCCTTTTCACTTAGAAAATCAACATGTAATTTGATCCGGGAGACCCAAAATTTTGCATCTGATTGTATATATACATGTGTTCTCTCTGTATAAATGAATGAATAAACTGAATGAATAAAAGTGTGCTCAGGACTAAAATACAGAACCTCAGAACCACCGTTGCATGTGATTACTCACCAAAGTTGGTGCAATAACTCTTCTACGCCATCTGGGTAATGCCGGATTTGCATTAATTTCCACCGTGAGTTCACTGCCACCCCAGCTTTGAGACCGTCGCATGTCACACATGGTCCAAACTTCTTGATTCCAAGTAGTTTTCCAATTTATCTGGGTATCCCAACCCTAGCAGGCCCTGGTTCTATCATTGCAGAAGAAATCTTGTTACCTGTTTCAATCACTGTATTAAATTAATGGTCGTGGAGTCCTACAACTAGTATGGCATTGACTACAGCCATGGTTGATGTACAGGAAACTCACTCTTAGATCAGATTATCCACTTAAAATAGCAGACTAACAGAATGGGGTGTTGGTAGGACCTTCACAATAGAGCTGAACAGGGATCACACTTCAATTTCCTCTTTCATTGCATCAGGCACATTTCAGTATCGGAGACTGTTCCTAGATCAGTGCAAGTGACCTGCAGAGTCACTCATGGAAGTAGTTAAGGATTACAAAGCAAGCCTATTTAAGGTATGAGCCGTGTTGTGAGGTTAGACAGGAAAAGTCCTTAACGGTTACTTAGCTTCAACAGCAGGATTCTCAATGTTTCAGATTGTTTATGCATTGAGAATTTCACTGAGATGGCCACATCCATCCATCTTTGATTTACTACACTGATGAGTTTTACTATTCCAGTTCATCAAGAAATATTCTATTGGAAGATCACAAAACCCCTCACTTCAGCAGAATTTTAAACTGGAAAGGATGAGCAGAAAAAAAATGCACTTGAAAGCAACAGTAAATGAAAACACTTCTTGCATATGTACTAACTGGTTATGTTGAAACGATTATACAGCAGAGCTGCTTTAGGCCACTATCAAAAAAAAAACCTCATTTAAATGTTTTATATTCAAAACATTGCTCTACTTTACTGCTTTAAAAGTCAGTTTAAAATGGGCAGAGCATTTATAAAAAATATAGCATTTCATTAAACACTGTTACAAAAGTCAACAAAAACTAAATACATGCAACATCCAATTCAATATGCATATCTTCATGCCCAATTTACACCACTACTAATGTTTTAGAAAAACAATGAATCCAGCTACATGAAAGCACCACATTCTCGGGCACATCTTTCACTTAATTGCTTCCATTTAACAAGCGATACACTTGTACTTTCCTCACCCCTAAAAAAAAAAAAAACCTTGTCTTGTGTTCAGCTTATTCAGAATTACAGAACTATTCTGTAACTCATTAGTAGCCTAACATGTATTAATGTGTACATCAAGTTTAATTCATCCCATTAAATAAAATACAAAGGTCCAAATATTCTGCATCAATTAAATATCATACCACCAAGTGCCATTTAAAGCATTATAAATCTAATGCTATTGGTTTGAATGTTCAAAGCCTTTAAATGCATACTTCAAATACAAATAATAATCCTTGAGTTATGAAAGACAAAAAAAAACACCAATTTACATGGAAAATCAAACCTTTATTTTATTCAAGTTACCAAAGAGTTACAGACTTGCACAAGTACACTGACAAATTATATAAAGACTGTCTTTTAGAGTGGTTTAATGGAAAAAACTGTGCATTGACATTCATTTCTTTACAACACAACACAGGTGTTGGGAACCAATGTGTCTATGCAAACAAGCACTTTATTTGCTATCCAGAGTGATGGATGAGAGAACCTACACATGTCCAGGTAATATTATTGCTGGAACAAAACCTCATATGTCCAGGGAAAAAACCTAAATAAAAATATTCTAATGTTTGAAGAAAGCTAATGTTGACAAGACTTCAGCCACTCTGGATCATTTATATTGGTCTATTTGGTAGCATGAACTACAGCTGGCATTTTCAAATTAGGTAAAGATTTGTTTTGACAGGGACTATGAGAGTAAAACAGTGCTAAATTGATGAATGCACTTTTCTGGTTCTTATTTCATGCAGTGAAACACTTTCTAGAATTGTGTATTTTACATTAAACCACTCTGAATGACCTGACATCTTAAGTAATGCAAAAAAAGTGGAATTTCCCTTTAACTGAGCAGAGCTGTGTCCCACTGATCATCCCACTAGTCTCACATTCCACAGGGAAGAATAAAGGAACCCATACTCTGCATGCCCATCAAGTTGAAACATACCTGTAAATAAAGACAAACAGAAATTCTGTATGTCATTACCCCAGCAGCAACTCTGTGCTTCATGTCACAAAGCAAAAACAGACTGTCTCAACACAGTAGCTAGCATAAGAAACCAATTCCTGATGCCAGCTACGTTATGACAGGATATTGTTCCTCCAGAGATTACACACATGGGCACAGTACACCCCACGTGTGCCAATATGAGGAGGCTTGCGTTCACAACCAGCATGGGCCAGTGATTCAGAAATGCCTATATATGTAGCAACTATCGGCACTTGTGGCTGACCAAATGTTTAGAACTTTTTTTTGTTGAGGTCTATTAAGTCTGTACTACATATAAGCAGTACAAAATTGAACATATTGAACAAATCTAAATTAAAGCATCTCTACAGTATTCTAAGCTGTTTCAGTATGTTTTACTGATTACCTATGAATGGCAAACAGTTGCCCAGTAACATCAGCACAGTTGTGGGACACGAATAAAACTGGCATTTACAGCCAAAACATACTTTGTAAATTAGATTTAATCATTGCATTTGGTAACCATTGTACAAAAAACGTGTTATTACACTCAAGACCACGTCTACATGCTAAAAGTGCCCGTAGTCGGGTAAACAAAAAACTGAAAACTAGTTAATACTCACCGAGTCCTGCAAACGTGTTGCCAAGAACCCACCTAGAATAAAAGAGCAGGAAACAGCCGTTAAATCAAGCCAGCTAACGTTACATCGGACGGCATCGCACGGACTTGGCTTACATATTGGCCTATTAGCGACTCTCAAAGTTACGTCGACTAATTAATCGTTGAAGTTAAGCCCATGCAGCTGTAACTAGGTTAGGTAAAACGCATGTACCAGTGATTGAGGATAGAACCAGCTTATGGGAACAAGCTGGTACCGAAGACATAGCACTGGCACTTATATTCCTCCATCACATACACACACGAGTACGGAGAACCTCCGTGCATGCCAAGAAAGGAGGTTTCCAAATAGAAAGGACATGACAAATTTCACACTAAACTCAACAAAACACAAGGCTGAAGTTGGCTTCCTATTCGCCAGCCTCCCGTTCCACCTTAAATGATGCAGCAGTTACATTGTGGGGCCTCGGGCTCGAGTGCAAGACGAATGTAACTAGCACACCACTGGAGGTGAACAAGGAAATTTTCTTCAACAAAATGGCGTCTATCGAAACTAATGCCAGCGCCACTAAGTTCACTATGCACTTCGACCATTATCCTCTAAACAAAATGTATACACTTAAAAACACAAAAGAACGTGTATAAAAAGAGACACAAAACAACATAAGCAACATCGATTAAAAAAAAAAAAACAGACTTACATAAACAGAAACCAAAAGACCTCGTAGCCTAACCCTCCCTTCTTCGCACCACCGCTAAAGAGAACTATCCCACCCTTCCCCATCGTTTTTATATGAGCGGTGTCGTCATCAGCGCCCAGAATAAAACAGCCAATCGTCGAAAGACTCCTGGCAACACCCGACCTACGTCATCTCAGATCTAGATATAAAATAATGGAGTGAACGAAACAGTATGAATTACTTTGATTTTTTTTTTTTAGAAAGAAACTCCAGAGAGACTTAAGCTTTTTCGTGCATGTACTGGAGAAGAGAACGTGTGAATTATTTTTGTCAAAATTCTATATTCACAAATATAAAGTTTCAAAAAGAACCCTTACATTTCTTTATTTAAAAAACCATGAACTGTATTTACGCACCCTAATTTAAATCAATTAAAGATCCTTTTAGCAATTAATACTGTAACACGTATAAATAGAGGTAATATTTTTATAACTCTTTTGCAGTCAGTTGTTGAATTGTCCATCTCTTTCTCTGTGCAATAAAGCATCTCAAAAAAGATTTAGCAGAATAATTATATAAATAAACGTCTCCATGAATTTTACTTTGAAAATATTATCACAGTGTCCTTCACCGCGAATACGTGACGGTATAAAAGTGTAATTCCTAGAAATAAACACGTGCTCCTAGCTGTTGTAGTTCTATGTGAAGGAGGGATTTATATCACACATGACAGAGCCGGAGGGGGCGAAGTTCATAGCAGCAAAAATGGCGCCTTCTGTTGACAGGTACTGCAGTTGTCAGCTTGGTTAATAGGATTATATATTTAGAATATATTGGAATTAAAATATAAAATGAACAGCAGCCTTTAAAATGCAGTCTCGTTTCGTTTATTAACTTAGTCGTGGTCCTCGTGTAGCGTCCAGATAACGTTAAACGATAACGCAATGTTGCTGGTAACTGAGTGAAGAGAAATTTAGGAGAGGCTTTAAAGGAAGGCTTTAGCTTCTTTAGCCGCTAGCGAGCTATCTTGTTCATTCATAGGGGATTTATTTAACTGCGCAGTTCTCAATGTCGTTGTCCTTTTCCCAGCCCCTAAAATGAAGGTTAAGCAAACTAGCTTGCTTGTGGTGTTCAGTCTTTCATTATTCAACACGATATTAGAACTATCGTCATATGGACGTCGAACGTTGAACGTCGTATGTTAAAGCATTAACCCTATATTAGCTAACGTTAATATTAATATACAGGAGCGGTGACAGCGAGTCTATCTTGTAGTTGACCGGCATTTCGTTAGTTATATTTTATGTTCGTTTTCAGGTTTCGTCGCACCTCGTTTAGTCATACAGTGCTGTGTGTAATGCTCGACTCTGTAAAAGCAGCAGTCAAGTTGCAAAGGTTAAAGGGACACTCCGGTTGAAATTTAAAAAGTGTAACCAGTGCTATGTGCTATGTGAACTTGCGTAGTCGCATTTTTCAGACAATGCTACAGTGGACTCTAAAGTGATAAACGCCCTCTTGATGATGTATCTTGAAGGTGGAGGTTGATTTTGAAAGACTTCAGATGCTTCAGAGAGAGCTGTAAACTGGCTGAAACTGCAACAGAATTATTTTATCAGCTCCACTTGTCATATAAGCACACTTTGTACTTCTACAATTACAGACTGTAGTCCATCTGTTTCTCTGCATACTTTCACCCCATCCTTCGATGGTCAGGACCCCCACAGAGTGGGTATTATTTGGATGGTGGATCATTCTCAGTACTGTAGTGACACTGGTGTGGTGGTGATGTGTTAGTGTGTGTTGCTGGTACGACTGGATCAGACAAAGCAGTGCTTCTGGGGTTTTTAAACACCTCAGTGTCACTGCTGGACTGAGAATAGTCCACCAGCCAAAATGATCCGGCCAACAGCGTCCTGTGGGCAGCGTCCTGTGACCACTGATGAAGGATGCAGCAATAGATGAGCTAATGTCTCTGACTTTACATCTACAAGGTGAACCAACAAGGTAGGAGTGTTTAATAGAGTGGACACAGTGTTTAAAAACTCCAGCAGCACTGCTGTGTCTGATCCCCTTGTACCAGAGCAACACACACTAATGCACCACCACCATGTCAGTGTCACTGCATTACTGAGGAACAAATAATAAATAATACCTTCTCTGTGGTGGTTTTGTGGGGGTCCTGACCATTGAAGAACTGGGTGAAAGGGGGCTAACAAAGTATGCAGAGACACAGATGAACTACAGTCTGGAATTGTCGAATTACAAAGTGCACTTGTATGTTAAGCAGCGCCGATAAAATGCACAATGAGTGTAGAAACAAGGTGATTTTAATGTTATGGCTGATCTGTGTATATAAAACTACAGGTTTATTACATGTAGATCAGTGGCTAGCATCAGGATTTGTTAAGCATTGTAGGGACTGCCAGTAATTGTGTGATATTTTTGCGTAATGCATGCTGGGTATTGTAGTGAGAGAACTCATGTTTGGGGAAAACTCGAAAACGATACGAAATCATGACTTCTTTCAAACTGATGAGGTTGAGGGATGCAGTGTTGCACTATAGAAAACTACATAATATACACCAGCTTTAGGAATGCTCTTTCAAAGAAGAGTTTCTTACCAAGCACCGTCTTCTTTTGCAGGATGGTGCCATTGCTGGTCGCACTGCTTTTTCTTTGTCTCGGTGCAGAAGCTGTGGATCGCAGCAACTTCAAAACGTGCGAACAGAGCTCCTTCTGCAAGTGAGTACAGCATGACAGAGAAAATGACAATTTGGAGAAAATAAAGCCACCTTTTCATTCATTTTTGATGACACTGTGTAATTCTGTAAGATACTGCTCCCAGAGTGTACCAAGTGGTTTTGTTTACAGTCATATGCAAAAATCTGGGTGCCGCTGGTTGTGTAACATGTTTTGTTGATTTTTTTTTTTAACATGAAAATAAGTATACATCCTCCACAGAGAACTCACATCTGCACATTTAATGCACAATTACTGTTTATTTGCTAAATTTAACACATTGGGGGAAAAAAATAATTGGTATACCTAAGTTTGTTCTCTGTAGAGTGTGTTAACTTATTTTCACTTGGAAACTCAACATGTAATTGACCAGGAGCATTCAGACTTTTGTATACAACTTTATATGCTCACAAGAAGATGTTAGATATGTCTCTCAAATGGTTTGTTCTAGATGAATCAATATTATATTCTTGAGTGTGTGTATGTGTGCGTGCGCAGGCGTCAAAGAGAGCTGAAGCCAGGTCAGTCTCCATACAGAGCTCTGCTGGATACTCTGGAGCTCAGTGACTCCAGGATCACCCTGCAGCTCATCAATGATAATAACAAGGTCAGAGAATGGTAGAACACACTATTATACTATAACACTATTATATTTCACATTTCTGTTTCCTATTGTAAAATTGTATTGTAAGTACATAAATAATCCGGCCTCTGTTTCTGTGTGTATGTAGGTGCGTCTGCTGCTGGAGCTCTACAGACTCCAGGGCAACATGACGCGTGTTAAAATTAATGAGCTGAAGCCTCTCAAACCTCGATACGAGGTTCCTGACGTCCTCATCACTGACCCACCCACTGAACCGTGAGTCCACTCTACACTACAGACCAAGTACATAAAACTGAGTAATGTATATTAAAATGAATACTAGTGAATGCAGATTACAGTTAAGGCTCTCCTAAAAAGTATTAAACATGGAGGTCTATGTTTACTGCGTACAACCTGTAATGTATTTACAATATATCATTAATCTTTTTATCATTATTTTAAACAGTAACATGACTTAATCCCAATCGTTTCAGTGTTTAAAAGAATGAATGAATTAAACATATTATATTGAAGATATGTTTAGTTTTCTTTTTTGAAAATGCTAAATACCAAATGGGCTGTTTTTTCAGCTTAAACTGTACAGACTGGGTAGTGAACTGTATGTTTTGAAATTTTACTACATCAAACTTCAAAAAGTGAGGACAATTTTTTTTTTTATACTGATATATAAGGGAGATCCTTAAACAACTGAATCGGCTATATAAATAAAATACATAATAAATAAAATAAAACAAGCTGAAATATGTAAATTAAGCCACAACATTGTCTTCATTATATATTTTCCACAAATATTATGACTGACAAAAATAACTACATACTTGTAGGGTGCCTTGTGGCTTGGGGACCCTAAGAAACTGATTTATACCACTTGTAGCAGGAAACTGCCTGGACTATAGCCTTTCTGATGTTGGCTCTAAGAACTAGGACCCAACACTCTAGCACAGCCTGAAAACATGATGTCTGGTACTGAGGCACTATTACTCATGACTGAAAATGAAGGACCAGTCACAAACAAATGAAGCTTGGACTAGAGCCTTGGGATGTTGTCTCTGAGGCCTAAAACACAGTTTCCAGGACTCCCACAAGCCCAGGCCCTGTGAAATGTGATGCAACAATTGATGCAGGCTGTGAGTGAGTCAAATGACGATCATAATCAGCCATACATTAAAGAGAGAGAGAACAGAGTGCTTGTTACGTTTTGGCAATATTTGGTTCACTCCATTCTTTAGGGGTATTAACAGCTGCAGTGTTTTCCACAGATTTGATAGTTATTTTGGTGCTGAGGCGGGAGTGGGGGTCAGGGGAGACACCAACTCTAAAGCGTAAAAAACAAACAAAATTCATAATTTTTTTTTCTGTACAGTGATTACAGTCGGCTATAACAAATACGTTGGTTTTTTTTTTCATTTGAAACACTATATAGGTGTGTCAGTTACATGCAGTTTTTAACAGCACCAAAGCCCTATTTGAACAAGATTAGTTGTACATGAGGGGGTCGGGTGATGTAATTTTTACAGGTGTTTATCAGTAATTTTAATCCTGTCTAAATATCCTGTGTCAGTCATGTTTATGAACTGTGTGTTCTTCATCTCAGTAAAGATTCAGGTGCCTTTTACCTTCTATAAAATGAGCCGTAGAAAAAACCTCAGGTTATAACAATCCCGTGTAAATTGACATGTTGGTAAAAATACTGCCAAATTCTGTACAAAAAAAAAAAATCATATGCATCGAGGTACCCATACAAGCATTTGCTTGTGTTCTCTGTTAAAATCAAGCTGATATATGATATGCATTCCTTTAACTAATTTTGTGACCTGCTGCCTGGCACAGTTCTTGGCTTTATTAGTGCTGTAAAAAGATGACATTTAGTTCTGAGTCTTTTTTTTTTGGTTGGTCACACTACAGTCTACCTGCCATTTCTTATACACTGCTGGAGAATAACAGTGAAAAAACACATATTAAAAACAAAGACATGACCGAGACTTAAGGAATGTCTTTTGCTCGAATATTGGCTGCTGAAATGAACAAAGTGTGCTTCTCTAAGATGCAGCCTTTCTTTTGACTGTATTTCTGTAAGGTGTAGGCTAGCTAAATGACTGCAGATCGCTTCTCTGTGAGCTACGCGTCTCTCTTCCTCCTCATTTTTAAAAAATATTTCTCAGTACTCATCTGTTAAGTAAATATTAGATGAGTCAGTCATGTAACTGTAACTAGGCATTCTTTTGAAGTAAGAGAAAGCAAATTCAGCCAGAACAGCACTGCTAGTTGCATATAGTAGCTAGCTAACTTTATGCCAGTGCTGCTATTGCTACTCACTCCCTTCACTCAGAAAATCTGATGTAAGCTGTAAATTGGAATTGAGAACTTTTTCTTGCAGTGTGAACCAGTGATCATTTGAGTTGTGCTCTGTGTTGTCAGAATGACGTTGGTGGCTCAGGATGAGAACGGCCTGGTGCTCTCTCTGGGGGTTGATGAGCAGAGGGTGATCGTCAGTGCACGCCCTTTTCGCCTCGACATCGTGGAGGGCCCCACAGTGCTGCTGTCCCTCAACTCCCGTGGCCTGCTGACCTTCGAGCACCTGCGTCTGCGCAAGGACACGTGAGTCGTCCCTCAGCTGCTGTATAAAGCCAGGTTCTGGTTCATCAGATCATTTAGGGTTAAGGTTTAGTGTCTGGATATCTTGTTGTCTAATATGCAGCGAAGAAGTAACTGAAATGGTCTCTGCTACTGAGAAATGGTCAAAGGCATTCACACACCTGGTTTATTCAGAAGAATTTTTAACTCGTATTGAAATTGAGAGTCTGTAGTCATAGAGCATAGAGAAAAACGTTTACAATACTGTGTCAGGTTCCATTTGGTATATTTTTAAGAAGCATATCCCTACAAAGTAGTCCAGTAAAATCAAGCTATGTTAAAGCATTCTTTTAGCATAGAGTAGCAGCACTCAGAAAGCATGGACGTATTAAATTTATTAATGCATACTAACATACCATCTGATAACATTTCATTTTAGTGGTATCGCCCAGCACTAGTATTAATCATGAGAATGCTCATGGAAAAGCATTGACTATCGTGGTCAGGGTAGTATAGTAAACAAGCTAAATTATATTATTTGTCAGAACAGTTTGGACCAGTAAGAAGGTAAAGCTAGACAAAGAAAACAAACCAGTGGTGTGAAAATGCTCTGCTATGGATGGAATCACATCAGTATTCACTTTTTAATACACAGAGATAGACAATAAATTGTTTCTTCTCGATATATGAACAGTCACCCAACAGAACAGTACAGCACATCAGTTGCCATCAAAAGGCTTTAAAATGTATCTGAAGACCTCTGATTATTATTGTCACAGTTGCAGTTTGGGTGTCCCTGGTCAGATTGCATGCTGTGTTGATTTTCTGAGTGAAAATAAGTGCACATCCTTTATGGAGAACACGCTTCTGCCCAGTTCAATGAATATTTTTTGTGTATTTTCTGAATTTAACATATTGTTTACAAAAAACATAAATGTGTTTATGGCACTTTTCGTCTTTTATGTTTTTTAATATTTATATTTCACTTTTTCCAATATGTTAAACACAGCAAATACACAGTAATTGTGCGCTAAAATGTGATGTGAAGTGCCATATTTAGATTTGATCTCTGTAGAAGATTTTTAAGGTTTTAACTTATTTTCTCCTCGAAAATCAATTTGACCAGGGGTATTACTAGCCGTTATTAGGGGGTATGGGGTGTTATGACTTTTGCATATGACTGTATTATCAAGAACTCTTGTCCAAACTAACAGACAAATCTTTTTGTGTTTTAGTGGATATTAACATAGTTTAGTGGATATAACATGCTTGTATGTTTTTATACTGCAAAAAAGAGCTTAGGGCTCCAGGTGCTAGTTGTTGCCAGGTGCCAAGTATCTGAATATTTTTTTCTGGGCACATGAAAATGCTTCTTTGTCATTAGGTATTTGTGTTTCTTCGTGCCTCTCTCATTACCATCACTAACCAGAAAAATTGTGTTCAGAATGGTTCACTCGTTAATTGGTTCACTATTCACCACAGAGTGGTTGTTATATAGTGAACTGACTGGAGAGCAACTATGGAATAAGCAGTACATTTTTAGATGTGAATCAAAGCCATACTATTTAGTACTGTGACATACTATACTAGAGCCTGACATAGTATGTACTAGAGCGTGTATAGGTCAGGCTAATATTATTTACTGATATTTACAACCAGTGATGCCCCACTTTCATACATTGGATTGGTATCCGAACCAATAATGACTTTAAATAATGGATCGGGTGTCTGTGACTGATCTTGTTTCTTAGACACAGTTGCTTTAAAATCATTCTAAGACATGGCACACATTATATTCTCACTTGTGGAACTGAATGCTGTACATACAGCTAGTAATTATGAATGATCACAAGGCTCACTTGTTAAAATATAGCACCACACTGCACTGTGCCATAATAAAAGCCCCTCTTAACAAACAGTGACAGTGCATCAAAATAAAAGCTCAGTGCATTAGAGCTTTTCTAATTCTGTTGTTTTTCACACCAGCTTCATCAGTAAATACATATTTAAAACCTGGTGTTGTCAATTTAATGTAAAATTAACATAGATTGGGTGGGTGATTTTGAGATTATGAGTTGATAGTTAACATGTCTACAGTGATCGTTTAGACTTCATAGCTTTAAAATAAATTATAACACACCTTCCCAGCCCTGGTCCTGGAGTACTCCTTGCCCTGCACATTTTAGTGTTTTCCCTCTTCCCAATACACCACCTTCAAGTCATCAAGGGTTTGTTAATGAGCTAATTAGTGGGATCAAGTATGTTGGGAGCAGGAGAAACATTCAAATGTCAAGGGCAGGGATTCCCTAGGACCACAGGGAACTACTGAACTAGAATAATTTGGTTCAATGTAAAATACTAGTCCAGTGTGTCATTTTAAAAATCCTTAATTACCAAAATATCTTAAAACAGATATGTGATAATATGATGGTGAATCTGAACACAAATACTATCACAGTTAGTATAGTAAAAAATGTAAAATTTGAGAACAAGAATATAATTATGAATAAAAAATGGAGAGAACTGAATAAAATGAAGTGAAATAAATGCTAATTAACAGAAACCAGACTGCAGAGATTTCCGTGTTGCCCCCATAACACCAGTACTTGTATATTTAAGTGTTTTGTGAGTTTCTGTTTTTTTATTTGAGTTTTAGAAACCTGACATATTAATCAGTAAAGCACTGTTTGACTAAAACTAATAGAACATAACATTAAAACATGAATCTAAAATTATATTGGCCCATATTATTGGCCACAAAATTTTCATACTGCTGCGCTATATTCTGAACACAGCTATTTTTTGTGTTTTATATCTATTTATTTTGGTTCACCAGCTTATTAATCTGCACTTTCATTCCTTATAGTTGCATTTCTTTGTCTGCCTCACTAACTTACTTTGGAGGGGCTGCATTCATTCAGGCCTAAATCTCAGTTAATTTTAAGTTAGTATGGGGATACCTAAGGATCTTATACATAATATTTATAATTTCAGGGTTTTTTTGACATTTGCGTTATTTACGTATGCTATGTAAATCACCATTGTAATGTACTGTACTGGTCTGTTGTGCAAAAACAGAATGTAATTTAAAAAAGAAAGAGCTGCCAGTGCCTTGTGAATGGAGCCCAAGCTTGTCTCCTTGATCCTATGCATATCATTCACTGCCTCTTGTCAACCTTCAGAATTTAAAAGTGGCATTTAGTGCTACTGGAGATTTCTTCTGTGAAATGTGTCTGTTCATTTCAGTGGAGAGGATCAGGAGTCACTGAGGATATGAGAGTGTGTGGGGGCTGCATTAGCAAACATATGTCTGTTAAATGTTTGTGATGTTTTGTTGTTTGTGATCAGTACGTAATTGTAGCAGTCAAACGTTTGGACACAGAAAGATTGTTCTAATTGTGGAAGAGTAATAACGACGGCATCAGAAGTATGAAGAAGGACAAAAGGAATTGTACAGTAAGAAAGAATCCCTGTAAAAAAGTGTTCATTTGTAGATTCCTACTGCTGTACAGTATATCATCTAAACCGTAATACTGACGTATCATGATGTTGCTTTTAAGTTTTAACATTTTTACTGATACAGTACTGGGCCAAACCTTTCATTTATCTAATTTCCAGTACAAGAGCCCTTTGGACATAATCCACATGCAAGGAAAGTGAAAGTCACAGGAAAGGACTGAAGAAAATTGTTATATTTTGTTATTGAGACTTCTGTGTAATTTTCTGTTGTATATGTTTTGTGCTTTTTTTTCACTGACACTGAGAAGCAATACATTTTACTTAATTGCTTAATTTTAACTGGAAGTTAAATAAGTGAAGACTTTTGTAGAGTAGTGTATTTGACAGATAATGTTTATTATGTAGTAATATAATGCCTATAAAATTTGTTTTTATCTTTTTTGTGCTTTCTACATTTTATTTGAAAAAATACATTTTACATTTTTATTTTGGAGATAAATTCATACACAGGAATCAACTTCATTGATTATGTAGTATTTGTTTTAGAAACTAATTTCAAACATATAAGCACCTTTGAATCAAAACATACATTCAACCAGCTGTGTCCAGACATTTGACTCGTACTGTATGATCATGGAATGTGTGAGGATGTTTCCCAAAGGAAACGCTCACTCCGAAATCTCTCATTCCTGCCAACTCATTCAGCTCAATTGGAAGTGTCTAATTCCTGCTTTGTGCCAAGCAAATATTTATGCATAAGATAAGATTAATAGGCTCCATTTAGATGAAAAAGGATAAATTCATTCTCATTTATCTCCCTGAAAGGGTGTCCTCTATTACCCTCTAATGATTCTGGTTAATTCAAAGTGTTTGGCAAAATGTTTGCATTAACAGAACGTCTCATCATTTTTCTTCTTTTTTTGTTCTTTCTGCCCCTCTCCTCTTTTTTTTCCTTTTCCTTTTCTTTCCTGGGCCCCCTTCTCTCCACTCTGTCTCTCTTCTCTGCCATGCTCTCAGTATCTCTCATAAAATTACTAGCACAGTCGGTAGCATGTGGGACTCGATCAAGAGCGTTTTCTCTAGGTAACGTCCCTTTGGCCTGCTTCTTGATCGTGTGTGTGTCTGTGTGTACATGGGTGCATGTGTTTGGAAAAGTGATCTTTTTTTAATCTTTTTAGGGCCGCACAATATATTGTTTGTTATTGCCATTGAAATGTTGTCTTTTGCAGTACTGAGCTCACCCAAGGCTTCAAATGAGCCATTTAATAAATTACAAAAAAACATTTCACTTAGTGTTCCAGATTCACGTGGCCCTACAATTTTGGTCAGAATAATGCAGGGTCAGTCTAAGTGTTTTCATATTGTGCAGCCCTTATTGTTTTCAATTATGTCATATTTATGTATCAAATAAATGAGTAATAGCCATTTTTGATTGAAGGTGTTCAAAAAGAAGAATAGATGCGTGAGAATCATTGACTGACACTTATCTCTCTAATCTTCAGCTGATTTTTTTTTTTAAAACAGCTTTGGTTAGCGTTTCAAACCACTGCCTCACCTTGTCTCTTGACAAATTTGGAAGCAGGCTACATAAAATATAAACCTCAGTTCCCAAAAAGTTGAGATAGTATGTGAAATGCTAATGAAGAAAGAAAGCAGGGACAAATAAATTCTGTTTGAGATATTAAATTGAAAACAGTACAAAAACATTTGATAAATTTTGCTTTATTATTATTATTTTTTTAAATCATTTAATTCATTTATTTTTTTTAAATAGCCGCAGTCCAAATTGGATGCCTGCAACACATTACAAAATTTGGGACAGGAGCATGTTTACCACTGTGTCACTTAACAACTCATTTAACAACTCTTAATAATCGTTTAGGGACTGAAGATGCCATTTAAGAAGCTTTTGTGAATTTTTTTGCGCAACTGTACAGGGCATTTGTTGTTGTGTTTTTTGCTTCGTAATACGCCACACATTTTTATAGGTAGAGAGATTCAGACTCCAGGCAGGCCAGCCTAGCCCCCGATTATGCAGCCATCCTGTTGTAACACATGCAGAATGTTTCTTGCCGCTGTCATGATGAAATTAGCATGGACCTCCCTGAAAAAGATGCCCTCACAGATACTATGACAGACCCTGGCTTTTACTTTTTTACTTTGAACTTTACACTGGTAACAATCTAGATAGTCCTTTTCTTCTTTGGCCTGGAGAACACAACGCTCATTATTTTTATATACAGTCTGAAAACTTAGACCACAATACACTTTTCCAGTGTGCATCAGTCCATTTTTGATGAGCTTGAGCCCAGAGAAGTCAGTGGTGTTTCTAGGCATTGTTGGCCTGTGCTCTCTGCTGGGCGTAGTGACTTTTAGTAACTTGTATTTGTGGATAATGGACTAGGCCTTTCTTGGATGCTCCTTTTATACGCAGACATGGTTGTATCTCTTGTTCAAGAGCATTTTTGAACATTTCACACATTTCTAGCCTTAAATTGCTCCTGTGCCAACTTTTTTTTTTTTAACTGTGTTGCAGACATCAGTTTCAAAATAAGTGTGTATTAACAAAAAACAATGAAGTTGGTAAAGCAGTAAATATATTTTACTTGTCTTGTCTTTTTAATACATGACAAAATGGAAAGTGGTGTTTCTGTTTTTGTTTGAATTTCACATACCATCCAAACTTCTTTAGAACTGAGCTTTGTACAAAAAAAATAAACAGCCAGAAGGTACGATTTGAGGTACTTTCCCATACTCTACACCCTTAACAGAGTAGATACACTATATATCCAAAAGTTTGTAGACACCTATTCATCCATCATTTGTTCTGAAATCAAGGGTTTTTCCCCCAGTAGTAACTGTTTCTGCAGTGTCTGCTGTGAGGATTTGATTGCATTCAGCTACAAGAGCATTAGTGAGTTCGGGTGCTGATGCTGGATGATTAGTTCTGGATCACAAGCGCCACTCCAGCTCATCCCACAGGTATTGCTTGGAGCTTCACTGCTCCACAGCCCAATGCTGGGGGGCTTTATTCCCCTTTAGTCGATGCTTGATATTAGTGTGGCTGACCCAGAGCATCCCATTCTATTGGCAGTGTTTTTTAGTGGGGATCATACAAGCTCTGTGTGTGCAATTCAACACCTTAGCAATGGGTGCACCTTAAAATGGGGTGTCTGGATACTTTTGAACATATAGTGTAGATCTTCACAGTCATTGTGTTAAGCATTGCTTCACCAACTAATGCAATCATATCCAAGCATGTAAGTCACATTGCAGCATAGTGCTTTTGTTCAGGATAGGTACAGTGAAAGATCACAGTCGTTTAAGCTGACCACAAGTATTTTCCACAGTTGTTAACTTATAACTAAAATTTCATGATTGTGACAGACTTACTTGTAGATTAAAAGGGTATTATTAAAGGTATTTAAATTGCTTTGTATAGACATTAGTATTCATGGCTTAATAACAAACAATAAATTATCTTATTGGTTTTTATTCCAGAACAGAGCCCTATTCCTCGTAGCAAACTAATAAGAAATAATATTTAAGCTTAGGGAATATGCTTATATCAAACTATAAAGACTAGAAAAAAATTCAAGCGTTGCATGACAATGCATTGTTTTTTATATATGAATTCCATAGTGTACATTACAAAAGCAGTTAATATAAGAACTCTTATATGCATTATGAATGTACCTTCATCAAGCAGTACTCCATTATTTTTCAGTTCAGTCTTTATCTGCTAAATCTGTATTGAATGGACAATAATTTCGATGAAATTCCATGTACGCAGAGAACAGAAAAAAAATGATGCTGATGGGCAATTGCGTAAGTAAAGGAGATTGGTCCAAATTATTGCCTGGGGTTATAGACTTTATGCTACAGAAATACAGGAGTATTCCTTTACTATTTACTCCTGCAGTGTACAATATCAGTGGAGTTTTGCATTTCACATAATAAATTATGTATGGCACATGTGATAAGCATGTCAGTGTTAAATAGAAAAGTTACAACAAAACATGGTTGCTGCTAATTCTAAAAACTGTAAATGTTAGTGTTAGAGTTTCTGAAACACTTTGCACAACTTTATGTTGTAGCTGAAGGGGTTTTTCCACATTAGCTGGTTTATGTTAAGCTTTGCTTTTCAGTTTGAAAATGATTTTAAAATGGTAACTTTATATGTTTCAGTAAACATGACGCTGACACAGAGGATGGCGGAGGATCAGAGAATGCAGAGCAGGCAGAAGATGAGGTGTGTATATTGCTTTTTTCCATCATGTGTCTGTTCATAGATATGCAGTCAGTTTTTTCACAATTTATATACATTTAAATATATCTGTCTCTCTCTCTCTCTCTATACATACATATATATATACTTGATTAAGTACACCTTCCTTGTATTCACACTCGTTATCAATTTTATCACCTCCACTTACCATATAGGTGCACTTTGTAGTTCTAAGTCAGATTGTAGTCCATCTGTTTCTCTGCGTACTTTGTTAACCCCCTTTCACCCTGTTTATCAATGGTCAGGGCTCCCATAGAGCAGGTATTAATGAACTACAATCTGTAATTGTAGAACTACAAAGTGTACCTATATGGTAATTGGACCTGATAAAATGGACAAAGAGTGTAGATACAAGGAAGGTGTACTTGGCCGGTCGATGTATATCATTGCTGTGGGAACAAAACCTTGTATCTCCATTTTTGTCCTTTTTCAGTTTTTGACATAATTTGAAAATGCCTGTTGTCCTTTATATTATGCGTAAATTTCATGATGAATGGACCAAAAGAAACAGCCCAAAATGACTTGGAAAAAAGTCTGGTTCCATTGACTTACATTAAAAGTAAAGTATGTTTTCTCTCCTTCTCCTGTAAAGTTATCATTTTGGAGATATGAGGTTTTGTTCCGACAACAGCGATATATACATTCCAATATGTTAAACTTATAAATAAAAAGTTGTGCACTAATAATGCAGAAAATTGTCATATTTAAGTGTGTTCTCTGTAGAGGATATGTTAACTTACTTTCACTTCAGTCAGCAAAACGAGTCATTTGACTGGGGTATTACAACTTTTGCACACGACTTTATGTATTGCAGGTGCTTTATTCATGTTATCACTGAATTTTTCTTTGTTTTCAAAACAGTCCTGCGTAAATATGTTCCTTATTACTGCGACACATTGTATAAATATGTTACAGATAAAATATATAAAACTTGGCAATACTACTCTCTCTCTCTCTCTCTCTCTCTCTCTCTCTCTCCTCTCTCTTTATCTATCTCTTTTTGTTCATACTAGGATGAACAGGCAGTGAAAGAGGAAGAAGATAAGCCTGGCATGTGGGAAGAGACATTTAAAACCCACAGTGACTCAAAACCCAATGGTAAACACAAAAATCACACAAGAACAAATACTCAAGGACCATAATTACTGAGGTGTCTGCAAAACCTTTGCATGCACTAAAATTGAACGTGCACAGCAGGTCTAGGTTTGACTGCCATTTAATATTAAACGCAAACTGTTCCGCACAGAGCATGTTTTGAGCATGTTAGAAAGTAGACAGCAGAAATAAACTTTCTCTAAAAGGCCTAGAAGCACTGGTGGAAAAGGGGAGTTTTAGCAGCTAAAAGACAAGTAGTTTGGGAAATTACCATGAAGAAACACAGAAAATGTGTGAATAAATTAACCAAAATAAGTTCTGAGGCCTTGTTCACACCTGGCATTAATATCCATCTAGATTGATCCAATCGTAAGTGGACATCACTAAATACAGGTGTGACTGAGGTCCAGTGTGTCTCAGAGACACACTGTGATCCGATCAGTTAAACTGCCTTTGGAGATGGTCAGGGACGCATGTGACCACATAATCTTGGATTGCATTAGCAATTCCTGAGGTCTGATTGTAACTGACTGTCTTTATTTGTGTAAATGTTCAAGCCCAGTAAATATGCATGGCATCCCCATGAAATCTAATCCCAAACAGTGGTGCAGCCATTGCCAAATAATTGGTGTTTGTTTAGTGACATGATTTGCCAATTCACAATTATTATTATGCATTGTTATGTACTATTTTCCTATAAAATAATATAATACATGACATACGTTATTGTACAATGCCGCCTTTATTTTATGGCATCAAAACAAGATTTCCATCTAAGCAGATTATGGAAACTATTAAAAAAGGTAGTTTGGTTATATACATTTCTAAATAAAATAGCTTTGCATGATTGTATATTTAAAAGCTTTAAAATCATGGCATTTTGCAACTTGTTCCGGCTTACTTTTATAAAATAAATAGTGCAGAGTGTAGTGTATTATAAAGAAGACCTCCATAGTGCAATGCTAAGTTCAGTAACCCTTTCACAAATATTGAAAATAGTCATTTTTGAGGTTTGGTAAAGCTGATTCACTTTACCAAGTCAGATTATACGACCCCCATGGCATTTTTATTATTATAATAATGTTTGTTTGTTAGGAAAAAATACATAATCCTGAGTTCAGAGACAAAGGTCCAAGTATAAAGACTAGTTTATGCACATTTTCAGGAGTTAAACTTTGAAAAAGCATGTGCTAAAATTTAACAAGCGCACTGATTAATCTGTAGTTGCACCACCTGACTTTTTCTGGTTGGTAAAATTGATCATCCTGTTTAAAAGTAAATTTATACCATAATAAAATTTGTTATTTTAAAAACAAATGTTTCTGTTATGCAAACTGCATATTAATGAAGTCAGGCACACTAAAACCTTCGGATATGCGGAAACTTTGTGTTTGCCTGCAAAAACAGATCAGCTGTGATGAATCAGCAGTATGCATTAGCACCACTACAAACATGTAGCAGATACAGCCATAAATGTATGTTTTTTTGTTTTTTTTTCTTCATTACTCTCATTTTTGTCCTTTGAATTCAGCTGTGTCACTGCTGCTTCTTCTTTCTCTTGCACCTCCAGGACCATCGTCCATTAGTTTAGACTTCTCTTTTCCTGGTGTGGACCATGTATATGGCATTCCAGAACATGCAGACACGCTTAAGCTCAAAAACACAGAGTAAGTGTTTCACCTTCTTACATTTTAAATCAGTAGGGCCATTTTCTGTAGATCTAATATTACCAGTAGCCTCTTCACTCTTCTTTAATAATGTAGGAAACAAAGAAGCAAACCCTTAACTCTTTGCTGTTTTTGTGCTCTCAGTGGGGGTGACCCGTATCGTCTATATAATTTAGACGTTTTCCAGTATGAGTTGCACAACCTTATGGCCCTGTATGGTGCAGTGCCAGTCATCATATCACATAATACTCAGCGCACTATGGGCATCTTCTGGCTCAACGCAGCGGAGACCTGGGTGGACATAAGCTCCAGCACTGCAGGAAAGGTGAGACACCAGGGCTGTTTGTTATCTTTACCTCACTTGGGACTGTTTGTTACTGGTTTAAAGCCCCAGGGAGCCTAAATTTTCCTCTTTCGATGTAGACTGGGTCACATGTACATGTAAGCAACATCCTCACAAATCACAACAATCAGAGCTTTACAAAAGCACTGTGGCCCACCCACACAGCTTTACAAAACTGTGTTCCACTGTTTGAGTCAGAGAAACTTACCATGGAAAAGCTAACCTAGCAAGCACAACTGTGCTACCAAGCTAGCTCATCTGTTTAGCATGTCGTCTGTCCATACTTTCGAACTGGCCACACCTGCATTCTCTAGATCCACATCAAACAGTAAAGTGAAAAAAAATCTTACCTTCTTTAAGAAATCACCAAGCTGGATAATGTTGGAAGCTAGAAAATGTTTTTAGTGAACCATGAACATAGTAAGTTGGTCTACAGCATGACCTGCATGTAAAGCTTGTTTTAATTCTCCTTGCTCACGCTGTTATGTTAAACTCTGCTTCAGTGTTGTTGTAGGCTGAGAGTATTGGACTGAATATTAGGCCACTCTCAGACAAATTTATTTATTAACTAAAGCAGGGGGAGTGCTGAATATGAGGTGACTCTCTCAATTTGTCTAACATCTCTCTCTCTTTTCTCCTGTGTGTGTGTGTGTGTGTGTGTGTGTGTGTGTGTGTGTGTGTGTGTGTGTGTGTGTGTGTGTGTGTGTGTGTGTGTGTGCTTGAAGACGGTCTTTGGGAAGATGATGGACTTTGTTCAGGGCTCAAATGAAGCACCACAGACAGATGTGCGCTGGATCTCTGAGAGCGGCATCATTGATGTTTTCGTCATGCTCGGACCAAAACCCAACGATGTCTTTGCACAATATGCCTCACTGACAGGTACACACATGAACAAACTCAGGCACATGTACTCATGGGGAATATTTGTCAGTCATTTATGTGACGGGATCATCAGGTTTGAATTCCTAGTTTGAGTTCCTCAGCCTGCCCCCCGACTTTCAACACTTTTAAATCTGCATTTCCCCTCTGTGTTAGTTAATAGATAAATCTGTTAAAATGGTATTTAATCTTAATTTTGGACAGCTATTATTCATTATATCATTTTTTAGATTATTTGTAATTTAATTTATCTGTGATCTCATAATGGCTGTTATTGTCGCTAAACTATAGTTTAACCAATCACATTACATCCAGCTCTTGGGGTGACGATGAGCTGGTCCGAGTCAGTTTCGGACAAAATTTTGTCAGTCTGTCGTCAGTTACAGAACAAAATTTCAGGCCCGATTAAAGCTTTTACAGGGATGTCAAAATTGCAAATATCAATTCAATAAAAAATGCACATTAAAATATAAAAAATGTCCAACATATGTTTAAACACAGACTGCAGCTGAGATCTGTGCCACAATCTAGTGAGTTGGTGGTAGTTATACTAGACTGTCAGACGAACGAGAAACGTGGCAGAAAAAGTGCTCACTTGCACAGATAAGGTCTTAATCAGGGTTTTCACTGATCCTAAAACAAGCTCATATAAAGTCTTATTCTACTAATAAAATGTCTTATTTTTTACTCTTAAATACTAAATTCTGAAAAGATGCTGAAAAAAGCCATAATTAAAAGGTATCAAAAGGCACTGAATTTAATTGCAACACTAGCACAGTGACCATATAATGGCTCATATTTTACTTTGGCATTATTCTGACTTACTAGGTCAAAATCCTGAAAAAACAAGTCGTTACAGTGACCTAATGTGTCACAGTTTGAACCTGAAACAAAAGGATAAAAATGTTTTTTTTTTCCTCCTACCTGGTGGAAATGTTTTTGTTTTTTTTTGTTTTTTTGTTTTTTTTTACTAAAAGCTTGTGAACTCAGCATGTGGTCATTGTGCTAGTCATGTGCTAATTATGAAGTTGCACCTGTGTTCATTTGCATGCAAGTTCTTTGTGAATAACCTGTTAAATTGACCACCTCCACCAGCACAGTGTCAGTGGACTGTCAGTAATAAGTACCTCTCTTAGACCTAATACACCATGCTGAGAGTTATATGCACAAGCCTGTGTACACATGTACAGTGATACCAACCACACATAGTTGGTAATTCACTAGTTTTATGCTTCTCCCGTTCTAGGCACTCAGGCCTTTCCTTCTCTGTCCATGCTCGGGTACCACCAGTGCCGCTGGAACTACAATGATCAGGAGGACGTGAAGGCTGTAGATGAGGGGTTTGATGAGCATGACATCCCCTATGACTTCATCTGGCTGGACATCGAGCACACTGATGGCAAACGTTACTTCACCTGGGACCCTAACAAGTTTGCCCAGCCCAAAGAGATGCTGCAGGGGCTCATGGACAAGAGACGCAAGGTGATTCTGTGTGTGTGTGTGTGTGTGTGTGTGTGTGTGTGTGTGTGTGTCAATTTATTTTCATTTGTATGGAGTTTTGCACTGCCCTCTGATGGACCGGTGACCTATCCGGACTGTTTCCTGCCTTCTGCCCCATGAGCGCTGGGTCAGGCTCCAGTATCCCCCACGACCCAGGAGGATAAGTGGCTTAGAAAGTGTGTGTGTGTGTGTGTGAAACATTGAAAATGTAAAAGGTAGGACTGGAGTGAGTTCCGTTTTGGACACACAAGCATCTTATATTTCATCACAGTCATATCAAAACCTTGTAACTTCATGGCTGACTAGCTTCCTTTTACACAGTGTGAACATTTCATGATAAATTAGCCAGTGGATTACAATGAATATCAGACATTATATTACAGAATTTCTTTACATTTACATACAATACTGTGCATAACCAGAGATCACGCTTCATTTATTTCATTTCAAATCAACAAGGTCATTAAATACAAGTTACATTTTTTTAATAGGTATTTGTAAAACTGTTAGATATAATATGCTAGCATAAAAAAAAGAAAATGGTTAAATAAAAAGAAGAGAGAAGTAAAAAAACAGGAGTTTCCGAAACTGGTATCGAGAAAATGGGACTCCAACAACCATGCAAGACTGGTGTTTCTGTCCATCCTCCCGCTGTGAGAAGACAGCTCAATACTATGAGTCTGAAGGGATGTTTAGCTGTCAAGAAGAAGTAAACGGACAAAGAAGAAGAAAATCTGCAGTTAGTCAAAGACGCTGCTGGTGTTCTCAGAACAATAGACTGGCCACCCAGAGCTCAGACCTCAGTATCATTAAATGTGTTTGGGGTTACGCTGATTATGAGAAGCAGAAAATTTAACCAGCTTCTAAGACTGAACTGGAGGTGTGGAAGTCCCTGCAGATTTCTTTGAAAAACTGAAAGCAAGTCTTCTGAAAAGAATGGAAGCTTTAATAAAAGCAAAGAGTGGACACACTAAATTCTGAATAAGTTGTTAATAGATTTAGTTGCTGATGCTTCTGTTTAATCTTCTGTTTAATATTTGTTTTCTGCTTTTTTCCCTGTTGCTGAAAAGTGAATAACTCTTGCTTAATTGCACTTTTGACTGTAAATAAAATAAAGAGGGGTGTTCTCTAATTTTTATACACACAGTGCTGTGTATTAAAAGTTAAAAACACATTTCCTTCTCAACAAAAAATTACTTCCCTGACTTTTCATGTGTGTCTGACATAGGAGGTTTTATGACAGAGGCAATTTGTGCTCTTTTACATCAGAATTCTCAGTAATAATATTGTTGAGAATTTTTGTTAATTTGAGGTTGCATGCTGTATATTTTCCAATTTGTCCTTAGATGGTTGCCATTGTGGATCCTCACATCAAGGTGGACAGCGGATACAAGATTCACAATGAGATTCGCTCCAAAAACTTTTACGTCAAGACCAAAGATGGAGCAGACTATGAGGGCTGGTGCTGGCCAGGTTGGTTAGATCAATCAATTAGTTGCAGTGTATGCAGTATAGCTTAAAGATGGTCCTGGTTTTTCACTTGAGACGATTATTAATACCAGCTTCTCCTCATCTCTTGAAGGAAACTCTGGCTATCCTGACTTCACCAACCCTGAGATGAGAGCCTGGTGGGCCAGCCAATTTGCTTATGACCAGTATAAGGTAACAAGCTATAATTTATTGTGCAGCTACACTGTCTTCCCCATGTGCCTTTTCATGTTGACTCTGGCTCTTCATATTCAAAGCCTAATTCAAGCCAGTAAAACAGAAACCATGAAATCAGAACTTATTAATTGTTAAAGGGGACCAGTCACACTGTTGAATAAACTTGATCAATTTTCCAGCCCTCTAAATGAATAAAAATCATGAAATTTTGCGATCTGCTTCTCCCAGAGTTCATTTCCACTGTTACCGCTGTTCACGACTTGTGTGTGATAATTTAGACATGCAGTTTTTCACAGTACTAATGGGTGATCTATTAGCGTCCCTTATTTATTTATTTATTTTTTTGCTACATTATCTCCAGTGCAGAAGTAGAGAAGCAGACTTCAGACACCAAACATGTCTGGGCTGATCCACTCTTTGAGATAAGGGGAGAAAAGTATAAATGTGATTTCATTAAACTATTTCAGATCAGTCCTGATTTTTTGCTGGATGAAAACCACAAAATATTCATCATATCAGTGTAGAAAGCATGATCTGTTCTTGTTTGTAGGGCTCCATGGAAAACCTGTACACATGGAACGATATGAACGAGCCATCGGTGTTCAATGGGCCCGAGGTGACCATGCATAAAGATGCTCTGCATGGCAGCTGGGAGCACAGAGACGTGCACAATATCTATGGCCTCTATGTGGTGAGAATGCAGTCAGTTTGATTCAGTTGGTTAGTGTGTTAGGCAAGATTGAACTGGCAAACGTGATCAGTAATTAGACCGTTCATTGTTTTGATTTTGGCTAATCAGGCATCTGATTTTTCATGCAAGAATTTAAAATGCCGGTTTGGTCCATTGAAGAGCAAATAATTTATTCATTTTGTGACCTATAGAAAGTGCTCGAAGTGTGCTAGCGTGAATAAAATGTGGATCTTTTTGCATAGTAGCCCAGCATCACACACACATTGTGCTTTTCCTGAGTGCAATAAATACTGGTGAAATCAAGTCCATCTAATCATTTTTAAGCAATTATATGCCGATACTGATATGATTCCGATATTATCATGCATCCCTATATTGTGGATATTCTGTGTCCAGTAGGGTACCATAAGACCCAATTTCTTCTGTTTTTGCATATTTGTCATACTTGAATGTTTCAGATCATCAAACTACAAGCAAACAAGATATCCCAAGTAAATGATTCAATTTATTGAAGAAAATGCTGCTCAATTACGGCCACTTTAATGAGCCGGCAGGATCTCACTTTTATTTTCTTTCTCTCCGAGCCCATTTGGTTTTATTTTGAGTGATCGAAGGTCATAGGCATTCAATATTGGTTCTCGGACTTGCTCCTCACACAGAGATTTCTCTGGGTTCTCTGAATCTTTTAACAATGTAATGGACTGTAGAAGGTAAAATCCATTCCTTGCATTTGTGCAATGAGAAATGTTCTTAAACTGTTGAACAGTTTTTGCAAAGTGGCAACTAAGCCTTTTGTGAATGCTTCTATCATACCCAGTCATCATAGTATCACCTGTTACCTATTCACTTTTTTATGTGTGTACAGTTAGAAAACAGGTGTGATTATTCCACAGACTTCCCAGTCTTACACTGTCCCTGTTACAACTTTGGTATTAGCATATATTTACAAAAATCAATAAAGTTGATAGGGTGAAATATCACCTAACTCTTTTCTGAGCTGTTTTCAATTAAATATGTGTAAAAGAAAGTTGCCAAACCATTGCTTTCTAGATTTATTTGCATTTTACATTCTGTCTCAACCTTTTTGGAAATTGGGTTTGTACAACCTACTAGAAACTTGGTCGTCTTGTAATTTTTTTGCTGTCCGGATGCAAGCAAACTATTTACAGATGCCCCCCCCGAAAAACGAATCCAATCTGAATAGGACTTTAGACTGCCTCGTCATCCAACCCTGAAAACAGGAGCAGGTGAAAGCAACATGGTGCTCAGTCTGTAGTGTAGGATCAGGTTAGAGTTTCAGGATTTTAGTCTGTGTTTCTGTTTATGATTTTATTCTGCATCTTTCAGCAAAGAGCAACTTTTGAAGGCCTGATCCAGCGCTCAGGCGGCATAGAAAGGCCATTTGTACTCTCCAGAGCCTTTTTCGCAGGATCTCAGCGCTATGGTTAGTTGGACATCTCATAGTGTTTATTTTTTTTTAAGTTATTCTCCTCTCCTTACTTATGCTGTCTGTCTCTCTGTGTGTACAGGGGCAATATGGACAGGAGATAATGCAGCTGAGTGGGGTCATCTAAAGATCTCCATCCCCATGTGTTTAAGCCTTGGACTAGTGGGCATCTCCTTCTGTGGAGGTAAACAATGATGTTTAGTTTCATAGTTCTCCTGCGCTTTACTTTTGTTACCTAGTTGCTAGGGGTGTGACGATTGATTCAGTTGATTCAACTGTTCACTAAAATGTACTATATCCATTCGGAGAAGGAAAGCACGACTGACGTTACAAAATGTTCTTTTGCACATTGCTTGAAATTACACATTTCCACTAGAGAGGTCTCCATATCCCCAAATCTTAGCAAGTCAATGTAATAGAAAATAGTTAAAAATAGTTAAATCGTTTGAAAATCAGACTCTTTTATTTTCGTTATATTTTGTTTTTCAAGGTTGCTTATTGTGTTATTAATGAAAATGTCAAACATCTTGCGGAGTTATTATTAATTAAGCACAGTGAAGATTTCAGGTAGTAGTTACTGCATTATTTTACAGGTCCTTCTTTTACTTTATATTGGAGTAAAAGTGATGGCATTACAGTATAGAACAGTCATACATTGTATTGTTGATTAGGCAGCAATTCTCACTGAATTAATAAGATAAAAAATAAGGTAATTAACCTATATTTATTCTGACTCCCTCATTTTTTAGCTGATGTTGGAGGTTTCTTTAAGCATCCTAGCACTGAGTTGCTGGTGCGCTGGTACCAGGCAGGTGCATACCAGCCTTTTTTCCGAACCCATGCCCACTTGGACACTCCACGGCGTGAGCCCTGGCTCTTTGGCCCGGACAACACTGCTCTTATCCGAGAGGCAATACGCCAGAGATATGCTCTCCTACCCCTCTGGTACCAGCTCTTCTACAACGCATACCGCACCGGCCAGCCAGTCATGAGGTGGGTGCCCCTAACATTTAAGACACGCTGTACGTGATAGTGAACTTATTTGAACCTTTTTACCTGTCTCTCTCTCACCCCTACTTAGGGCTCTGTGGGTGGAGTATCCTAAAGAACCAGCCACTTTTGCCATTGAGGATGAGTACTTGCTTGGTAAGTGAAAATAAACAATGAAATGACAGAACTAAAAGTTATATATTTTCTTTTCCCTCAGACTGTCTTAAAGATGTTTCTCCTTATATTTCACAGGTAAAGATCTTCTGGTCCACCCTGTTACTGATGAGGGTGCAAAGGGGGTCACAGCCTACTTACCCGGGAAAGGAGAGGTACAACACAGCTTAACAAAACATTACTTTCCTGAGTCGTCTCCCCGACCCCCGACTTTTACCATGCATGTCATTTATTACTGCTGTAATGGTACACAAGCTGTTTTTAACAGCAATACTGTCTTGTCCTTTCAGGTTTGGTACGATGTTCATACATTCCAGAAACACAAGGGGGCTCAGAATCTCTACATTCCAGTCACCATGAGCTCAGTAAGATTACACTATACTGTTTGTGTGTTTAAATCGGGGCTCAGAAATTCACTCAGTCTGTGTATAACTAGAGTTTCAGCATTTCTGTTACGCACATTTAAACATTAATATAGTGTTTCTAAACAAAGTTAAAAACAGTTAATTCAGTTTAAGTGTGGACAATATGACAGTACTTAGTAGTTATTGTGGTAAATTATGTTACAATATGCTTTTCTGAGCATATCATGGATATCGTATTTAAAGAACACTAACTACGTGTTTCATTTTAACAAGAGAATAATTATTCTTGTTGAGCTGGATTGAATGCAGTGCAGTTTGTAAAACATTGACTAAAATAATAGTATTTTTAGTTTATTTATATTATCATTATTATTATTGTATTTTTACATGCTGCAGTACAGGTTCTATTTTGTCTGTTTCAACTTACTAAATCTCAGAAAAACTAACTATTGTGATGCATATTGTATAAACCATAAATCGTGAAAACGTCTTGTGGTGTCGTGATATTTTTACCATATCGCTCACACCTAATTCAGTTCCTTTTACATAGAAAGTATGCAAGCTTAGTATAATAAAATTGCAGTTTTGGAAAGCTTTAAGACCTGACAGTCTTGTTTCTGTTGATAAGTATGTTCACTTACTATTACTATTTACCAGAAGTTGTCATGATAGCTTAGATCTATCGATGTTATAATAACAAATAGGCCTAGTAATCTATCTAACACATGCTTTAACATATGTTATGTTGAAGACGCCTATAGTAAGCTCAGTTTCATCTTGGTCCATTCATGAATTATAGTTATGATAGTCAAAGCTGGACCCATTATAATATACTTAAAGTTACCTCCTGCAGTCAATCAACTCTTGAGATGGTTTACAGCATGTGCAAAACAATACACAGAATGAAAGTATGTGAGACATGATGTTAATATGAAGACATTTTGGAGTTTGTAGGTAAAATATAAATAATAAACTAATTAAGGTTAGGCGACACGGAATGAACAAAATGTTATTAACCAGTAATTTTTCAAGTCAACGTTTCTACTTCAAAGTAGAAAGTCAAGGTTTTTCTCCAGTTTCATGTTTTTCCTTCTGAAGTACTGGTTTTGTTTTCATTCCCTGAACGGGTTTGAAACCCTGGTTTGAACTGTCCGTCCTCGCCTTTCTTCCTTTCCACAGATCCCAGTGTTCCAACGAGGCGGCTCCATCATCAGCAGGAAGAACCGTGTGAGAAGATCTTCTGTCTGTATGGAGACTGACCCCTACACCCTCTATGTGGCCCTCAGCCCTCAGGTAAACTCACTTCAAGAGGTGCTTTAGAGCACTGTTGTTTCAGCTGATTTGCTGTTCCTTTCACTTAACAGCACTGCTTGTGGACAAAACTTGTCAAACACATTGTTTCACCACTTTTAAGGAATACACAAGCTCATTAGCTAAGAGATGGACATTAGAGATAGACTTATAGATTTGTATGCTAGCAACTTTAGTTTAAGGTAGCACCAGGTTAAACTTGAGGTTTGAGTTAATCTCAGAAGTTGCTTAAGCAGTGGGCGGGAAATTGACATGATTTTCTCTTTACCACAAATGTAGTTCATCAGCCAAGACATGTTTGCTGTCTGAGGTTTGTTTTTTTAGTTTTGCCTAAATCACAACTTTGACCTATTTAGTAAAGGTAGCCTTAACACTTGCCTTGTACTTCATCTGTATGACATACTATTTTTTTTATTAAAATGAACAAAATTTCATTTGTATAGACCAATAGTAGTAGCATCTAAAAGCTTGGATTTTGTCTGTACCCTTGTCCATTTTAATAGATGATAGAATGTCTTACAGTGTTAGAAACTACCTAAGCAAGACTAATTGAAATTATTTAACTGCTAGACACCATCTGAAGTTTTAGGCATGCACTTTGTACAATGCTAATGGATGTCCATAAGCCTCTATTACTCGCTACCTGCATCAGGCTCATAGCTGTATTGTATGAATTAGATTTTTACTCCAGCCATCACTTCAGTATAAACCAGTGCTTGCTAACCAGTGAGAATAGCTTTGTCATTCACTGCCACTGCCACTCACTATGAATGTTAAATGGGCCGGTCATGACCTTCTCCAGTGGTCACTATTTCTGCCTTCCTGCTGAGTCTAGTTCCAGCCGCAATCTGCCAGCTAATTAAATTCCTCAGATTTTTTTGATTGGCTGCATAAGATGCATTAGTGTTGGTTAAGAGGAGACAGGTTGTTAGATGCAGGTTGGAACTAAATGGCAGAATGCTAAGTCTGTGTTCAAATACTACTTGCATACTGACTGTTTTACAAAAGTATTCTAGTATGAATTTCTCCAGTACACTAAAGGTACCTAGATGGCGTTCTGCGCTAGCCAGTTTGCAGCAGTTGCTAAACAGTGGGGTTTAGGAAGCACTGAAGATAATGAGGCCTGTGGACTGTGCACAGACATTTTGGGGGGCAGGGGCTGAAGGGGAAAAATGGGTGACATAAACATGAATTAAACTTACTAGCCCCTCTATTCTTATTTTAATGATGTTCAATTATCTACAGTTTTTTAATCTGAAGTTTTAATATGAAATGGCAGGGAAAGAATAATGTTGGCTTTTTTTTTTTTAGATATTTTTGAAATTACTTTTTCTGTTTTGATCAGTTTGATTTAAGTTGGGTGGGACTAAATTTGGTGTAGATGACATCAGATCTGCCAGAGTAACAATCAGAGTTAGAAATATGTATATGTCAGCTACTAATGTTCCTCTTCCTCACATAAAGTGACTGCTCTCGTGCCAAGTAGGTTTTTCAAGCATGTAAATTTGTTATTGGTGATTGTTATGAAGGTATATTGCACCATTGTAGCATATCTAGATGCATTAGCTATCTGTTTCAGCATCCTACTATAAGCGCTTAAATTTATTTGACAGAGCATGATAGCTCTCATTGGTGCCGGGTTGTTTGCATTGCCAGGGAGACGCCACTGTCAGTCATTATGGTTCTCCACACAGTTCTGAGCAGGCAGCATTTTTCAACTATTTAAATTGTATTGATTTGTATGTATTTCTTGAATACAACACTGGTAAACATTTTTTTCTGTGGCAAACTTTAAACATTTGAAACCATGTTGACAGGGTCTGTAACACCCCTTATTGCCGGCATTATGTTTGGTTGTTGTTCAGAATAACCACATTATGGAGGCTTTTGTAGAGAGATTATCAGCAAGATTTATCAGTAGGATTTCCAGCGGTATAGCGATGCATAACAGATCGGTGTTAATTAGGAGAACCACAGTCGGTACTGCACCAGAGGGGGCACCCAAGAGTAATGAATCTCGTAGAACCCAAGTCCCGCTACCTCTATCCCTGGAGCTTTGCTGAGCTTCATCTTGCTGAAAAGAAATCTTGAAGAATGGCTAAGGCAATATAAAATACTGTTTATTATACACAGCAATCACTTTTACAGCCCGAGGGCAAAGGGGCAGGGGATCAGGCAGGTCTTTTCATTGCGTGTGTCTACAGGATGCTATTTTAACTACAAGCCTATATCTCTTGGAATGGGGTTAGTGACCACCCTACTCCATTTTGCAATGTTTGTTTTAATCTGCTGTGTGATTGAGAGCTAAATATTCCATATTTAAAACGGTCGAACTGATGTTTTCTCTGCCAGGGGACTGCTGAAGGAGAAATCTACATTGATGACTTCCACACCTTCAACTTTGAAAAGGAAAAGCAGTTTATCCATAGGCGTCTGCACTTCTCTGATAATGCCCTTTCTTCCAGGTGAGGTGTTTTTTCTTTTTTCAGTGCACACAGACACACACTAAACATGCTGTGTTCATGTCCATGTCCAGTTTGAGCTACATTTACTAAAAAATAAGAAAATCAATAGACTCTAAGTAGATTTAGAAGGACAGGAGGATTTATAGCTCCTTCTGAAATATTTTTCAGGCTTATGTCTATCTGCAGCATCTGTATACAGCTGACTACCACAGACAATAATTTTCATACTTAGAAAAGAAAAAAAAAACAAACAAAAAAGCAAACAAAAAAAACATACTTAAGCCCACCAGACAAAATATTAGACACATGCAGCATTTCTTCGCTAGTATTTTGAGATAGGAACTCAATTTTAGCCCACTCTTCCAAGAATCTTCCGAGAGTTTATTTGTGTCCTTTTTAGCATTCTGCCTGCTGTTCCAGATTGAGAATTGGAATTGAAGTCTGATGATTAGGTAGTCAAACTGTCCCAGTGTTCCATCATGTCTGTTGAAACAGTCACGTACAAACACCCTACAGTTGTCATCCTGGAATGTGGGAGTGTCAGTGCTGTGTTCTTCTTGGAGAGGAGGCACAAAGTTAGTGAAAGAGTGGGCTAAAATGGATGGAAACTCTGTAGAGACTGGTGTAATACTTACAGGATCGCTGCCGTCCTTAAGGAAAAGGGGATGTGTAACCAAGCATTAGAAATGACGCATGTGTCTAATTTTTGTCAGGGGAGCTTCTTATAATAATAGGCAGATGATTATAATAATAGGCAGACATTGCAGCACCTTCCTTAGTGTAAAGCTTTCTGCAGTCTTATCCACCTTATTTTTCTGATTTTTTTTTTTTTCATGACCACTGTATTTGGAGCTTATGGCAGAAATGTCGGTTTGGGCAACAAATGTGTTGTTTATTACTGTTTTAGTCCAGAAACGTGTGCATACTTATCATTTTATGTTCCATCAAATGTCTCTGAGGCATTTCTGGGGCAGCGTGCAGTTTGTGACTGTCACTATAGCTGAATGAAACTGAGATTATGGCAAGGACTGGAATGTAACGAGCTTCAGCCTCACATAAAAAATGCAGTGCTTTAATGGACATATGAATATTGCTTCTTAATCACAGTCTGAAGAAACCTAGTTGCTATAATTAAAATCTGTGTCTTACTAATATGTGTTTTCAAACAACATTATTTAGACTTGTGTAATATAGCTCTACTCTCTCTGTCTGTTGAGATCTATTATCCACACTTCAATAAATTAAAGCAAGTATTGCCTCAAAATTCCATTAAGGTCATACAAAGTGAGGACTTCAGCTTTTGTTGTTTGCAGTGGTGTTTCATTTTGGCTGAACTGTTCCTTCCCTCATGGGCTGTTCTTTTGCTCTTCAGTAATCTGGCTCCAGACTCGAACTTCTCAACAGCAGCTTGGATAGAAAAGGTGATCATACTGGGAGCTTCTCAACCCAACTCCATCTCTCTGACAGCTGCAGGTCAGTGTTATTGGTCCTGGATGTCTCAACAACATCACATACAGTGCTGTGAAAAAGTTTTTGACCCCTTCCCAATTTCTTCTATTTTTTGCATATTTGTCACACTTGATTGTTTCAGATCATCAAACTACTTTTAATATTAATATTAGACAAAGATAACAACACAATAAGTAAACACAAAATGCTGTTTTAAATGATTTCATTTATTAAAGGAACATTGCTGTTCAGCCCTACCTGTCACTATGTGAAAAAGTAATAGACCCCTTAGCTACTAAATCAACCAGTTAACCAAATTCAATTGACTATTGGGTTTAATTCTGCTGGCCACACTCAGGCACGATTGCTGCCAGACCTTTTGAATGTAAACGAAACTTAAATAGAACTTGTCTGGTAATGTGAATCAGGCTAGAAGGTCTCAGAAATAAGCCACAATGATGCCACATTCTAAAGAGATTCAAATACAGATGCAAGACAAAGTCATTTAAATCTACCAGCCTGGAAAGGGTTACAAAGCCATTGCTAATGCTCTGGAACTCCAGCGATATACGATATAAAATGTGCCCGTGATGTTTCTGCATAGGCCACATTTTACACATCATTTTTTTTTTTTTCCCAATATGTTAAATTCAGCAAATAAATGGTAATTGTGCATTTAAATGTGCAGAATGGTGTTCTCTGTTGAGGATGCAGAAACTTATTTTTACTTCGAAAATCAACAAAATGCAATTTGACTGTGCTGTATGTGCACCCACTGGTCTAATACATAGTAGTAATGGTGAGATAAATCTAACATTTAAAAGTCTTGCACTTTCTCCTAAACACACATGAGGGTTCATTTGTATTATTACTTTGTGATGCAAAGCCCTGAGGATGTCTACACTGAAAAAGACTGCAAGTCAAGTCAAAACCTAAACAAACTACTGACCTACAAACTACAGACTGTCTTACCTTCAGTGAAAATCTGGGTTAATGTTAACTGTATTTTACATTTGCGCTACACATTTAAGTGCAATAATGATCGATTACAGCAGGTAACTTCAAAAAAAGTTGGCATTCTAGCAATTTCCATATAGAGTGTCATTTAGGTTTATAGCCCTATAAAAACAGAGAGCAAGACTCATACAGCTCTCTTTTCTCTTCCTCATGAATTAGTTTCTCCTCATCCGTTATTGACTTTTAACCGTGATTTGACGAAAGGCCTGCAGTACTTTGGTTGAAGTGGAACATCAGTGCAATGCGGCTTGACATATCAAAAATAGAAACAGGGTGTCCATCAGAAATGATGTGTCGTATCTCTGACATGCGCAGATGATGTAAATAGCTTGTTACTTATAATGGGAGTTTAGGAGACTTTGAAGAAAAAAGTATGTCGTAACAAGCATAAAGACAGGTTAAAAAATGAAATTGAAATTGATGGGGTAAAAATATTCAGACACATAACATAACGACATTAGTATTTTGTTGCAAAGTCGTTGGTGGCAGTCAATGGTAAGACGTAATTTGCTTTCTGCAGCATTAAGGTTCAGTTTTACCCCATTCCTCTTGACAAATCATTTTTTTCCCGATGTGGGATTTGTGACAGGAGGTTGGCTAGGCTATGCAAGCACCTTCACCTTCTTTTTTAAGAAACCAGTCTTGAGTTATTTTTGTTGTATGTTTGGGGTCATTGTCTTGTTGAAACCTCCTTCTTCCATTTCTTGGCTGATGAGATGAAACTCGCCTCTAAAATAACCCAGTACATCACTCCATTCATGCTTCCTTTGATGGCATGTAATGCCCCTGTACCTTTTTCAAAGAAGCAGCCCCATATCATGATGCATTACATAAACCCTTATATATTCAGTGACTTTTTCCTTATCAGTTTTGTTTATTTTAAACATCTCATTTAAGCTTGTTTATTTTTCACAAGACATTCTGTGTGTTAGTTTGACATGGATATATGCACTGGAAGTATATTAAATAACAAAAAGTGTCAAAGTACTTGTTTTTGCCTTACTGTATTTTACATATAAATTGTAAGCTGTTTTTCCTAAGCAGGTGATTCCTCATGCTTTTAACCTCTTTCTTCAGATGGCACCAAGTCTGCTGTGGAGTTCGAGTTCGATTCTGCTGCATCGGTGTTAACTCTGCGCAAACCTGGGGTCAACGCAGGGGCTGACTGGACTGTGCTCCTGCAGTAACAGCGCAAGCACAGTTTACCAAGACATAGAGCACTTAAACAACATTGACATATTCACACACACACACACACACCCACACACACACACACACACACACACACACACACATAGGATTGGAATAATTGTAGAATAACTGATAAGATGCAGACTGAGAGGAATGACAAAAAAAGATGAGGTAAAACAGGACCATTAGAGAAACAGTCTCTTTTTTCAGTTTATTGTGCTCCCACAGTTGACTTCTAGACCCTGTATTGTTTTAGCAACATTTTTTCAGGTTTGAAGCAAAGAAGGACAGAAATCACTGTAGATGATATTGATGCTCTAATATCAGATAAAAAAAAAATGACAGAAATGTGGAATTTTGCACTGACTTGTCTACATCAAGAGATGTGGAATTTCAAAATGGAGCTTGTCGATTTTGTTGAAGGGAAGACCAAATTTGTAGAAATCCAAATCCATCCAGTATTTAAGATTTACTGTCTGGTTTATTCCAAATTTGGAAAACCTATTATTCCTTGTGTTCAACTCCACAATGACTTGAATATAGGATACTTTACATTGATCATTCAATTTTAAAGTGAATTTGCTAGAGATTTTTTTTTTATGTTTGCTTTATTTGAATTTTTACCTTCCTTGAAAATCCTGAACATTTCATGTGAAAGTTTTCTGTCTACAAATGAAGAACAGTTGTTAAAAATGAGCTAAAAATCACATAAACCTTATATCCGCATTATTGTCCATGGGTGTGTTAAATTAATTTAATGAAATCTGTTTGAATTGGATGACTGTCTGTCTCCCTGATAGAAGAATTTGTAGTTTCAGGATTCATTCATTCCAAGGTGTCTCGACCTCACTGAAAACCTGGCAATCAGATGTTGGTTTTGTTAAGCTGAACTGCATTACAATCACCCAAGCTTTGAAATCAACTCATATTATTAAATAAAAATCCAAGTTTGACAGATGACAGAGAAATTTGTCATAGCGAGATCAAGAAATGATGGCTCATTTAAATAAAAGTGAAGATTTAGCTGTTTGACAAAACATGACAAAATGAGTTGTTAGCATGTACACAGTGTTTTGCTGCAAGACAATGAACATGACTTGACTGTCCACCAATTATTAATAACATTAAATGTTCAATTTTAACATGCATTACTAGCATTAGTAAATCAGGCCCACTGTGTCAGTGTCTAAAAAATTGATGGATAAAATAAAGATGTTAAGTTCCATTTCATTGATTTTTTGCCTTTCTTTTGTTTTTAATTAATCTCTTTCTCCTTCACCAAAATAAAAATCAAACTTGCACAAAGTTTTGTGCTGTTTGAGTTTTTTGCAGTGAAAAGCTTAAAAATGCCTTGTCATAAAAGGTGACATAAAATGCTTTTTCAGTGTTTGATAGTAAACCATTCATCCTCTCAAATGTTCACAAAGAATGGTTTTGCAGGTCATAGTCCACAGTTCAGTAACACTGGTTTGGTCAGTAGTTAAATGCTCCATGAGGTAATTATACACATAGAGTTTTTGTCATGAATTCACATATTTGGCCTTAAGGTTGAAAAGCCTGTGCAGTAACTCATGAGAAACTAATAAAGTTGCTTTGAGAAGTCATTTTTAATGTTAGAAAGTCCAGGACTTGTACTGCTTACTGTGCTGACTGCCTTAGTCGTCATTGAAAGAACACAGAATTATTGCCACCGAAGCTGTGGTGAACCCTAACAGTGGATTTAAATCTGAAGCAAATCCTCTACTGGTCTACAGCCAGTGTTGAGCAGAATACTTTCAAAATAGTAATGGCTGAATACTGAATCCAGTGTCCTAAATGTATTCAGTAACATATTCTGTTCTGATACATTGCAAAGTAACATATTCAGAATACATGCAGAATACAGTTCAATAAGACACAACTGCTGTTATAATTTTTACTTGATTCCTCACTGTTACTGGTTGGCAGTTATGCTTCATGTAATCCCTCTGTTATTAAAGTCATCAGGTCAGAATACGTTTTGTTGATTTTCTAAGTGAAAATTAGTTCAGTATCAGAGAACTCAGTTCTGCACATTTTAATGTATAGTTACTGTTTATTTGCTGATTTTAATGTTCAGGAAAAAAATAAAAATGTGGTCTGTGCAAAAGACATGGCACATTTAACATTGTAATTCACTCTGGATAAAACCATGTGCTTAATATGTCAGATATTTACAGAAAATTACACTCTTTTTTTTTTTTACAGCTAAATTTATAACTAATTTATTTGTTACCAGTTTTTCTCCCCGGTTCCAGTCTCCTCCAGTAACACATTTGTACCAGCGTTAGGAAGGTGAAGGCTAGCACTTGCGTTCTCTGAGCCATGTGAAGAGCCACCGCTGCTTTTCGACCTGCTGCTAATGCAATGTCTTTGTTTAGCTCAGTGTGCTTGGAGAACGCTACCTGCCAGTTCTTTATGTCAGCTAACAGATGTTTGCATTGAATAGGATCATGCTGAGTGATGGGGGGAGAGGGAGGGCCATCTCCTGGCCATGGATAGCTGTAGCATCACCAGGGATCAAACTCGCCATCTCCTGGTGATATCTTATTTTCATTAGAAAATCAATAAAAACGTGTTCAAACTTTTGCATACTACTGTATATTTCGTGAACGTTTGCCATTTGAATGAAGTTCTGAAGTCTCATTTTGTTCTTATCATCTGCCTCAGCCCACTGCTGCTCCACAGTCAAGCATGAGTCCAGTGCAACACTGATGCTAAGCTTATCAGTCATGAACATGTCTACTACTGAGCTTGTTTATCCCTCAAAATAGATTAGTAATCATGAGATAAATTACTGACTTATCACATTGACTTATCAGTCTATTCAGGCTTTAGCTGAACTTCAGTGTTTGTAAAAAGATGTTTGTTGAGCTCCTCTTTAGAGTCCATCTAATGATCGTCTTTGCTACATGCTGTGTGCTGATTTTAAAATTGTTAATAAACAGGCATTGATGGTGCTTCTTTTAAAGTTTGTATGTTTTGTAAGTGTTCCAGAAGTATTCTGCTAATAATGCCCAACGTACCTGTATTCTGAAAACTACCTTTTCACCAGAATATATATTCCCAATAGTAGTACTTTACATCCCAACCCTGTGTAGAGCACCTGGACCAAAGTTTCATCAGCTGAAACCTTGCAGTTTGAAAGAACATCTGTCACTTTGGCACACAGACATGTCTTCCTGTGCATCAGTCCTGAGCAAAGCCTGTGGGTGCAGTCATGGACCTAATAAGCATCTCATAGCTGAGAAAAGTGACAGCATTGACGGGGAAGGCTCGCACACTATTCAGGAGAAGGCCTTTGAAGAACACCCGAATACCCTCTTCCTGCAGACTGGCAGTGATGCAGTGCAGGGTGCCGCTGTACACTCTGCCACCTGCCCCGGACATCTGGAGTCTAGCCTTCACTACGTCCATCGGTGTGGCACAAGCCCACGTCACCACGCCAGCGATTCCTCCAGCCATTAAAATCACATACGTACCTGGTACAAATGCACACAACCACAGGTCAACACTGTCTGCAGTACACATGGCCTTAATCATTAAATGTAACTGAAAAGGACAAGTTTGAAAGATGGCAGTGGGTGTGGCAAAAATGACTATTTGGAGGGAACATACAACCCCAATATCAAAATAGATGGGATGGTGTGTGAAATGTTAATAAAAACAGAAAGCAGTAATAAGTAAATTCTACTTGTATTAAATTGAAAATGGTAAAAAAAAAAAAAAAAAAACACAACATTTGAAGTTTACTTTATGAACTTTTTTTTTTTGTTAATGTATGCTCATTCTAAATTTGATAAATTTGATACTAACATGTTCCAAAACATTTGGGACAGAAGCATGTTAACCACTGTGTTACATCACCAAAATGTGTTCGGCATTACAGGTGTGCAACCTGCCCACTAATATTCCCCCATACCATGACAAACCCTGGCTTTCATGCTGATAAAATTCTGGATGGTCTTCTTCTTTTACCCAGAGAAAACAATGCCTGTTACTTCCATAAACAATCTGAAAAACAACTTGTCAGACCACGATACATGTTTCCATTGTGTACCAGTCCATTTCAGATGCTCGAGCCCAGAGAAATCTGCAGCGTTTCTGGATGTCATTGACATACAGCTTTCTTGTCCTTTACACACAGAGATTTCTCTGGATTCTCTGAATCTCTGAAATACTTTGCAATCCCTGGCTGTTGGATAATTTGCTGATGCATTTTTGGCAAAATGGGGAGTCTCCTTGCTCATAAAGGACTAGGCTTTCCTGGATGCTCATTTTATATCCAAGCACAAATGTATCACCTGTTTAATATGATTTTTAACATTCTGCAGTGTTCCTCTTCTTATATTTCTCCAGTCCCAACTTTTTTGGAGCATGCTGCAGGCATTAATTTCAGAATGAACATACATTTACACAAAAAACAATTAAGTTAATAGGATAAAACATATTGTCTTTATACTGTTTTAATACAGGCCAAAGTAGATGTGTAAATCACTGCTTTCTGTTTTTATTTGCTATTTATTTACTGTCCAAACTTTTTTGGAATTGGGTTTGTAAAACAGCTGTTGACCAATACTTTCGGTATATTTTGGAACACTCAATTTCATTAAAGTCTCTTGGTAAAAACAGCATTTTATTTCCAAACTATGGTTAAAAGAACATATTGCAACTCATCTGGCCCAAACGTGGTTTAAACACCTGAAGACATTTAAGTGCTGATGGGTGTGAGTATCACAACAAAAGGACAACCACAACATTAAGAATAATAAATTTTATTATAAATTTTACTGGTTACCAATATTCATTTGTAAAATGAATATTGGTAGCCAGTAATATATACAGTGTTGTTTGAACACTCACTAGATTTCTTTCCTTTCTCGGTCAGCATCCGGCAGGTGAATTCATAGGGAAGGAAGTAAAGACCATAGCAGGGAACGTCACGCAAGGTTAGTGCCCATGCCCCCCTGAACAGGCCTCTCGCCCCATCCTCCCTGAAGATGACAGCAACGCAGTGCATGGGGCTGCGGTACTTTGCCCCACCCGCCACAGAATGACTTGCAGTCTGGTTTTGAAGACGCACCTTCACTAGGTCAACTGGGGCCGTGACCAGCACCTAGTTAAGAAGGTCAATGCAGTGATGGTAATACAGTGAGAAATGCTCAAACTCAGACCCTGCAGAGATGCAGTACTGTAGTAGGGCCACACAATATATCAGCAGCAAATATATTACTCAGAGATCAATGGGAAAAGGTAATCATCAAGCTTAGCATTAAAAGCAATTATTTATCGTCTTATTTTTTTTAATTCATTATTTACCTACCTACCAATTTAGCATGTGTTACATGTACTGCCAAAAAACGTTCTATGACTTGTAACAATAATGTAACCCTTTTCATACTCCATGATACAATCAAGCAATAAACGAACAAACCTCAATAAACAGACATAAAATAAAAATACAATAAAATAAATTGACATAAACAAAGTTAAAACTCTGGAGTGGAGTTTTAAACGTTTGATAGCAGAAGGGCAGGTGCTGTTACTAAGCCGAGATGTTCTGCATTGGATGCTTTAAAACCTTTTGCCGGAAGGGAGCAGTTTTACTTTGTTTCCAAGCTTCTAGTATATGTAGAGGCTACAGGTAGAAGTTTACAGCCAATGATTTTGGAGGCAAAAATTCTCATCATAATGAAGAAAAATCCTCATATAATTGTGTGACAGATCAAAAACTCTCTTCCAGGGGCAGGTGTGGATTTGTCATTGACTACAGTCTGCAGAAGACTTCATGAACAGAAATGCAGAGGCTATACTGTAAGATGCGGTAATTTGTACATGGTGAAACTCAAATGTATGAAAATACCCTTTATTAAAAGCTGAGAATCTGCCCTTTAACATGTGAATTGTCTGAGTAAACATCTAAAACTGTGGAGTACAGATGCGAATAAAAAATATACAGACCTTTGTCCCAAACATTATGAAGGGCACTGTATTAATCCAAACTTCTGAATGGTGATTCCAAGCATTTGAACAGTAGTATATATTTTTCAACCATGAAAAGTTCATTACACCACAAATTCATCAACCATTTGATGTAAACAAGGATGCTTGTTTGAATGCAACTGAGCTCATGCTAATTGAGTTAGAGCCTTTGTAAGGTGCTTATTTGGTAATATGAATGCACACATTTAGATCTACCTGTATTCCTCCTGAGAAGCATCCAGCTGTGAAGACGGCCCACAGTGGCGCCTTGTTGCCTTGGTCACGCTCCCTGTGTTGGGACTGGGTGAGATAATCCAAGGCATTGCTGTAGGAACCGAAGGCCACAGAGTTGCTGACAGCAACACTGAAGACAGGAAAAGCCATGCCTTTGAAGAAACCATGAAACTGAGCAAGCAGAAACAGGCAGGCCGAAAGGAAGAGAGGTCAGCTGAGACATTGATTAACTTTTATAGCTATACCAGTGAGACGTTCTGTAGATTCTCAAACCCCAGGCTAGGACTTGCGTGCCTGATGTAGAATTAGTGGATTGGTACATGACATGACACAACTGTGACAACATATTCAGGCTTTACTGCCTATGACTAATGCGTGGCCACGACTTAGTAAGGTGTGGAAACAAGATAATTAAGTCATGGCCATGACTTAGTAAGGTGTGGGAACCAGATCATGCCTTATTAAGCTGTTGTCATAGCTTAATTATGTTATTCCCACGCCTTACTAAGTCGTAGCCACACTTTATTTTTATTTATACGGGATGTCACCAGCAGGGCTCCGTAACAACTACAAGTAAACAAACCATGCATTATGATTCATTGATGTCATTCACAGTGGTTTGATGTGAAATGGTGCATTGTAGATAAATGTACCAACTCAGATTTCTGTATTCAGAACAATTTTATGCTTGGCTTCTCCTCTGGGCCAATAAAATATTTTTGTCCTATTTGGTCTTTTCTCTTCAATAAAGTAAATTTGCCATGATAATATGCAGAGATATTTTCTATGCTTCTTGTAAACACATCCAAAGTTCAGTCTTAGATGTTGGTTGCATTTTCTGCTTCTTTCCATCCAAGTAATTCCAAACACATTAAAGAGGCTGAGGTCTAAACTCTGGGGTGGCCAATCATTTTTTCTGTGGATTATTTATTTATTTATTTAATTATTTATTTATTTATTTATTTTTGAGCAAGAGCAGAGCTTGATTTACTGTTGCCTTTCAAACACAACAACTTTAAATATTGTTAATCTGATCATGACCTGTTCATCTATTCTAATGCATTAGGTGTTCCTATATAAAGGGCAGCTGTTATTAAATTGGTGTACATAGTTTTAATTTCACAGCGATTTGTATTTATTTATGGAGACAATTTCTCTGGATGCCTCACTCCACTGTTCATAAACAATGAGAAACAATGAAAACAATTTTGTCTTTTTAACACAGGAACTCAAATCTGTTCTTTGCTCGGGGACACTTGCGTGCATGAGGAACCTGTCTAAGTGAAACCTGTGCTTACTTAAATGGACAATACTGAATTAGAAATAGGAATGATAAACAAATAATACAAACTGACTTCTGGTTACTGTTTCCAACAAAGAATTCTAATAACAAAACATACAACCTTTATACGGGTCATTGATGTATTGGGATTTTCAATAGGCCAATTTTAAAATATAGAAAATAAGTATATCAACTGCAATTATTCAAACACTGAGAATGCTGTGAACCCATAAATTCATATTTAAATTTTAGATTGTTATTTTAGCATTTTTTCATCTAGATATGTCTTCTGTAATGTCTCGCCTTCTTAAATGAAGTAACAGACTTATTTTTTCCTGCAAATCACATAAAACGTTTTTTAAAAAGCCATTAACTCAAACATACTGCATCAGTGATTAACATTTCAGCCACAAAAAATGAGATACTTTATTTTAAATTTAATACAGTTATTGCTGTTATGTGTCGCACCACATGATGAGGAGTCGCTCCAAATGACATGAATATCTTTAAAAATCTATTTTAAAAGATCAATAAACGGTAAATTCCATACAAAAAATAGATATGAACCAGTTTTATCAATTTCAAAGATTTGTCAAATGTTTCATAAACTTTTTTTTACTAAAAATCGAATCACAAATCATCATAAGTGCAGCACATTCACGGCTTTGTTTAGAACAAACATTTCATTTGACTTAACAATGGAATAAATTCATTTTGATTTTCAAATCATTTTAATCAGAACCAAAAATCCCGCATTTGTAGAAGTGGGCTACAAAACAGGACAAATTCTATTGCTATTATACTATTTTTACCTATAGAAACTTTCCTTGCCATTTTTTCTCTGGTACACAATAAAAAGATTCACAGTAACAAATTACTTTATGTGGTAACAAGTAAATTAACTTTAAATGAAAATTATTTTTTTTACTAACTAAAGAATTACTTGGAATGAATGTGTAAATCAAAGTAAATTGTAAAGTTGAGTACAGCTAATTGTTACCACAAAGTATTTTTTTTTAGGTAGAACTGAAGAAACTTTTTACAGTGTAGCTAAAACAGTAATGTAATACAGCATCATGCCATAAATCTGCGTTGTATAGTTTATTTTCATTTTGGACTAATGATAGATGATAGCAGATGCAATGTTAACAAAAAATGCATTTGAAAAAATACACAAGCAATTTTTATTTTTAAAAATGAAAAAAAATTACATTAAATTCTCTTCACATTCAATACTCTATTCTTGCTACAGAGTCAGAATTAACACACTGCCTATGGTGAGAGATATTTACAATGGAACCTGGTAAAATAAATTAAAACAGTTATAGATATATAAATAAAAGTTAAGTGAAATTACATGTGCTTTATTTTCAAGTCATCATTTGAATATAAAGCACAAAACTGCCAATCTATGACATATCTATTATAGAAAACACTCTGCATCGGTCGCACCACATGATATTTGGTCGCACCACATGATATTTGGTCGCACCACATGATATTTTCAAGTTCAGTCAAAATTTACCAGCACAGAATTGGCCACCGAACGAAAATAAGCTAGCTTTCCACAAAAGGTAACTATGAAAATCATGCCAAATGGGATAAAAAATAAAAATGAATAGATTTAGAGTAATTTCAAAGAAGTTTTGAAAACAGCAGTCATGGCCTGACGGTCGCACTACATGATATTTTGACCCTTTTAAGTAACAGGAAAATTACACTTAACTAATATTTTTTGAAAAGTTAAAGTGAGTAGATATATGGAGACGTAATACGTACCTTATAGTACCTTTTTTATGCAGTTAAACCTTTTTTAAACTGAAAAAAATGTTGTTGGACAGAAAATTTAGGCATCACGTCATTGACCCATACAGCAAGTGTCAAGGTTATCACTTGTTCTCAGTTTACAGAGGAAATTTTCTTAATCCAGTGTTGATACTCACCCCTTCATGCCTGTATGTCCGGACCACACAGTCAAATATCCCTTTGTAGGTGGACTGAGTTTGAAGACGCACCTGGAATAAAGTAAACATGCAGGCTAAATATAAAATTCTTTGAGTTTTTCACTATCAAGAAACACAAAGAATTGCACCTTTACAGTGTCCATGGGATGTCCAACAGTCAACCCCACTGCACCTAAAACACATTTCACACTTTCACATTTCTGACTTGACTGTGGTTTTGAAATGTACTTAAAGCTACACTAAGTAGGTTCAGGGAATTTGGAGACCTTTCTGGTGGAAGTACATTTTGTAATGTCGGTTGTGCAGAAGAATCTGACAACTGCGAGTGTATTGAAAGTGTATTCAAAGAGAACTCAGTCAAAACTAGGTGAAGGACGTGTCTTCCAAAGATGTAAGTGAATTATAAACTATTGTCATCAGATCCTAATAATACTGATTTATTATTTTAGGCCTAAACATTTAAAGCCACATCTTCTTTTCGAGTCTGTGCGTGTGACGTTAACACAAAGATGTACGACATGGTCTGTAAAAACCATGAAATCTAACCCAACACTTCTGACTTTTAAATTATTATTTCAGGCCTTCCAGGGTAACTCGCAGCAGCGCATAGACTATATTTTAGAGTGTTTTTTTTCTTCCTGACTCACTTCCTGTAGCGCTACTTTTAAATTTTAACAAAAACTCTTACATAGTGCAGCTTTAACTATCAATTTATGGCACTAGTTTCTTGCGAACTAGTCAGTAACAAAAAGTAAAGGTGGAATGGCAAACATACCTGAAATCCATCCTGCAATGAATTCCACAAAGGGCATGGTGTCTGTTCAGCTAAAATGCAATGCAGTGTAATACATTTCATGCAAAAGTATAACATTATTTGTTCCTTAACCCCTATCATGTTCACAAATTGGTTACATCATTAAATGTTTGCGGGTCAGTTTCCCTGTATGGCTAAATCACCTCAAAACAGTCCTAGAAAAATACGTATTGTACAGTTTGCTGCCCATTACTTTCCTAATCAGAGTGTATTAGGAAAGTGGGGATAAAACCTTACAAATTGTAAAAACTTTATCTGTTATACCGTCAGAGCCAATTATGGGCTATCATCTGGAGTGACTCTATGAATATAAACAAGTACTAGAAAGTAATAGTTAATCGTAGTGCAAAAATTTTACTATTTAACTATTAAAATTAAAATAGTATGGTAGCTTAATAAATGACAGATCAGATAAGGATGAAATAAATAAAAAACACAATTAATGAAAAAAAAAAAGAAACATAAGATGTAAGACAAATTAAGAGTCCATAATCATCTCCATGATAAAGAGCCCATGATAATCTTAAACTGATTTTTGCGGACTTTACATCAAAGGCAACTTGCTGTGTAAATCTGAATATGGATGGTTTTAAAACGCTCATATCAAATAAATTGTCATATTTATTGAGCAGGGGGTGGCACTACACACTGTGAGGAAGCAAGCAGAACTCATCCTCCTCTGGGTGCCATTTTGTTGTGGAATTATGAGAACACAGTACAAGATTAACCAGAGACACTCAGATCACCCCGAGGAAAATTTCCATGAGATTAACCGTTAAGGTTTGCCTAAACGTGCTGAATACAGTGAAGAAGCTGAATGCAGAGTGAAGAGCAAACATCTGCAGAAACACCATTAATGCCAAGCCTTCATTGTAACACAGGTGAAAAGCGCATTATTTATGTCTAAGCAGAGCTTTGACGTGCACTTTACAGTCAAGTATCAAACATGAACAACTTATATTAAACTTCAGAGCATCAGAAAGAACGCAAGTTCTCCAGTAAAGGCTGCCTGAGCTTTAACTCGACTTTAACTGTCGCCACTGCAAACCAACGGTATCCAGGTTGATATAGAGTCAGCAAAACGTATTGAAATAGTACACTTTAAATGCTCTTACCTCATCTGAACAGGTGTAAAGTCACACTGGGACACCTCAACCCTGTCCTCGTATCAGACCGTTTCTTAACGTCAGAAAGCCTCACTACTGACACCATGTGGCGGTCAGTCTATCTGTGATCTGTCTCAGCCACCAAACACCACGACAAAAGGCTTTTTATGTAATATATTTTATTATGACATAACGCAGACATTGCCAGGGGTACGATCTACACACACACACACATTTGTTCTATATTTTGATGGAGAATGTGTTGTATATGGTTCTATATAGCACCAAAAAGGGTTCTGCTTTTGTTATAAGCTTGATATCGTAACAGTGGAAGAACCCTTTGATGGGGTGAAATACTGCTGCCATGCTGCTTCTTTTCATGAAGAGACTTTTTAATGTCAGTTGTTCAACAGTAAACTGGATATTGCAATATTTTCTGTTTAAAAAAATGTTTTTCCAATTTATATGAAGAGGTGGACATGTGATGCTTGTCAAGGATGTACAAAACAACAGATTTTCAATGTTAAATAAAAGCAGAATTTATCTTAGCTCCTCAGAATGCTTAAACAATGTCACTTGCAGTTCATTAAGTAATTTAATGGAACACTACATTGTTTTCATGGTTAAAATTGGTGTGATGGGTGGGATTACACTCCTAGTAATCTTTAGTAAAGTCCTTTCAGAAATGCAGGGGTCACACACAAGTTATAATACTGAAATCATGTGAGCAGCCATGTGACCAGGAGCAAGTGAGCAATACATGACTTTAAAAGCAAAAAGCAAACATTTTCTGCAGTGTCCCTCTGAGGTGAGTAAAGTCACTGTGTTTCAGCGTAAGGACACACAGATGTGGAAAGGTTTGGGGGATCGTGCTGAAGCTCCCTGGGCCTCCACATTTAGCTGTACGCCCTGGGGAGCGGAGAAGGTAAAGTGCTGGAGGAGCGAGGTGAAGAAAAGAAAGAGCTCCATGCGTGCTAGATTCTCTCCAAGACACGCTCTCTTTCCTGCGGAGATGAATGGAAAGGCAAATTAATCATTACAGCAAGACTTACATTCTGAGGAAAGCTGGCAACACATGCTGTGCTCTGTATAAATATATTTACATCTATATTCAAGTATATTTAGTCAAAGAAAGCAAAAACCCTTATGAAAACCCCATGCATCACAATTACTGGCACCCCCTATAAATTCCCATTTATATTTCACTTTCTTATTTCACCTGAGTGCTCAGGAACTCCTAATTGGTTATCCATGAATTTCACTGGGGTAGAAATATGGGTTCATAGGGTGAAGGGGTAAATTCCTTAGTCAATCATTAACATGGGAAAGAAGTACACAAATGAAATAAGAAAACATGTGTTGACATTTATAAATCAGGTAATGGCTATAAAAAAAGGCTACAAACCTGAAAATGCCCATATCCACTGGTGGGACAATAATTAAAAAAAAAAACATTACAACTACTGGGGCTGTAGTGAACCTGCCTGGAAGAGGATGCATGTTAATTTTATCCCCACATACAATGAGGAGGATGGTTGGAGAAGCAAAGATTTCATCAAGGGTCATGACTGGCGATTAGCACTTAATGGTCACCAAGTCTCCAAAATTCCAATAAAGCACCACATCCATACCAACTAGTGAGCTGAAAGGCACACCAGATAAAAACCTTTTCTTTCACCAAACCACAAACGTGAGCACCTGGAGTTCACCAGACACTTCTGGAACTTTGACTTGAACCAGGTTCCATGGTCAGATATATACAAATATTTACAAACAGAGCTTTCTGGCAACAATCACTAAAAATGCTCTAGAATCTTGACAGAATACATGGCATAATGGACTCCATGAAGTACCAGGAGACTTTAAATAAAAACATTGTTCTAGCAGGAAAATGATCCAAAACATGCATCCAAATTCAAACAAAAACGGCTCAATGACCACAGAATCAAGATTTTGACATAGCCATCCCATTCACCTGTTCTCAATGATTGTAATGCTTATAGTTTTACTAAAAATATAGATTTTTAATAAGGTTTTTGTTTTATTAGACAAAGTTCAACCTTCACATGAAGGTTATATTTTTTCCTCATATTTTCATCATGAAATTAAGCTAATTACCCACACATTTCTTCATGACCTTTTTTACCCATTTTTACTAAGAGTAACAATAACTACTGATGTATGTTCTATAATAAATGGTTGTATACATTGAGTTACCAGTTAATTAGGTACACCTACCTTGTACTTGCATTTTAAAAGGTACACTAAATATATATGTTAATGTACAATTACAGACTGTAGCCCCTCCTTTGTTGTACAATTTATCAGCCACAAACTTCCCAATGCACTGAATGAAAGGGATCACCATTAGACCACTGCTGATCGGATACAAATGATGCAATTACCTCAGGCAGAGATTTTTGTGGTTCAGTGCACGAACCTATACAAGAAATTGGGTGATGGGCCATGACATGGTAGTGGGGAGTGTATCAGGGATCCCTTAGTCCTTCATCAATGGTTCAGTTTTTGGATCCAGGATGCTGTTGATTGGATATTTTTGATTGGAAAACTATTCTTATCCCAGCCTTGACACTGATGCATGTAAAAAAAAAATCTTGCCACAATTTATTCTATTTTTGCTAATTTGTCACATTTAATTGTTTCAGATCATCCAACTAATTTTAATACAACATAAAGACAACACAAGTAAACACAAAATGCATGTTTTAAATGACTATTCCATTTTTTAAATACAAATAGTTATTCAAACCTATATCACTCATGTGAAAAAGTAACTGCCCCCTTAAGCCTAATAACCGGTTGTTCCTCCCTCAGCAGTAACAACTGCAATCAAATGTTGGCAATAACTTGCAATGAGTCTTTTACATCACTGTGGAGGAGTTTGGGACCACTCTTTTTTGCAGACTTGCTAGGACTGGAGGGTTTCTGAGCATGAAAGAATTTATGGTTCCATCAATTATGACAAGTCGTCCGGGTCCCTGCAAAAGCAAAGCAGCCCCAGACCATCACACTACCACCGCCACGTTTAACTGTTGGTACGATGTTCTTATGGAATGCGGTGTTAGCTTTCTGCCATATGTAACAGAACCCATGTCCTCTTCCAAAAAGTTTCACCTTTGACTCATCAGTCTACAGAATTATTGACCTTAACTGAGGCAAGTGAGGCCTGCAGTTCTTTAGATTTTTGTTTGGGTTCTTTTGTGACCTCCTGAATGAGTCATCGATGTGAACTTCGTGAAATTTTGGTAGGCCGGCCACTCCTGGGAAGGTTCACCACTGTTCCAAGTTTTCTCCATTTGTGGATAATGGCTTCCCAGAGCCTAAACAATGAATTTGTAACCCTTTTCCAGGTTTCAATGACTGTTTTGCATCTGTATTTGAATCTTTTTAGAACGTAACATCATGTGCTGCTTTTTGAGACATTCTAGCCTGCTTCACATTGACAGACAGGTTCTATTTAAGTTTAGAATCAAAAGGTTTGGCCGTAATCATGCCTGGGTGTGGATGGTGAACTTAAACCCAATAGTTAATTGAATTTGGTTAACTGGTTGACTTAGTAGCTATAGGGCAATTACTTTTTCACATAGGACCAGGTAGGCCTTAGCAGCATATTTGCTTCGATATATGAAATCATCATTTAAAAAAAAACATTTTGTGTTTACTTGGGTTATCTTTGTCTAATATAAAAAGTACTTTGATGATCTGAACCTTTCAAGTTTGACAAATATGCAAAAAAGAAGAAATTGGGACGGGGTAAACGCTTTTTCACAGCACTGTACCCAGATTGGTCACATGCCTCCCCAATAAAATGGGGAAGAATTTTTATTGAGCCAAATGTTTTTAAGATAATGAGGTTAGATTTGTTTTCTGTGGGTTTTATCATTGTATTGTGGCCAATCAAATCATTATATTATTCACCAAGCTCTGCCGTTTTGTCTTCAGCCCTCCAATCACTGCTTGACACCCGTTGCTATGCACAATTGCCTCAAGCATTTAGTTTGTTAGCAGCGTGCCAGTGTTTGAATCTGAAGCTGAACTGGGGACAATTAAATGCATTTTCTTTTATTCCATAGAGTAAAACATTATCAGTGTCAGTCCTTTGTGCAATTGGTACTTACAACGCTCTTTTACTACAAAGGCTGAAATGAAGTGTCAACAAAGGCAGGTCATAAATGGCTCATAAAGGTGTTTTCATGTCCACTGTGGCAGTATGCTTATGCCTACAATGACTAGGTTTAGGTTTTAAGTTTATTGTGTTGTTCTTCTCATTTTTGCACATCTCGGCTGTCTGATTTTATCTTAGTCACATCATCTTCTTTGGGTCAGCCCGCTGTGCTAATATGCTTTGACTTACAGTGATAAAGTTTAAGTTTGAAGTTGTTGTTTTTCCTCCTCTTTATACATCTCAGCTGTCTGATTTTAACTTACTTATGTCGTCTTCATTTTGCAAATGCGCCTTTCACAAATGGACGCGTGCTTTAGTGAAGGGTGTTGCAGTGATGGTTCGGTTTATGTGAATCCAGCATTCTGGTTAATTGCTATTGGTTTGTAACACCATAGGGTGAAAGTGTTGGAATAGTTAGGTTGATGTTTGCACTGCTGTCAGAAATAGGCTGCAGCCTATTTTTTTAATGGTATTAATTACAGAATGGCATAAGATGTTTTAAAGTAACAAAAACAAAATGTGACTTTTTTTAATTTACAACACTGTTATGAAGCAACATTAAAAGAACTTACAAGGCAGAAGCCTAGTTAAGAATGAAATATTCATTTTATATACTTCCTATTTAGTACAAAAGTACAGTTTATTTTAAGGAAAATGACTGTTTTTCATGTCTTTAGCCATACAGGGCTCCATAATATAAACTGTTTATCAAAATAATATAACATGATGACTGTAATAATACCTCACCGAACATTTATTTTTGACACTTAATATTTAGAAACTTGTAATTTTGCACTTTTGTAGTAGAACGTCTGCTTTTACTTAAGTAATATTTTACGCAGAGTATTCCACGTAAACAGAAGTTTTGTATGAATATGTGAATGTATATTCATGCATTTAAAAAATATATATATAAAAATCTTTTATAGAACCGATATATGGGGTTCTTAACTAGGACTCTGTCTTGTAAGTGCCACTACAAGAGGATGCTTCATAACAGTGTTATAAATAGAACAAATACCAGTCACTTTAGATTAAGGCCCCTTATGTCAATACGTCAGTTACATCATAAAGCATGTTAGGTTATCTTGCAATTACAAACTCCTCTATCTTACACTGTTTGACACATACCATTTAAATAGAAACAATAGTCAATAATAATATAAACTTTAGGGCCTGAGAATGAATAACATTTCTATAATTATTCATTAATTTACTTAATTTGTACATAATTGAGGGCCATTCATTCATTTAATGTTTATATCTGCAGTGGATTGTCCCAAGAATTTGAGTCCCCTTGGGCTTTGTCATCCAAAGCCCCTGGGCACCGGCCCCAGTGGCCACAATTAGCCCACCCTTGCTACACTTGGTGAACCTAATAAACTGGCAACTCAGTGCACTGTACAGGTATTACACACATCTTTCGCAGGTATACAGGAAGAATATGTCACCTGCTGAAAAAGGAAGAAATAACTCCCTCTTCCGAAAATGGCCTTGGTCATCAAGGAAGTGCTTGGGATAAAACTCTTGTGGTCTTTCCCACTGTCCTTTATCACTCAACACAGACGCCAGACTCGTCACAACCACAGTGCCCTTGAGATACAAAATATATGAATACATTCCTTAATCAGTAAGCTGTAGATTAACAGCATAATGGGGTGTTACAAGATAAGATGTGCATGTAAAACAGTGCAAAAGTATTCAAATGGCACAGAAATTCTCAAAGTTATCCAATTAGCAGACACATGTTTTTAACTGAAAACAAGCACATTACAAGACAGGGTAAAGTTATTGTGATTATCTTTTTACAATGATTAGAAACTAAGAAATACCACTTTATATTTGGAAAACCAGTATGTTGTGTTTTGTATACTGGTATGTTCATCAACTAGAATTATTATGCTTAGTGACCAGCTAAACCAGCACCAGACTAGCATGAACCATATTTAATAACACATGGAATGCATGCTGGTCTGCACTGTTTTTTTCAACAGGGATTGTTCTGGGTAAAAACACTAATGGCAGCTAAGTGCTAACAGCATGCACTGAGCTGCCGGTATCTTGATAATGCTGTGATATATCGCTGCCGTCTGAGGCACTGACTTATGAGACAGCATGAACAGCAAGGCATCAAGACAGTTGCCTTCAAGTTTCAGACACAGCCTACAGTACAATTACCGGTAATGGTAACATGACAATATTATATCACTGAGCTTATAGCATGGTTATGTCAATATTATGTAGCCAGGTTCATGTAAAGCATTACCAAATTGATTTTTTCCTGTGTATATAGCCTGAATGTTGTTGTTTTGTTTTGAAAACATATTACCTAACAAAAATTAGCTTGACTATCATCCCAACCAGGTGAGCTTCCATGAAAATGTTTAGTCACTGACATTTAAAAGCTTGTAACACTTTTTTTACCTCTGCGCAAACAGATCAATAACTTAATTTTATTTAAAATGAAACATCCTCTGGCGTCTTGTACATGACAAATGACAAGTGAATCCAAGCTTTTGAACAGTAGGTTACATTAAAGTTAAGAACCTTTTAATTTTTCCAATGTAGTTATCATTTCAGAGGTATGAACTTTTGTTATGACTGTTTAAGAAATGTTTATGTAATTTGTCATACAGTGATATTTGAAACATTTCTGGACACTTAGACATTTCATTCACTACTACATCAAATTCTCAACTGAAACTGTCACCAACTCTTGAGTTTTATCCTTGTCTTACCTTAGGAATAAAGTATTTGCCCAGTGTGGTGTCTCTGAAAGCCTTGTGAGGTACACCTAGAGGCAGGACGTTGCCCACTCTCTGGATTTCGTGCAGCACTGCCTCAGTGTAAGGCATGCTGGCTCTGTCCATCAAGCAGGGCCGCCTGGACTTTCTGATCACACGATCAATTTCAGCCTGGACATTCTCTGGACAACAGCAAGACACTCATGTTATGCCTGCGAAGATGGCACAGAACCTCTACTTCCTGTCAGCCAACACGCCCAAATGGAGTAAGCTACTGTTGACATTATTAGCTGTGCATGCTGTATCAGCTGCTGATATATTATTCACAGACACATGGAAAAATTGAATAAGTGATTATCAGTTCAATACTGAAATTGCTGCCAAAAATGTTTCACACATGGGTCCAGTTTCAATACCTTTTTTAACTTGACCTCACTAACTTCGAAGAGCGGATTTTTTAAATCGGAATTCACCTGCTCTCTGCTAGATTAGCCTCAGACTGGCCATGCAAAATTTTTCTGAAAAATGAAAATTATAAAGTACATAAATTTTATAAATGAACTGTTTCGTCTGGCTACAGTCTTTGGTTGGCCATGTAGCCTTTAGCAATAAGCATGCTATGGCGTAAAAACAGCTTTGTCCGCCTTTTTTCCAGGTTTGAAAAGGTAAGTGCAACAAGTTGCAATGATTTCTGGACAAATTCTGCCACCAAAGACAACATTTGTATTCACTTGATTCCTCTCCCCTCCGAGGGCTCATCTAATGAACGTCACTTGAGCTAATGAAGTAATGGAACATCCCTTAAGAGGGTGTCAGGGATTCCCCTGAGTAGAAATGGCGAAGCCAAGTGGACAGGGGCTTGTTAAAAATAGTATCGGACATTTTAGTTACATTAGCATTAGCACAGTCAGTTCAGTTTCACTGTTTAGATTGTACACATAATATTTTTAAAGTTTATACAAGATCGATTACAGGATCTGAGCCTCATTTAGACTAATTAGGTTACCTTGATGATGTATACATACTCTGGACTTCTGGATGTTTTGCCATAAGGAGAAGACTCCAGAGCAGGGTACTGGTCATGGGCCCTGTCCCAGTTTCAAACAGGTCCAGAATACAGTGAGCCAAATTGTCCACAGTGAAGGCAGCATCTGTGTCTTTCCTTCTCTGGTTCAAAATAGTTTGAGGCTCAGAGTTTCACTCACAAAGATAAAATTCACTTGAGCAGTTTAGCCCCAAGAACCACTTGTGTATTATTAAATTATGAAACTATTTGGTTTAATTAAATTCAAAATCATTTAATAAAAAACAATATATAAAAAGCACAGTACTACCTTGTCCTACCTTATCTATTTCTCCTATATAAACATCAGTGAAATCACTGTGATTAAATGGATCCCAATCTTTCTTGTGCTTCTCAATTTGCTTCTTCAGAAAGCCCAGAAGTTTGGAATAGTTGGCCAAAATCGTGGTATGTGGTCCTTCGAAATGCTTCATAAGTGAAGGGAATGCATCATAAAGCTGAGGGAACAAGAATTTGCATTTACAATTAACCTCCTGCCCAGAACAGTATAGTATAAATTCAATACAATCAAGTTAAAATCTATAAGGGCCACTGACATCACATGCACATTTTTTTTCCATTATTTTCCCAAATACTAATTTAATAAATGCATGACATATATTAAATTATTCAACACCTCTTATATGTGAAAACTTTTCAGTGCTATCTATATAAAATTCATTTTTAGAAAGTCTAAAAATATTAGGTGGTGCAACCATCCAACCATATATGCCGATTAAGTAAACTATCAAAAAATAAATTTAGTTATATAAAATTCTAAATAAAATAGTTTATAAAATAGCATGATTTTATGTTTTAAACTAAAATAAAAGCATATGGCAAAATGAGGCAACTTTAAAAGTACTCAACTCACTGAAAAAGCCTAAAGTTCTTTCTTCCTTAAATGTCAGGCAGCATAACCAAAAACAAACAACTTTTATTTTGACATGCTTTTACGAAAGAGGGGCCAACGTATTGCAACATAAAGAAGACCCCAGATCACCTTCCTGTTGCAATGCCAAGGTCAGTAGCCTTTTCACAAATTTTGGAAAAAATGCCATTTTTGAGTCACGGTTGGAATGGTGCAATTTACCATGTCAGGAAAACAATGAAAAGGTTTAATTATTATAATGTTCATTTGTTTGAAAAAATGTAAGTAAAAACTCAATCGCAAAGGTTTCTACGAGCATCTATGTAGATGCCTTAAAATTAGTCTGAGAAGTCAGGTGGCACAACCACTCAAGGTCAAATGGTGCAATCAGACCAGTACAGTTTAAATAAATAAAATAGGTTATTAAGAACTTTGATAACACTAACTTTATTTAAGGGATAAAATGCACACAGATATAAATGTAAATACATATGCAGACATAAGAATGCACATCATGTCCTTTTTAATAAGATTTTTAAAAATTGTAATTTTTGAAAGCCTTATTTGTCATCATCTTCCTAAACCATCTTCATAGGTAAGCTGATTCATATGCTTCTCTCCCTAAGCTCTATTTGAACATCTGTATTGCACTGCTCTAACCACAATCAAACAAACGAAACACAATACCCAGACAAGTGGTGAACCTGCCAACAGTGTAGATTCTGCACTGAGGTGTAGAAGGTTCCTGAAATCAGTGTCCTCGTAATCAAAGCGCTTTCCAAACACCAAAGATGCAATGACATTAGCTACTGCACTGCTGATAATGAGATGTGGGTTGAAGGGGCATCCTGTGAATTATATTAATGTTAGTAAAAACAGAAATGGCAGAGCCAATCAGCACACGCATCCATTCAAATGTGTATTCTGTACAGGTAATTAATTCCTGTGGCCAACATTAAATTAGCTATATGTCCAAAAGTATCCAGATACCCCTTTATAATTAGTGAATTCAGCTACTTTAAGGTGCTGACACAGGAGTTAAATTACATACACACAGCTTGTATTATCTCCATAGAAAAGCATGGACAATAAAATGGGACACTGTGGAGCAGCTCCACATGAGCTTAAGGTCACCATGCCCAATGCCAAACATCGGCTAGAGGGGTATAAAGCCCCCCCCAGCATTGGACTGTGAAGCAGTAGAACTGCATTCTTTTGAGTGACTGAGTTTCATTCAGTACCTTTGGGATGAGTTGGAGTGATCCACTCATTAAAGCTTCTTGTGGCTGCATGCAATCAAATCTTCATTGCAATGTTCCAATATTTAGTGAAAAGCTTTCCCAGAGGAGGCTGTTACTGTAGCAAAGGTGAGCAAATTCCCTTTTAATGCCCTTGATTTCTGAAGAAATGTTGGATGAGCAGGTGCCTACAAACCTTTGGGTGTATAATGTAAGTTTATATGATGTTACACTTTGCCACATACCCATCTCATCTTCGATGGCATCACACAGAAAAATGCATTCTTGCTGAATATAGAACTCCTGTTTCCTTTTGCTCTCTCCAAATTTGTTCAACTGAGAGTCAAAAAAGTGCCGTTGCCTCCTCCACCTATATCCATTGCTTGTAGATATGCCTTTACGGTAAAAAAAAAATATATTGTTAATGACAACCGAAAAAATCCACAACATTAAAGTCAATATGAGTCTGAAATCATACGCTGCGTCCAAAACTGAAGGCAGCTGTCTGGATACATTGCTGCCTCTGCTGTCTCATAAGTCAGTGCTTTAGAAGGCAGCATAGTGATGAAGATACTTGCAACTGAATCATGTTTGAGACGCACTTAAGGCAGCAATACAACAACAAAACTTATCACTTGCAAGCCATTTTATTCACCTCATGAATTTAACTTAATTTAATGTGTGCTCCCCAACTGGAACAAGCCAACTTAGCACAACAACAGCTGGCTGACCAGATTACGGACAACAAACAGGAACACTCAGACTGTCCTATCATCATTATGATTGACTTCAACCACACCAACCAGATTGCTGAATTACCAAAATATAAACAATTGATCTGCTGACCCACCAAAGAAGACAAAACACTTCTTTGCTGCTACAGCACCATCAAGGACACATACCAGGCAACCTCCCGTGCCCTACTCAGTAACTCTGACCATTCACTCATCCAGGCAAAAGCTTAAAACCACAAAGCCTGAGGTAAAAGCAGTGAGAATGTGGTCTCCTGATGCCATGGAGGATTTGAGGCAATGCCAAGATTCAACAAATTGGGACTCCTTCAAATCTGCAAATAACAACCTGGATGACTATGCAGATGTGGTCACCTCTTACATCAGCTTCAGTGCAGAGGTTTGCATCCCATCAAAGACTATCTATACAACAATAACAAACCCTGGGTCTCCAACGAGCTCAGAAATTTGCGTACAGTCGAGGAAGAGGCCTGTAGGAGTGGTGACTATAATGAATACAAAAGGGCAAAGTATGTACTTAACAAAGCAGTCACAACCACCAAACACAAATACGGAGAAGAACTGGAGCAGCAGTTGTCCTTGACTGCTCCTCCATCTGGGAAGGATTCCAAACCAAGACAAACTATAAGCCTAAAGCATCAAATGTATCAAGTGACCCTCCCAAACCAATTCAAAAGCTATTACATAAAATTCAAAACACAAAAGACATTTCCTCTTCCCTGCCTCTGGTCTAGCTTCCAATTTGCCCCACCTCATCATCGATGCCCTCCAGGACCCTCAGCAGTTTGCATATAGAGCTAACAGGTCTGTGGATGATACTCCATTCTAGAGAAACCAATCGAGTCAGAATTGCTCACAGTGGTGGTGACAGGAACCAGACACCTGAAGATTTGAATGATTTAAAATCCTCTATAAGCTCTGAATATTCTAAATATGGACAAAAAGGTTTACTACTATTTTCTATCATTGTCATCACTACATATAAAACTAAGAAAACCAGTTCCTAAAAGGCCTGAGGATCTCCTGCCTGAATGACTACAGACCTTAACCTCTATAAGCATGAAATGTTTTGAGAGTCTTTTACGTCAGCACCGCAAAGTCATCACCGATGCCCTCCAGGACCCTCTGCAGTTTGCATACAGAGCTAACAGGTTTGTGGATGATGCCATTAATTCAGCTCTATACTACATCCTGCAGCACCTGGATGGCCCTAACACTTATATCTGCGTGCTGTTTGTAGATTTTGGCTTTGCTTTCAATAACATCGTTCCTGACCTTCTACTAAATAAGCTGAGAGAGATAATGTCCCCCAACTGTCTGCTACTGGATCTGCAATTTCTTGTCTAATAGGAAACAGAATATCAGGGCGGCTCCTCTCTGCCTTAGCACTGGTGCTCCACTTCACAGGGCTTTGTGCTCAATCCCCTGCTCTACTCTCACAACACCAATGACTGTACTTATAGGAGTGACTCTGCTAAACTTATTAAGTTTGCAGATGACACTATCCTGGTCGGTCTCATCTCAAACAACGATGAGTCCGCATACCAGGAGGAAGTAATGTGGCTGGTGTTATGTTGTGGAGCTAACAACCTGGAGTAACACACTCAAAAAACTGGAGATGACCGTTGATTTCAGAAAGAAATCAACCCCACTGCCTCCATGGAAATATATGGCTCTACAGTCAGCAGAGCAGTCAGTCTTACAAGTTTCTAGGCACCACCATTCAGCATGATCTCAAATGGGACAGACACGGCACTGCAGCTATGAAGAAACCTGCTCCTGTAAACTCTGTGACAGCTCAAGAACTTTGGGCTGCCTCAAGCACTGCTGGTCCAGAATCTATCATCAGATCCTCCATCTCTGTCTCGTTCAGCTCTGCATCTTCACACACCAAGTGTAAGCTGCAGTGAACAGTATCATGTGCAGAGAAAATCATTTGCCGTCAGCTCTCCACCCTCGAAGATCTTTACTATTCTAGGATGAGGAAGAGGATGGGAAAAATCATGGCTGACCACTCATACCCCTGGTCACTCTCTCTTCCAGCGGGGTCCATCTCAGCAGAGACCGACAGTGAGAGCCCTAAAGACCAACCGTCACCTCCACAGCTTTTTCCCCCTGGCCATCATCCTCCTAAATAAGGATGCTTCTCACATCCCTCTGCTTTAAAGAACTGCACATACCCTTTATTACACATGATGCAATGTACACAACCACTGTATGTACCACCAGACATGAAATAACAAAGTAAAAAAGGTTTGATTTCACATTGATTTAAACAACTTCACAAGCCAGCTGAATAGGAATATGTTCTTAATGACTTGCCTGGGTAAATTAAAATAAAATAAAAAAGCTCACCTTTCCTTTGAAACACTTCATTACATAGAGGAGAGACTAGACGGTCCAGAAAGTTGTGACCTTGAGTGAGTAGAACTTCCTTCACCAATTCATACCCTACCACCAGCACAATCTTCTCGCCAGCCACTCTAAGACTGAATATTTCTCCATATTTCTCAGACACCTATATAAAGAAGAAAACATAAAATGGTTATGTGTGCATTGTAGACATTGTGACCCCTGGTTCCTAGCTCCTCTACTGAGATGTTTCTCTGCGATACAATTTCACATTAAACTATTCTGAATTACTTTATTTGCATCCCAACAACTGAATTATACAGACTTTTGAAATAATCGGTGGAATTCGCCTTGAAGAGTGTAGTTCTATTCTCCTCTGGAGATTCTATACACTGATCAGCCATAACATTAAAACCACTTTATTTGGGTGGTGGATCATTCTTAGCACGCATTGACACTGATGTGGTGGTGTGTGCTGCGCTGGTACGAGTGGATCTGATACAGCTTGTTAATGGAGTTTTTAAACACTGTGTCCACTCATCTCCTTGTAGATGTAAAGTCAGAAATGATAGCTCATTTGCTGCTGCACAGTTTGTGTCAGTCATCCTCTAGTCCTTTATCAGTGGTCAGTTTCTGGCCTCAGGATGCTGTTGGCTGGATATTTTGGTTGGTGGACTATTCTCAGTCCAGCAGTGACACTGAAATGTTCAAAAACTCCTGAGAATGATCCATCACCCAAATTACACCTGTTCTGTGGTGGTTCTGACCACTAAAGAACAGGGTAAAAGGGGGCCAGCAAAGTACGCAGAGAAACAGATGTACTACAGTCTGTAATTGTAGAACTACAAAGTGCACCTATATGATAAGTGGAGCTGATAGAATGGACAATGAGTGTAGAAACAAGGAGGTTTTAGTGCTATGGCTGATCCCAACCCTGGAGTACCCATTTTAGTGTTTTCTTGCTCTAAAAATACCCACCTCAGCCAAGGAAGGGCTTGTTAATTAGCTGCTTTGTTGGACCAGAAGTATTAGGAGAAGAAAAAAAAACCTACTAAAATGTGCGGATTAGGGGGAGCTCCAGGACCAGGGTTGGGAATCACTCTATTGGTCTGGAATCACCTGCAAACCTCGAATTCCAACACTACAAGGTAAATTCTGACATTAAAACAGAAGTTACTCACTTGGCAGCCTAATGTCATACCTTCTCTATAGCATGATGGTCCAACGCATTTGAAACGTTTCCAAGTAAAGGCATGCCCCATGGTCCCGGAGGAAAATTATGTGGATGTTTGTTTTTCAAAAGGTAAAAAATGAGAAAGAATACAAAGAGAAAGAGTAGACATGTGTCCAACAGGTCCACAGCCACAGGCATGGTGGACAGTCCCTGGACTCGACGGGGTCATGGAGTGAAGTGCAGGTAGTATGAATTACGAAATAAATCTGCCTGGTTATACATTCTTAAAACGGCGATATTTTCTTCCTTAAGCTACAGATGTCTTACCCCTTCCTAATATTCACATTATCACATAATTATTCGGAAAAAGGACTGAAATCACAATGTGGCTCTTATGTAGCTAATAAGTGAGGAAGCATTCAAAGTCCAAACCAGCGTCTTTGAGCAGGTAACAGACAGCGACCCCTACTGGTGGAGACCTCCTGTGCTATTAAATGGTTAAGATGTAAACAGTCATTCAGAGTGGTTTGATGTGAAATGCTCCATTTCAGAGTAAGAATTGTTCACAGTGGTGTTGATAGGAACCAAAGCTCAAAATGATGTCACATGAAATGGTTAGATATACACTGCCTGACATCTGACACATTGTTTTATGATAGTTTGAGATAAATTTTATGTATTGTAATGTATTTAATCCATCCATGCTGGAGGTGTACATGCAGGGCGTTGTAAAGCAAAATAGCCCCCCCCAAAAAACTTTTTTTTTTTCAGATTTATGACTATTTTACCATCATCATCAACTTCACATATAAAAACTCAGAAGCCACGTGTGAGTTCACTTGTCGTTTTAGATTGTAAATAAAATGGCTGTATTTGTGTCGTATGTATTGTGATCCCAAAAACATCATAGTAAAAACAAAGGTTTGACCTGAATCATACTGTTTATCCGTTCTTAAATGTGCCCCACATCAATTTTAAGTGATTTTTAAATCTAGGCTAAAAACATTTTTCCTCTTGTTTACACACCTTGTTTAATTTCCTTTTATCGTTTTTATTTTGCTTTTACGGATGTGAAGCACTTCGACTTGCCCTTGTGAATGAAATATGCGGTATAAATAAACGTGCCTCGCTTTCCTCATGAGCGTTAGTGAGGGGAAAAAAACATTTGGAATTTATTTGGAGCTGCAATGACGTGAAGCAGCCAAGAGACGGCGCTGCTGATCTGTATCAACCAACAGGCTACAGGCTGCCAGTTCTGTTCAAAGACAGGGCAAAGATCCGAAACCCACTGGAGCCTCTCAGTGGAGGAGCTTGACGTCGCCTTACTGTAAATAATATATTTTTTGACGGATAATTCAGCTGCGACACCCGCAAACTATGGCGGAGTGCGACTGGGACACCGTGACCGTGCTGAGGAAGAAGGGTCCGTCCTCAGCACAGGCTAAATCCAAGCAGGTTAGCGCCAGTTAGCCGTGCGGAGGCGCGCCGCTCTCCACCCGCTTTAAGCACGCTCCAACACGGCCACGGCTGCTAGTAAACTCCGCCGACCCTTAAACGCGCATCGGTCCGTTCAGACTGGATGGACGGTAACTCCAGTCATGGAGAACGACGAGTCTTCATGTGGTTGTGTTTGTGGAGATGGCTGATGGCTGACGCTGCATGGAAATTGAAAATCTGTGTTTTTAGTGACATGTCGGGTCCTGCGGGGGTGGAACATTAATATACCTGTTGGGGAAACGTCTTTTGGGGAGTGGTGGCTGGAAACGTGCTTCTAGAAAATGTAGCGACACTCATGTCGACTGAGTTTTGCTGCAGCTAACACACGTAATGGCGTAGGAATCTCACTGGGCTGAGTTTATCAGTCTGTTACCTTACACTACAGACTCGGTATATTAACTACAAGGAAATTAAACCCCAGGATAAGCGCTTGAGCGCAGTTACTGTGGAGAGGAATTGGTGCTCAACTGAAAAGCGAAGTGAACATACGACATTACTTTTCCATAGTGAGGTGCAGAATAGCTGTCAAAATGACAAAACCTCTATCACATTGTTTTCACGGCGCTTAATCTCTTTACTGAAAAACAATGCATGAATTTGCGTTTCAAAAACGCTGAATTTGTGTCAGAATTGAATATAACCCACCTTGAAATTTAATAAAGGTACAGCTATATTGCTCTCCACTGTGCAGTACTTAAAACAACGCTACATCAATGTAATGGATCTTTTACTTTAAATTTTGGGACGTTGCCCGCATGTTTCTGTCCAAATGCGATCTCATGTGCATTGCATTTCACTGCTGTGATTGCATTTCAATGACTCAAATGCATTTAAAGTATAAAAAAGGTCAATCGACGAGAAAACAGTGTAGTAGTGGTTTTACTTTTCATGCACTTATTCAAATTTCCTCTTCAAATTTAACTGTTTTCATTGTTATTGCATTTAAATGATAAACTGTATATTGTGCCTTCATTACATTTTTAAAGTGGATTGTATTCAGTTCTGGCATGAATTCAGCATTATGTTCTTTTTAAAATGCAAGTCCTCATGAATAGTTTTTCAGTAAAGAGGTTAAGGTACGTGAAGAAAAGCAATGGATGGTTTTTCATTTTGACACGAATTCTGTGTGTCACTATGTCATGTGTGCATTGCATTTCATGTTTTTCCACTGTAGTGGTTGCTTTTCAGTTTGGCATTTGGCAGAATTCCTCTGCATAGTTACAGAGTACAACATAATGGCCTATTAAAGGAACAAGAATTATTCAAGCAGGGAACAGAAAACCTTCATGCACCCGTTTTCCTTTGCTGTAAAAGCACATCATACAATATCTGGGTTAGAAAATTTTGCACTGTCAGGAGCACTAGAAATTTCATACGGACAGCCCTAGTGCACTGTTTTTGTAATTTAGCATTATAATCACCATATTGATTAAAGAAGTGGCGTGATAGCATTCATAACCTGTGGATGTATCAGTTTGGCTTTTTCTAAAAACACTTGAAACTTTAGAAATATCATTACATCATTATTGTTATGAATTTTCACTTTAATGGGACTTTTAAACTTATTCTCCAGGCTGTTGCTGCTGCTCAGAGGCGTGGAGAAGAGGTGGAGACCACCAAGAAATGTAAGTTTGTTTTCTAATAACATCTAGCTTGAGAGCATATGTAAGCAGATATTTGAACATAGAGGAATTTACTGTGATTAACAAGGCTTTGTTTAGAAAATGCTGGTGATGTTAGCCAACTTTAGTCTTTTGAATAGCTCGTATTTGGACATATAAACCTTATTGCAGTTGTCAAACTTTTAAATGAGGAGCAAGTGTGACATACAAAGTGTGGTAACCTGGGTTTTCCGGACCATTTGGTAATCAGTTCACTTGTCCATGCTCCGTCCTCAATTATGTTCTTTTACAGTGACTGTTGCAAAGTTAGACAAGTTTCACAGAATGTTGGGGGTGAAAAAACATATGTATATCCATGAAAAAAACTTTCAGCATAATGAGAAACTGTAGCGCAAAACTCAGAATGTTTTAGGTTATTCATGTTAAACTGCTGCATTGTTTGTTTAGAGTCATTATATAATGCTGAGTTTCCACAGTGCTATAGTAAAGAGCTGGACAGTGCTGTAACCAATTGAAAATTTAGCAGGTTAGAGACAGCATTGACGTTTTGCCACAATTAGAATGATTACATGTACAGAACAAAATTTAACCCAATAATGAAACTTTTCACACACATACAAATTAAAAAATCATTTGAAATTGATAACTTAGTCATAATTCAAGTATTTGGACAAAACTTTTGCGCCGTTTCTCTTTAGGTTGAATGAGATTTTTTTTCAAAGTTCTGTTAAGCTTGATAAAAAGCTTGATAAAATACTGTTTACTGTCAACTTGATTTTGGCAGTTTATATTGTGTTGACATAAAAATGTAAAATTTAAATGCTGGATGTATAAGTCATAAAGATTGCATGCTACTGAGAGGAACTGTATAATATTAAAATTTGAAATGTCACCAAATTTGAATTGGTGCCATAAAAATTGAAATTGTATTGTAATTTGAAATTGAAAACTCTAAATTGTAAGGTTTACACTGCTAATACTAATTTAGCCTTCCCGTCATTGTCCCATATGGGTGTGGGTGAGGGATGGGTATTGTTTTGCAGTTATTGAAATGGGAGGAAAAGAATAATTAATTAATAATTAATATAATACCAAATAATCATTAATACAAAAAACACCTTCCCATCAGTTCTGGACATTAGAAAAGACCATATATGTCATATATAGTTTTTTCCAGTTCTGTGGCCTTAACCACTATGATGAGAAAAATAGCAGCAGTGGATGCGGGGAACTTTGGTGGAAGCTGGGCTTATTGTGCAGTTATGTTGTTGTGCCTGTGTGCATTTCTGAAAATGCACCTTTACTGTGTAACTGTTTGATTAGAAAAAGGAAACAAAAGGTACGTTTTTCAATGAAGCATGAATGTTCCTATCTACCAGAAGCACTCCTATGGATTTTGAAGGATGCTGTATTGAACGTCGCAGAAGAAAGCAAGGGGCTAAGTTATATGAGCTAGGAACTGGGTAATGTAGACATGCCATTCTGTTCAACAACCTAATACGTAAAACGTAGGCTCACCTAAGAAGATGTATTTATGATTGTCAAGCGTTCTTGTTCTCCATTCAGTAAATTTGAAGCTAGTCTTTATCACTAATTTAATTTGCCCTGTGTACATAAAATTTGGATGTTAGTTAGATTGATCTAGATTGAAAACGTCCTTCTGTAAAGGGAAGTGTTGTGTTTTTGAACTCAGGGGCAGCAGGGCAGAACAAGCAGCACACAGTGACTAAGAACACAGCTAAACTGGACCGTGAGACGGAGGAGCTGCACCACCAGAGAGTGACACTGGAGGTGGCCAAGGTTATCCAGAAAGGCCGCCAAGACAAGGGAATGACCCAGAAGGACCTTGCCACTGTGAGTAATCTTCATTTAAATCCCATGTTTATATGACTTGTTTATTGCAGTTGATGTTAACCGTTTGCAAAATTATCATTGACATGCCTCTCAGCCAAAAACAGTAGTTTCTAAATGCTTCCTCTGTCAAACAAAGGAAAACTACAACAGAATTCCTTTAATACAAACCTGCAGTCAGATCAGCGGTGGCAGAAAAGGAGTCAGAATCATAAAGGTTTTGGATTAAACTATGTGGAAAACCATCCAGACTTGTGCTTACTCTAATGTAAGCTGAATGTTATGTTTTACTGCTAAAAATCATTTTAATATGGAGTCTAAGGGTAAATAACATTACAGAAAAACGATCAGTTAATACCGGACTGTACACTCACTTTTGTAATTGAAACATTATGTATGAAGGTAAATATTAATGCATTAATCCGTACCGTTCTTTGTATCATTTCATTAATGTTTGCTGAAAGACTTACTCTGATTAGCTCCAGCGTTGGGTTTAGCGTTAGCTTATCTGAAGGGGTAGCTTCCATCGCTAAAATATTCTCGTTATTTGATATGAAAACCTTTTGCTTTAATAGTTGTGACTAAATGATTTCCCTGGTTTAAATAAAGTGGTTTTAATAAACATGGTTTTCAAGAATCCATCTTTCAAACATGTATGTCTGCATTGAACATCATAAAGTCAGTTTATTTTTGAATGAAACATGTTTCAAATGTACTCCACTGTGAGTTTCTGAATTTTCCTTTTTAGCACAAGGGTTATGGATGCTACCAGGTAGCCTGGAATGAAAGTTTGACAGATGGAGCAGCAATAATTAAGTGTGAGGGGACTGATTGCCATAATCAAATAAACTGGTCTTTAGTCTTGCATGTATTTAAAATAATAAAATAAAAATGCATGAGTTTTGATTTATAACACACTTTTAGTTTACATATACACCACTAAATTTTTACAAATGACTAGTTTGTGAGACTTGTTTTTCAGTGTGATTTACTCAAGAAATAATGAAACACTTGTCTGTCCAACAGAAAATTAATGAGAAGCCTCAGATCATCGCTGACTACGAAAGTGGAAAAGCAATCCCAAACAACCAGATCATGGGCAAGATAGAGAGGGTCTTAGGTAAGACATGTGGGTCCATGTGGTAAACTGCTTGTAGAAGTACATGGTAGGGGTGGGCAATTATCATTAATATTTTATCATTATTGTGATAAATGATGCCACAGTATGCATTTTTGAATGTATCGTGGATATCAGCAGTACATAAAGAACACTGACCAACTGCATGAGTCATTACAAAGACAGCATAAATTAGTCCTGTTTAATTGGATTCACTGCAGTGCAGTGTGAAACGCTGAACAAAAGTCATTGTGTAATAATCATGTTCATAGTTTTTGACTGTTTGTTATTAAACTTTTCCACTCATCAGAAACGTACCATATGTATCGTGTATCGTGAAAACAATTTTAAGTATTGTGATATTTTATTATTGCCATATTGCCCATCTCTAGTACATGGTCAAATGCAGCAAACACTTTCTGTAAAAGATTGTCTCATGATGATGCTTTTTTTTAACGCTTAGTGTACAGAAAGACTAATATTTCGGACGTGTATGCACAACAAATATTCTGGTTCTTAATGCAAAATATGTACTGAATCACTCCTTTGCACCTTTGGTTTACAACTTTTTATTTTACAGGACTGAAGCTGCGTGGGAAAGAAATTGGACAGCCTTTTGAGCCCAAATCCAAGAAGAAATGAGGACAAAGCCTCGAAATCAGCCCCTCCCTCCCCTGCTTGTCCCAGCTCCTTGTTAAACCACACACTAAAACTCATTTATGCTTCTTGCACAAGCTTGTGTGTGAAAAGATACATGATCATGACGACACAAATGCAGACTAACAAAGCTGTGTTTAATTGGTCTGGACTGGTTAGTGGTAGTCCTATGTAGGACCATGAGCAGTACAAACGATAACATTGTTTGTTGAATGTACACTGCCCCCTAGTGTTTTGGAGTACAAAGATGCACCACTCCCATTATCTGTAGCGTAAATGCCTGAGGATGGTGCTTTTTGCCATTTAGTGGTGCAACAGGCATAAATTTGCCTTAACTGACTAAACCACCAACCCTTTAGACCCCTTTGACTGTCCTTTGCTCCATTATCCCTTTACCTGGGCTGATCTCACTTAGGTTCCACTCTAGGACCTGGTGCTTCACTGCATTCAGAAGCTGCATTATGAAAATGTCAATCAAAAGATCTTTAAAATAACAACGAATGACTATGTTGCAAGACTTAATAAATTCTAAGCGCTGTGATGATTTTGGTAAATGATTGTTTTGGCATGAAACCTTTTTTCCCATTGGAAGTTTGGAGACCATACTTCTGAATTTCTTCTTGCGTTGATATAATAAAGTTATTTAAAAGCATCTCCAAGGCAGTTTTAGTGGGTTTGCCATGTTTGCAGTTTATATTTTTGCGCATAAGGGTTTCTAAGTATGAAACATTTCAGAATAAGTTATACCAACCCTCAAGAACAACATATGTAAAAGCCAAACAGTAATTTGGTTTTGACTTGAAATTCCTCTGCTGCCACAAAACCTTCTCTTTTGTAACAGCTGTATTGCTTCTTAACATTTCTGCATAGTTGAATAGTTGAGATGTAAACAGTCATTCAGAGTGGTCTGATGTAAAAGGGTGAATTGTAGAGAAACTTACTGACTTGGCTTTCTTTACAATTGTGGTGATGGGAACCAGGAGTTGTGATGTCTGCATTGCAAATACAGTCATTTTATTAACTATCCACTGAACGACCAGAGAACCTATGTCTTTTGGGTTTTTATAACTGGTAATTCTAAAATAGTGGTAAATCTGAAAAAAAATTCTTTGGGGAACACTACCCTGCATGTACTTCTCCACCATTAGTGGATTTTTAAACATATATATTTTAGGCCAAAACCTTATTCACTATCATAACGCAATGCATCAGGTAGTGTATGCCCGACTATTTCATGTAATAACTTTTTGTGCAGTTCTGTCATCACCACTGTGAACTGTTCTGATGCAGTAAAGCTTCTCTAGAACAACATTTCACATCAAACCACTCTGAATGACCTTGTTAACTTTTTAACTATTTAATTATGCAGAAGTGTTGAAAATGAAAACAAAAATCCTTTTAAAATACCTAAAACTCATTACTCAAAGTATGGACTTGGACTGTAACTGTAAAGGCAGGATACAGATTTTCACCTACGCTAAAATCATGCATTCTTTTTGGTAGAACCATTAAGAACTATAACACAGAACACTCTCAAACAGTATGCAGGTTAGAGAGTATGCATATTATATTTGACGAGTTCACACCTAAGTTGCAAAAAATAGGCTTTTAGAATGAAGATATTTACACACAAAACTTCTTTGTATTAACAGATGCAGCCACAAGATTATTGAGGGAAAGATAAAAACATAAGGAGTATACAGTAGAAAAAACCTTCATGGCCAACAAGAAGGAAGCGATTTACAACGCGAGGGCTTGTGTAAACAGAACCCTGAGAATCCACAGTGATCATCGATCTCTGGCAAAAGTCTGTCCTCAAGGTTCAAGTTACCTGGGATATTCATTTTATCACAACTAGTTTACACATCCAAATGGAGAGGACAAGAGATGGATTCTTATTTCACCTATTCACTACCAGTCAAAGAACATACAATAGAGGGAAATGCACACCCACTGAATAAGAACATCAGATCATCTCTTTTTCATGTCTGATAGGGCTGAGAGGTAGTCAGCCTCAGTAAATGTAGTGTTAGAAGTGCAGTGCCTAGCATTATCCTCTGGGAAGGCTTATTAATGTAGCTACTTTCAGTTGGTGTTTGAAGACAACAGTAAGTCCTCTGAATTTACCTTCTTTATATTGTTTGGTGCTTCTCCAGTCTTGGAATTTATCAGTTCTTTGCATTGTTCTTCCTGCATTAACAGGTTCTATATCATGTCCAATTTTTTGTATATTAAAAAATAATGTGTTTTAGCACTTTCATAGCAAAATTGAATCTTTCAGAATAAAAAATGCTAAGCTCATTAAAGATCAGTCTGTTTAGGCTGTTGAACAGCTACCTCACAGCTCATACATATGTATGATTTAAGTTCTTAACATACAGTAACTGCATTGCACAGTGCCCCTCATAGCCACTGATTTTGCTTTACAGTTGGGTTTGTGTGCAAGAGATAGCCCTACTTCATACCTATTCTGCTGATGCAATGTAGTGGGCTCATAAATCCCAAAGTGCAATGTAAGTCTGCGACACCCTTGAGAGTATCACTGCAGTATACACATCTCTGCACTGTATTGCTCACGATGCTCTCCCGGCCTGTCTCCATGCCTTTTATTTTCCGTCTCTCCATTCTCCTGTTCGTCCACAGGGAGAAGACTCTGTCTGATCTCCATTAACAAGTCTTTTCCTTCGCTGGGTGGAAGGTTGCCCAAGTAGTACTGTGGGGCTAATTCCACCAACCTGTAACGGTAAAGTGTGCAACAGAATCAGATTAACTCTTTCAAAGACAGAGGCACAGAATCTGAGTTTGCTTTCTGATGATTAAGTATATGAAACATTTGTCCATTTAGACTATTCAGGAAGCTTAGACTCACATTACAAGGTGCCACAAATCTAATTTTTTTTTGTCTGTTATCTGATACAGCTCTGATTTCCAGATCTAAACTCAATAACATACTTTTATTAACTTAATTCAATTATGCCACACATTTCCAGTCAGTCAAGAGTTGGCATATACATATTTTTATACCTCAACAATAAATATAATAGTTGATATAACAAAATCGACATTTCAGTGTAATTTAGACTTTCAATGGACTGGAATTTTCTTTGGATGAAGATTTTAGTAATTGACACATACTTTTTATTAATTCTTGTCTGTATTATGTAAAACAGTTTTTTAAAGACAACACAATTTATTTTATTAAATTTCAGCATATTTTCAGTTTGTCAGTCAAACAACCTCATTTGTTTATTTTTTTGAGTATATGTCTAAACACAGAGATCTGTGGTTGCATGCAAAAAACATCTTACATATTTACCTTAAGTTCAATTCTTAAGGGATACTTTTAAAACTGTACATTTAATGTAAAGTGTCATAAACTGTAGTGCTAAAACTTAATACTCCACTAATGGTTATGGATTTTTTTTCACTTTGTAATTAAACGTCTCTCTCTGAAGAGATTTTACACAGCTGACTTAAATGTAACAAACTTAAAGCCAAAATTCATTGAAGATGTTTTATGAACATGACCACAGATTCAATGTGCATCCGTGCAGCCGGATATCACACTTAACTGCACATGCCCATATCACTGTGGCGATCGTCTAGTGTCAGCAGCAATGGTCTTGATAAAAAAATGTCTGTAATTCGGTTCTTTTAGGACAGAGGTCTATTCACAGCTGTTCAAACAGATATGGGCCACTTACAAACACAAATATGAACCATCAAAGTAAAAGGCTAGTTCAAAAAATTGGAATTGAGCAGTAAAGCAAGGAATGTGAATGCAGCCTAAAACACATGCTGTGCTATCAAAAGAAGTAATCATAAAGCAAAGACAGGCAAACTCACATGTGGGGGTGCACCTCTGAGGCGGTGCGGATGCAGTTGTCATGGGAGATGGTGAATTCGTGGTAGAGCACCCAGCTGGGAGGGTTGGGTCGTGGACGACGGCACAGGTATGAGGAGAACGGGTGCAGGTGAGCCACATGTCGGTGTGTCAACAGTAAGTAGTTCCCTGAGCCATCTACATCATGAGCGACCTGAGGAAGCCAGCAAACCATTAGCTATCTAGAAACCTTTTAACATTAACAGTTAGTAGCTTCTACTCATTAAACAAGTAGACAAATTTCATCACTATTTTTGCTATTCATAAGTTTAACATGACCATAAGAGTCTGTCTGATCAAATCGAACTGCTGGTTGAAGAGCATGTAAATGTGGCCATATTCACAGTTAAATAATCAAAATCATTATCTCATTATCATAATAACAGTAGTAACATAAAATAATAACTGTGCACATGATAATCCTTGTACTAAAATGGTGGGTGATTCAGTTTGAATCAACCTGTGATTTGTACACATTCCAAAAGTCCAAAAGACTTGGCACACAATCGTGACTGAAATAGCACACACTGAAGACTTCTTGCTTGTTTCTGTGCAACTTTGAGTAATAAAACACAGATTTATACCTCGCGTTTCTAAGCAAGTAAGTAGGGAGTTCCATTAAACTACCTTAAGGAAGAACCCTGAGATGAGAGCTCGCTTTATATTTGTGCTGTTGTCCTGGCAGCCAAAGGCAGGCGGTGAAACTGGCAACTCAATCCGCTGCATCACTTCTAAAAGCTCTGCCCTGATTACCACAGCCAATCGCAGCGCAGAGGCATTCAGGAAGTTGGTGGAGCACCACGCTTCATCCTCATTGTCTAATGCAAGAGACAAAAATACGGCATAATAATTTTAATTATGTTTACACTATATTTTTAAGAACTTAGTTTTTAGATCAAACACAAGTGTTTATACTTTACTGTCAACATTACAACAATCAACTTTTAATTTTTTCCATTCTGGTTCTGATGTTCTGGAGGTACTCACGCTGTAGATATGCGTTGTAGACATTAATGAGTGTAAGATGGTCTCCTTCTGAGTGCAAAAAGGGTCGTCTATGAGTTGTTGCTGCCTCTTCTTTGTTTGGTGGAGGTGTCACAAAGCATGGAGGAGCTATTCAAAGAGAAATAACTGTTTTACTTGGCTCACATGGAGTAGAAGAAATGAGCCTGGAGTATATCAAAATCAAGCGGTCAATACAAATTAAAGGCTATACGTGCTTTATTTATTAAATGTTAATATCTAAATGCCTCCATGTGAATGAAAGCTAATGCTCTATATGTATTTGTTAAAAGTAACATGACAATGGTAGGTCAGTTCTGCTTCTTTTGAACATCCTAATGTGTGCGTTTGTTGTGGGTGTAAACAAGTGTATCTGCATGCGTGTTTGAATGAACGTCCTATTCACCAGTAAGCATGGCAGCAATGGTGAGCATTTCACTGACACAGTCGAACTCGCAGGCTGCAATGAGGGCTTTGGCCAGTGGCGGCTCCAGAGGGAGCTCAGACATGATGATGCCCACCTCTGACAGATTCCCATCATCATCTAGAGCAGCCAAGTAATCCAGGTCCTCCAGAGCCTGCATCAATGCTTCTGGAGCTACAGAGACAGGTGGGAAAAAGAGAAACAGATGCTATGAAGAGTAACTGGGGAATTAACGTCACTGATCTAGAGTTAAGCGATATGACTATCATGACAAATTATGTCGTAATATGCTTTTCTAAACATATTGTGGATATTGTGTACTTAAGGAACACTGACTAACTACATGTTTTGGCCTCTTTAATTGGATTTGGTGCAGTGTAGTTTACAAACGCTTACAGAGTGTTATTAAAAGAAGAGGTGGTGCAACACAGTGGTAAACATGCCCCAGTCTGGTACAGCTGATTTAAGATATCACTTGCCAAGAAACCAGTTTTTTGGCAGCATAATCAGTGTGACAGGCCTACTTCCACCTGTATCTGTGGCATATTACACATTTTATATTGTTTTGTTTAATATTTGTGACAATTGTAATTCCTCCAGAACATGTAGAGGACTACATTTTACATAATTTTTTATTGTTTTATTATTGTTTTTTTTTTTTTTTTACTTTTAATTGCATTGAAAATGTTCTGCGCTCCCTGCATGTGAAGACATTGGACTGAATTATTCTAAAATTACTAACTGGTCATGTGAGTGAAGTAAAAATAATGTAGTGCTCTTACCTGGCCGGTCAAGGAACTTGCACTGGCCCATGTCAGCTATGTCAAGCCTTTTTAGAAGGAGGACTAGGTGGCTGAGGTTAGCCTCAGCGACTCCAGGACAGCGTGCTTCAGGCATCCCCTCCTCGTACAGGGACTGGGGGTACAGACGAAAACACACCCCTACAAGAGGAAATAAACTGAGTGGCCCCAGGACTGGAGATCCCACACTGCATTTTTTTTCATGCTCAAGAACACCTGATTCAACTCAAAAAGTAATTATCAAGCCTTTCATTATAATTTCTTCACCAAGATTCATTAAATAGTAGACAACAGAAAAATGAAATTTCAAATAGACATGCTTTTAGACCTGCTTCTCTTTTATAAGACCCTTACAGTGTTGTTCTGCATCTATCAATTAGCAATTCAAGAGTAGCAGAAGACAAATATTACAAGACTTCCAGAACACCATGAGTGTGATAGTGTCATATGAAGCCTCACCTGGCAGATTGCTGTTCACTCTCTGGGATCGAGTATCTGCCTGGTGTTTGCTAATTGGTCGCTGAACCTGAGAGTCTGCTCGGATCTGTGGATTGTACACCTGGAGTCACACAAAAAGAACAATAGCAAGTTGGTGAGGTTTTCAAAAGTGTTTCTGTATGTAGTCTGGGTTAATCAAATTATCAGCTTGTTATTATTTTCTTTATTATGTTATTTAAGCTAATAACTTATTTAGTCTAAATAAAGAAAACCATAAAAACACACAAACATACATCTTTTATGTTCAACATTTTGTATTTTATTTTTTCCACTGAAGTCAATTTTTTTCGCTTGCGTGGTTTTGTACCAGAAAAAAAATTTTTATTAATTTTTCCTTGACCATTTTCCAAGCTCTGTTTAACCTTTAGAATTAAACAAGATTTTTTTTTACTTTCAGTTCAGTTTAAAACACTATTAGGTCAACAGCACTTCTCTCCTTAACTATCCTAATTTAATATTTAATTTTACTTTTAATTCAATGTTTAATTTTGTCTAATGTTTTAATCATGTTTTTTAATTTCTATTCTCCTACACCGTTTTAATTAATTTTATTTTCTTTTTTGTAAAGCGCACTGAATGATCACAGTGTATGAAAAATATTATATAAATAAACTTGCCTTGCCTTTTGTTGCTGTGCCCTTAAGACCAGCAGTGGGAGAGTTAAAAAGAAATCCATTACTAACTATTCTCTCACTGGAAAAGTAATCTCACAGCTCATTACTTCTAAGTAACTCTCTAAAATGCATACAAATCTGTACCAATTAGAAAGTGCAAGGAATGACAACTAACTTTCAGGATTTTATTTAAGAATAGCCACAGTGAACATCTTCTGAAGGTATGTCACCATCCCTCCCTCAATTCTGAACAAGACATAGTCAATTATGCTTGGTTAAAATGTTTAACTTGTCTAATGCTATCTGAAAACCTCAAAACTAGTCATTAGAAATTGACTTTACACCTGTTGCATTTGAAACAAGAATATCAATTCTGGCCTGTTTAGCTAAAATTGGGGCTGTCTTCTTCAGCATGGGATCTTTAGCCATTTCATATTGGCATGCTGTCTGATTTAGACAGACAGATGGCTCTTTTTACAGCAGCTTCTTTCACACCTCACAATGTTTTTACTTTTATGCACAATTTTTAAAAAAGTGAATAAATAATAAACATCCACTCTTTCCCTCAATGGTCAGTGCCTGCACTCTGTTTACACTGGTCATATCCACAGTGTGTAGGCAAAATGAGTAAAGGACACAGATTATACAGATTGAATTTGTGTTTTAAACACTTTATGTGTAAAGTGTGTGCTTGAAAAAATGTAATGCCAGTAACTAATTTCTACTAAAATTTAAACTGTAATGCATTACATTACTTTGTTGCATAAAAAGGCTGACATTGCTGTAATGCGTTTCTTTGTATCATGTTACTCTCAAAACCGTTTATGACTGATATGCTATATTTTAATTACCTCCATTCAGAGTGGCTACCTTGTATTGCTTATTTTTATATATTTAAAAAAGTGCATTCTTATCGCTTCAGTTGTTACAGTGGACCAAGTTGCCGTGGGCTGAATGGATGGTCATATGTAAATGTGACATCCAACCCATAGTGAATTTTAAACACACAATTTTTGTAGCTTTAGTTTAGTTTTGGTAAATCCCTTCATGAACGTTGCATTCCCCTACTGATCAGCTCACTGTTTTGAGTTGAAGTCCGGTATCAATAACATAGCGAATGTTGGGCAGAGAGAAGGAGGCCTCTCCGAGGGCGTCTGTGAGGATGACCCTGCGTCTTAAACCGGATTCCTCAGAACTGTCCAGACCAGGCTGCTCCTCTTCTTTCGGTTCAGCCTGGCCCTCAGCCCCCTCCGTATCATACACTTGCTGTGTGGCCCCACCAAGACCAGAGTGCAGCAGGAGCACCCGTAGTGCCCCCAGCTGAGGACTCAGAGCCACAGACTCCTTCTCTAACAGAGCGGCACACTCATCAATTTCCTAAGAGCAACACAGAGCAGAAAAAAAAATGTACTGTTACTATAGCATTTATGGTAAATATTCAGTACTTGCTCAATCAATAGGGTTTTATATACATTTTTGCATGGCATTTACAGAGTGACTGCTTGTAAAAAGGCTGTGCATGTGGTAAACTGAGGCCTCATTTCCTATACAGAAAAAAGTCATCTAAACATCATCACCACCTCCCCAAAAGACAAGAGACAATAATGTTTATTAACATAGAACAAAAAGCTTTGAAGACCCAATGAACTGAAGCAGGTATTTTAAACTACGAGTGTGTTAAAAAACAGTCCATCTAAGCAACTGTTAACAAAAAACGAGAAGATTTGTCCTATATAGTACATTAAAGCATGGGTGTCAAACTGAGCTCCTTCAAGGCTACCACTCTGCAGAATTTAGCATTTTGCCTCTTTAAGCATAACTGATTAAACTCATCAGATAAATAGCAAGGCCCTGAGCTGAATGCAGAAGCCCTGTTTAAGTCATAAAATTGTAATGTAAATTACAAAAAAAAATTGTAATGTAAATTACATGCTTTCAGAAGCATGTTTTATATGTAACATTTAATCTGAACAGGCTGTACTGACACATAACGGATGTAAGCAACAAGAAACATTTAAACCTTGCATTAAAAATGTTTTCATTCATTACATTACATTACAAACTTTTTTATTCGTTACCAGGTAGGAACTCAGTTTGACAGCCATGCATTAGAGTACTGCACATCAATGGAATATTTTGAAAAAAAATCTTTAGTTAAACTATAGTAAGACAAATATTCTGTGTGTATTTTTAATTTCATATATATTTTGTTTATAAAAATCCAAAAAATCCAAACTTTGTTTTAGCCTGTATGCACCCACATGTACATCTATGTAGGTCAATCAACTTTAACAAAGTGGCTTCCAATCCCACTCCTGGTCCATGCTCGGCACATATTTGTCTACTCTACACACCTGACCGAGCCTATAAGGAGCGTGTTAATTACTCAATGTGTTGAATCAGCTGTGCTTGGTGAGACAAAGCACAAAAGTATTCATAGTGTGGGGTTGCCAGGACTGAGACGGGGAATACGTGTTTTAACGGGACACATCATGGGTTAACCCCTTTTCCACTTGGGTTTACTTTGCTTACTTTATTTTTTGGATTACAAGGCACAGGACTGTTTCTCAAAACCCCAGAAGCAAAAACAAGCTGACTCTATATTTATGTCTCATCACCAGAGGCCAGTTGCAAGAAGCAAGAAAATAAGACACCACAGATCCTCACTGTTAGAGAACTTGATTGGTTTTCAGCTGAACTCAGCCCACTAACTACATTTTCTTTTGTCCCTGTTCATCTACCTAAATATAACCAAGCTAGCTCGGCTGATGGTTTATGTATTAATTCTGTGGCCACCACGGATATTTACTCGTACAGTTCTATATTAATAACACATGCATGTTTGGAGAACAAACATCCTCCACTTTTACTCAACACAAACACACATGCCCACATATACACCAGCTCATTTACTACAACAACTACCTAATAATGCATAGACCCCTCCAATCAATCCATATGAGTTAACCACAAAGCATTAATGGGCTTTTCCAAAGCACAGTTTGAATGTTCTTGGCAGCTGTTACTACATTTACAGTATCACATGAGTCCTAGGATGAGGAAATGGGTGAGGCCATGATAATATTGACAAAGAAGGAGTAGACATGAAATTAGAGTCACATGCATTAGAAGGACGATAATTACATTGGCTTGCGTTATATGAGCATGTTTTGGTCAGTTCAGATATGCTTATTTTCCTTATATTCTACACACACAATAATCTGATGAAACATGTCTTGATAAATGCATCTATGCATGTGTTTATGTGCTTGTTTTATGTGAAGAAGGGATTTGTCATTTGAGACCTGATGTGATCCAACCAATTCTATTAGATCACACCTCTCCCTGAGAGTAAATAACCTCAGTGGTGTCGAGACACCTGACACCCAATACGCCTGTGCCATTCGGCAGATTACAGCTAAAGAGTGCAGCTCAAAAAGACAGGAAGAGCATAAAGACCAGAGAACGATAGATGTGTGGATTGAAAACCCAGAGATATGACAAAAGGGTAGATTAATAAATCAGTAATAAGGTCCAAGACTGACTAAAGACTTAACTCAAAGAGACTGACAGAACGATCACTTTGTGGAAGACATCTGACTGAAAGATAAAACCTTCACCAATATACCAGACCTTTCAATGATATTACCTCTGGGTAATCTGAATATAATTCTGAAGTAAACATTTCCAAAGCATTTATTTGCTTCTTGCTAAAGACAACAATGGACTAAAATGCAATTCAAACTACTGAAACTGAGAAATGGCAATAAGAAGAGATATAGGGATTTTAAATGGACTGAAAGCTCCACCCAGAAAAACACGTTTATCCGCTCATATTTGCATCTTTACTCGCTAAACTTGCATCATTAAAGCTTAAGTGTGCCAAAATGAAGCTGCTTAGGTGTTCTAGCTAAGCTAATGTTAGCCTCTACAGTAAGGTGATCAGATTTCTGAAATGAAAACTGGGGACATTTCCAACTTGGAGGTCAATACATCATTAAAATATTCGTTTTAATCTATGAAATAAAAATGGGGGAGAGTTCCAGTTTATTTTATATATGTAGTTTTCCCCCTCGCAAGATTTGTTGCTCGTCGCTTTTTTAAGCACAGCCCTAAGGTAGCTCCAGTTCTGGAGACATAGAGATGGCTGTTATCAACATATGCCATATGTAATACATAAATTGCTTAAAAAATTATGCAGTATAAAAAAAATGATGCACTACGTTTTTGCTTCGTAGCCCACATTCAAGTAGACTGTAAGCCAAATCATATAGCTTACCTATCACCCCTGCTTTTAATCCCTGGGTTACCTCAGGTCTTAAAAAAAGATGTTTGTGGTGATGTTGTGGACTCACTTGACACTTGTTAGCTTCTGGTCGAGTTTTATACAGCAGTATTCTCTAAAACTTACCAAGCAAGTGGTAGAAATTGTTAGTAGATAGCAGCAGCCAGCCCCCTCCGTTGGCCAAAACAAGCACACGTGAAATACTGTAGTGCAATTATATCACTGCAGTTGCAATATGCCTTTCAATTAGGGGTCTACCGATGTGTTTTTCTGGGCCGAGACTGATTATTAGTAGACAAGGAGAAAAATGACCCATATACTTGGCCCATATGCACTGGCCATAAATTTGAAGTTTGAATAGTGTGAAAATGTATAGAAACACAACTCCTACACTAAATTAACTTTAAGTAAACACAATGTTTATTGAAACACAACTAAACATTTAGTGTACATTTGGAAATGCTGATGATAAAATGTAATGATTTTCCAAAAAACTTCAAGAGCTGAAAATAAACTTTTCAATAGTTCTTTAAAAAAAAACAAATGAAAAATATGTAATGAAAGGTGTACCTGATAAAAAGGCCAGTAAGTTTAGATCCAAGGTAGATGTACCTAATAAACTGGTGACTATCAGCTGGCACTTAAGACGCACTTAACTGCAAATGCCCTGGTCAATGAAATTAGAAAGTAACAAGATTAAAACGTCTGAGGACTATAAATACCTGGTCACTAGGGAGGAAGACCAGAATATCTCCTTCCTCTCCTCGCCGGTGGAGATCCAGCACCATCTGACAAGAGGCTGATGTTAGGTCTCGTCCTGCAGGGGGGTCCCGGTACAGTGTCTCTATAGTGGGTTTGTCCGATGGTGGGTCAATAGTAAGATGAGGCACACCCTCCCCCAGGAAGCTGGCCATGGTGCTGGCCACAGGGGGTGCTGCAAGCACCACTACCCGCAGGTCACAACGTTGCCGGCACACATCCCGCAAGAGGCCCATCAGTACGTCAGTGGCCACAGTGCGCTCCTGAGCCTCATCCACCACCAGCACGCCGTACTGCCGCAGCAAGGGATCCGACATCATCTCCTGCAGGAGTAGCGAGTCGGTCACAAAGCTGGGGAAGACAATATGTGGGGAAAGGGACATTTAGAGACATTTCTATGTGGAAATAAGGAGGACAGAAAGACTATTAATGGCATTTCAGTGCTGTACATCCTCATATTATATGTTCCAAAACAGCACCATGTGAAGGTCTCAGTGTAACTCTGCCTTCATGTGGTCATTTATGGTCCTATTTCTCACTTATGAAGTAGTAATTACTTAGTCAGAGAGTTAGCCAGCTTTATCTATTTTGGTATCTTCCTCACATTTTCCTATATTATACACAATCTCATAATGTAATGTAGTTATTTCACACAAGTAAAATTGGTGACTAAGAAAACTTTGCATTTAGAAAAATAGAGTAACCCCCCCATCAACTTTCCTCCCCTATGATAAATACTAGTAACATCAATATATCAGTATCAGTAAAATATCAATAGCAAGTCAGAAATCAATATCAAATTGTTTTTGTAGCTTCCACCTGTAATTCCTTAAACAGACTATATGCAACTTTTATGGCAGGAACTCATATTTTCAATAATTTCTAAAAACCACAAAGATAACATAATTTCTAACTCACCGCAGTAAAGTGTCTGGTGTGCAGCCATCATCATGAGGTACTCTATAGCCCACCTCCAACCCCAAACTTAGGTCCATTTCATCAGCTACACGAATTGCCAGACTACAGGCGGCTGCTGCATAGGGCTGACAACAGCAAACTAAGCCCTGAGTAAACTGATGAGAGAGTGCGTACTCCACACACCACTGAGGCACCTACACACAACAAATACAAATTATGTGGTTATACGCCAATCAAATACACATAAAAATGTATTACAGTATTTTTTGCAGTTTTATAGTTTTCAACTATTTTGTTGCAAAATATTAATTAACTATGGCCTGTTGGATGGGATAGGCCCATGCTGCTAAGTCCGTTTATTTGGGTAACTGTGTGGAAAATAACCATGACCAATAAACAACTAAACTGGATGAGAGGGGTATTTTTGCCCTCACTTTTCCTTTTCGTCCAGTAATTCTTTGACGGTCCCCTAAAATGAAGAGGACATGGGAGCAAGCACAATGATAACATGAGTTAGTTTAACTGATGCCCTCTTCTCTGAAGCCATTTAGTCTGATGTACGAGAGCTGAGACACGATTTTACTCGTATGTTTTCCCAAGACCTGAAGCTGTTCTATCTGATGTTTGAAACCTGATGCTGTGGTGTGAGGATGTCCTAAAATGTACACCGTGACATGGGCAGCTTTTTTGTATAGGCACAATATCTGCCTGTAGCAGTATGTGAAATGCAAATAAAAACAGAAATACAATATAATTAATGTTTTATCAACTTCTTTGTTTCTCTGAAATTGATGCCTGAAAAAAAGATTTTGAAGTAAAACTAGGAAGACTGTTTAATGTTCAAAAAACATTTTAAGAGATGATGCAACCGTGTTGGATACAAAAGGAGCATCTAGGAAAGGCCTAGTCCTTTATGAGCAAGAATGGGCTGAGGCTCGACAGTTTAAAAAAAATGCATTAGCAAATAGTCCAACAGTTTAAAACCAAAGGGCCTCATTCACTAACCGTTCTCAAGAAATTTCTTCTTAGAAACCCACTTACACAGTTTTCACGAAGATTCTGACATTCACCAATGTTTTCTTATTTGGGATTTGCTCTTAAGTAAAAACAAAATCTACGCACACTCAAGAGCACAAAAGTGTGAATAATTCAGTGGTTTAAGAACATGTCATAGTCTCACATAGACTTTTTCTTAGGACCTTTCTAAATAACAAATTTAAGAAAAAACTTAGGAAGCTATTGGTGAATTAGGCCCACTGTTACTCATCAAGCATTTGCAAGGATTCTAGCTATTTCACCCTCTACAGGGAATAGTATTATCAAACGATTCAGGGAATCCAGAGAATCTCTGTGTGTAAAAAGAAAGGCCAAAACCACAAGTAAAGGCTGTCTTCAGTATCAAAGGTCACAGGCACTGTTTTAAAAACTGGCATGTTTTTCTGATGATATCACCGCATGGGCTTGAGAATACTTAGACAAACCACTGTCAATAAACACTACTTGTTGCTGCATCCACAAATGCAGCTTACGGCTGCACTATGCACAACAGAATCACAGGTCAACAATGCCCAGAAATGCTGCTAACTTTTCTGGGCTTGAGCTCATCTGACATTGACTGATGCACAGTGGAAACGTCTATTATGTTCTAATGAGTCAACCTTTAGATTATTCACAGAAATAATGCATGTCGTGTTCACCAGGTTGAAGAAGTAAAGGACCATTCAGGCTGTTACCAGCTTCTCAGGCCAGGGTCTGGGTATAGGATGTATCAGTGCCCATGGCATGTGTAATTTGCACATCTGTGAAAGCACCATTAATGCTGAAAGATACACATTTTGGAGCAACATAAACAGTCTTTTTCAGGGATGTCCATGCTTATTCCAACAAGACAACGCCAAGAAACATTTTTCACATTACAACTGCATGGTTGCATAATCAGAGAACGTGGGTGCTAGCCTTGCCCCCCGTCTCCTACTGAAAATGTGTAGTGCATCATGAAATGCAAAATACGACAACAAAAGCCCTGTATTGTTGGGCAGTTGATAATTTGTTCACACTTAAAAGTGGCAACGTGCTGCAGGAACGTGGAACGTGCTGCAGGCATCATACTTGGAATGAGCATACCTTTTTTTAAAAAAAAAAAGAAAGAAAAAAAAAGGTTCAGAATGGAAAACATCAAATATTGTGTTTTTATATTTATTTTCAATCTAATATAGTTTAAGCAGAATTTCTAAACACTGATTTCTTTCCTTTCTGATGTCTTTATTGGCTTTATTGGTATTTTCACATGCTGTTCCAACCTTTTTGGGTTCTTATATTTGGTACTGTAAATGTAATATTAATATATATCACATGACCCAAAATGTTTGAAAATTCTGTTATGTGCATAGATGAGAGCACAAGTGTCTTTCTACAGTTTGCATGAAAAAAAATCAATAAATGAATGGCATTTTTTAAAGCAGTGGTAAATGAGTATTTACTGTCACTGATGACTGTAACCGCTGTAACCTGGTTAATTGTCACCAGGCACACGCCTAGTGCTGGTCCATACAACTAAGTCAGGGAGCATGTATGAGTACGTGTGAGTATGAGATTGTGCATAGCTCCTTACTTGTGTGCTCTTGCCAGTGCCACCCTCTCCACTCAGCACCACCATGCTGTGAGTCTCCAGGTGCTCCAGCAGGCCGTATTTCAAGCTCCAAACAGGCAGCCCTCTACGCTCCTCCAACATGGTGTAGTAGCGTGAGGAGAAGGGCAGGCTATCATAAGGGTTCACTTCCAGATCAGCCAGCTCGCCCTCACCACCCTCCGTCCCTTCCTCCAAATCCCCGGACAACAGCGAGGACATGGAGAGGTTGTCCAGTGCAGAAAGGCCAGGGCTGGCTTTCGGGACCGCTGGGGAGGACGACATTATGAGAAGTACACGAGGGCTGAAGACTGTCACCTGAGGAACTCAGGAAGTCTGAACTACCTGTAGAGGTGGAGAGAAGATTCCATACGTACTTTACTATATGCTTGTAAGAGTTAAAGGTCTATTTCAACATAGAAAAAGAAAAAAAATAAGTGGTGTTGCATAATGTGGTTTTAGCAGCCTGGCCTGCAATTGCTTGTATATTACCAAACAAGAAAAGGTCTTATGGATACACCAATTTTTCCTCTCGCAGCACTGATTCATCGGCTAATACTGAGTACTAATCCAATATGAGCACTCTGTTAAGGCAAAGTACATAAATATACAGCAGAGGGTAATGTACCACAGCCATACTACAGCGGAGACGGTCATGTGCTAATTTTATGATTATGGTGTTACAGAAGGTTTAAAGAATTCATTGGGTGTTGAGTGGTGTGTTCAATATGACATAATTTATGATGATAATGCTAAATATTGTCTCGAGACAGTAAGCTTTTCTGAACAAATCACAGATTTTGTCAGTACTTAAACAACAATGATCAGCTGCATGTTTAACTTTTAATTTTAAGAGAGCATAACTAGTCCTGTTTAATTAGATTTAATGCAGAACAGTATGCACAATATTAAATGTTAAAGTTTTTGAGTACTAATGTGGCACTACTGGCTCTTTTTCTGTCTGTGCAAACACATCAGATGTCAAAAAACATATATATACCCTGGCATGTATCATAAAAATTTCCTGAAGTATCATAAACATATATTTTTGTCATATCCAAAAATATATATATATATATATATATATCATAAACATATATTTTTGTCCACTACTAACTGTGACAGTAAAAAAGAGAATCAGCCATGTCTGGCTTTTATATGTTTAATAAAATTATTATCAGAAAAGTCTAATATCAATACAGTATTTTGAATTGTGAAATACCTTAGTATGAGCAGGGTTAGTTCAGTGGTTTTTTGCAAGGAGCTGGTCAAGAGCTAGCAACGCTCTTCAGCAGCTGTGGCACTCTGCTATTCCACACATTTAAGGAATGTTAGCACACGCCTTGCGGCCATTCACACAAATGTCTTTCAGTTGATGTCCACTCTCTCCCTGTACATTATTATAGGTATCACAACATTTTATTTTAAAACATGATCATTTTGCTTTGTGTCACCAAGCCAGACTATAGCCATGCTCTTTGAGATTAGGTTGAGCTATCAGCACAGAACATGCAAAAACGAGTGCCATGCAAACCGTCACTATGAACATATTCGCCATGGAGATTCTGCCACCAGGTCTGAGATGCAGAGAGGTGTTCAAGCAGAACTGGTGTAATTTACTTCAGTATGTATGAAACAGCACAGATTCGTGTACAAAAATACCTCCTCATGTTGTCATGAACACAAAAGACATGAAATGGAATTATTTCACTAATTTGTGGCAAAATTAAGCACAAGTAGGACAAAGGCTAGAAGTGAATTTTCTGTTGTTTTATCCAGTAGAAGCTCCAGGGCTGCTGTGGATGGGCACAACAAATCTGCAGCTTGGCCGAACCTTGAAATTCACTCTCATGCCCGGGGTGCTACCACGAATTAATAACGAGTACAGCTTTGACATCAGAAAAGGAAAAATAAACCTGAGATAAATGAAACATGGAATTTACTACAGAAAAAAAATCTGTATTCCGAAACTCATAACTTTAATTTGAAATTCATCCATTTTATGCAGGTTTTTATTGCTTTAGGTTTAATGATTGACAGTGGGATAACTGTTAGTAGTTACAGTATGTATGTAATGTTGTGCCTGGTTACTTCTGTGCTTTAAGTAAGCCATGTTCATGATTCCAGTCCAGTCCAGTGATGGCTTGGAACAGCTAAGATTTTTTTTCTATGAGCTTTTGGTCTACTCTGAGATCTTAGCTATGCTTATTATTATGTTGGTGATGTCTCCAAAAATGGAGTTTAATATACTCTGCAACAACATTTTATTTGTGTTTTTTTACTATCTATTCAAACATTTTAATAAGCATAAATTTGAGCGGGCCAATGATAAAAGTGCGTGAGCCTAGGCCCACTGGGCCGAATTATACTACTGTCGTTGGTTCTATCATTGTCTTATGTAGGACAAGTAAGTAAGCTTTATCACTATATAGTAGTAACATTGTGCTATTACGATGCGAAAACGTGACCATGCTTGTTGTGACAATGTATTGTGAAGAGTAGACATTTTATTAATTATGACTTTGAATGCATTCTCTTTGTTCGAGCGCAAAAGTTCATGAACAACCAGCATGAATCAACAACCCAAAATAACATTTTCATTAGTAAGCTGTGCAACAAAATAGATAGTCATCATTTTGCTTCATTCAAGTTTTTTTTTTTTTTCAAAATATAGTGACAATATCGTATCGTGAAGCCGATATCAAAAATAGAACCGAACTGTGGGCCGAGCGTATCGTTACAACCCTACTACTACACAGTGAACAAAACTGACAAATTATTATACCAACACATGCTAGCCTAATGCTGTACGCTTCCAAAAATAAATAAAACTGGCGTTAGGGTTTTTAGGCTATTAAACGTCCTAATTATGAAGACATCAGGGAATCTGTTTTAGTGACACGAAGAAAAATGTCCATTTCATGACACCTAAGAGGGGGAAGAGGGGAGGGGCGGGTTAATATCACGGGGAAAAGGGGGCACAACCATAACAAAGGATCAGCTTCAAGGCTAACTCAATAAAACAATAAAACGACAACAGAGTTAGCTCGCTAAAACGTAACCTAGCTACCTCCTGCATAATAAAACGCTCACGGTTCACAGAGCTGAGATAAATAACCTACCTCACACACGGTCCATACACTAGCGAAAGCACTTTAGCCTGCCTTTACAGTGAAAACAGTGGAAATGTACACGGGCATAACCATGTCAAATATCAACAGTCGCCATTTGTTCAGGATTAAGTCTTCTCTTCTTAAAAAACAACGACGCTATCGATGTAGTCTGTCTGAATGTTGACCTAAGGCAACAGTCTACGTGTCAGCTGACTGACTGTCATAAAACAGTGACAGCGTTAGAGACTAAACCTCGACGATTAAGAATCTTTGAAAACATGTTTAGAAACAACGACATAAAATGTCACTTTACCTGAGACACATTTCTCCGAAGTGGGGGACACCGAAACCTCCCAACGAGGCACGCCTGTTATCGCCCTGTCATATCGCTCTGACACACCGGAGCCTTCCAGCGGAACACCACCACAGAGGAAACAGACCGCCTCACCAACTACACGCAGGACACAGGCGCATTAAGACGATGTGAGACAGATCTTACGGTGAACCGTCCAGAGCCGCAGATTATGTCCTCTATAATTCGTGACTGTTGATGTTGGTCATCGGCCATCGAGCCCTACCGAAACTCCGCCATCTTTGCTGAGCTCACCGTGTGCAGGTGGAGGAGGAGCTGCGGACTGAAGGAGGAGCTGCTCCCTTCACTCACCCTTAAACAGCCCTCATCACCTCACTGATCGCTCCAGGCAGGTTAGCAGTGAAAAAAGGAAGAATACCAACAAAATAGCGAACATCAACTTTAAAAAGTAGGCACACTCTTTAAAAACCGGATGTTATTAACCTAGTAATGTCCCTATATTAAATTTTAAATGGATAAAAGGTGAGATTTTATTACTTTTTTATCACTTAACTTATTAAATCCAGTCTTTGGGGCACGTGGGACTACTGCTTGAAAAAAGCGACAAAAATCCAAATTTGTGAATAAAAGTATGAACCAATATGACAAATAAATATACCTTCATATATTATCAAAAAAGGTGTCAAGCTCGTAATATATTTCCATACGTTTTATATATATGTGTATATTATAAATTGACCCTATTACATATATTTCAACAACATATGTGCATACATTTCAATCATTTAAATTATTGACATATGTGCATATGTGTGCATATACAGCGATCAGCCATAACATTATGACCACCTCCTTGTTTCTACTCTCATTGTCTATTTTATCAGCTCCACTATATAGGTGCACTTTGTAGTTCTACAATTACAGACTGTAGTCCATCTGTTTCTCTGCATACTTTGTTAGCCCCCTTTTACCCTGTTCTTCAGTGGTCAGGACCCCCGTGGACCCTCACAGAGCAGGTACAATTTGGGTGGTGGATCATTCTCAGCACTGCAGTAACACTGACATGGTGGTGGTGTGTTAGTGTGTGTTGTGCTGGTACGAGTGGATCAGACACAGCAATGCTGCTGGAGTTTTTAAACACTGTGTCCACTCACTGTCCACTCTATTAGACGCACCTGCGTTGTTGGTCCACCCTGTAGATGTAAAGCCAGAGACGACAGCTCATCTCTTGCTGTACAGTAATCATCCTCTAGTCCTTTATCAGTGGTCACAGGATGCTGCCCACAGGACGCTGTTGACTGGATATTTTTGGTTAATGCACTATTCTTAGTCCAGCGGTGACACTGAGGTGTTTAAAAACTCCAGCAGCACTGCTGTGTCTGATCCACTCAGACCAGCGCAGCACACACTAACACACCACCACCACGTCTGCAGTGTTACTGCAGTGCTGAGAATGATCCACCACCCAAATAGTACCTGCTCTGTGAGGGTCCATGGGGGTCCTGACAACAGAAGAACAGGTTAAAAGGGGGCTAACAAAGTATGCAGAGAAACAGATGGACTACAGTCTGTAATTGTAGAACTACAAAGTGCACCTATATAGTAAGTGGAGCTGATAAAATGGACAATGAGCATAGAAACAAGGAGGTGGTCATAATGTTATGGCTGATCAGTGTATTATACTTTTATATATTCATAAATGGCATAGTTACATATAAGTAGCACATATATTTTATAACATTGCGTGTATGACATGCACGCTTTTAATATGAGCAAATGTATGCACATATATTTTTGTTCTATATGGGAAACTATTTCTATTATATTCAAAAATTTAAAAAAATAGGCCCTTTAATCACTTTAGATTATATTTTATTATTAGATTATATTTATATTATAATCACTTAGATTATTATTATTATTATTATTATTATTAAGTTGTTTTTATTATTTATTTTTTATGTTTTTTTAAACTAATAATAATTATGTCTATTCCTTTTAACATTAAAAAAATTAATTAATGATCAGTGACATGCGTTGGCAAAAACAGCTCACTTTTTTAGCAGACGTCAGTGAAAAAAAGGATAAAAAGATAATAGCGGTCACTCTGTGATGACCTGGAACAGGGACAATATAATTCATTTAATTCTCGGGACACATTCACTGTTACACCTTAATTAGACATAGATGATTGAAAAGCAGGGAGGATGTGGAAGATATGACTTCCTCTTTGTTAGTGAGTGACCTAAAGGACAATCTGCTTTTAGATTTGTTATACAATCTACATTCTGCACCTGCTGTAATTTATTAATATCATGCAAGCTGATGCTTTTTCAAACTACATCTCAGACAGGTGCTGAGGTGGACTGTTCAGTTAAAGAGCCCATTTCATGTAAAACGTTTTTTCCGAAAAATAGTATATGATCATTCAAGTTTCAAAATGTTACCTTCACTCCACAATCCATACAGTCCATATATGGAAACAAATATGCAAAAAGCATATTAATAATGAATTGATTTTTGTGATGTCACAAACGCCAACACATTCACACACATCTGCATATTCAGCCTACAGCAGTTTATCCTGTCCACACTGTTTACACTGAAGTTGTAAGGAGTGTTTAAGCCCAGGCTGATTTTTGAATGAGGCACAATAAGGGGTAGCAAATCAGAACTTACGTCAATTACATGCATTATATGGATAAAAGTATCGCGACACCCCTCCTAATTATTGAGTTTAGGTGTTTCAGCGACACCCATTGCTAACAAGTGGATAAATTAAGCACATAGCACATAGTCTCGATAGACAAACGCTGGCAGTAGAATGGGTTGTACCGATGAGCTCAGTGACTTTAAACATGGCACTGTCATAGGATGCCACCTCCACCACAAGTCAGTTTGTAAAATTTCTGTCCTGCTAGATCTGCTCCTGTCAACTGCAAGTGCTATTGTTGTGAAATGGAAGCACCTAACACACCTCCACTGGACTCTGGAGCACTGGAAATGTTTTCTGTGGAGTGATGAATCATGCTTCTCTATCTGGCAGTCTTACAGACATATCTGGGTTTGGCAAATACCAGGAGAACGTTACCTGCCTGACTGCATTGTGCCAAGTGTAAAGTTTGATGGAGGAGGGATAATGCTACGGGGTTGTTTTTCAGGGGTTGGCCTAGCCCCCTTAGTTCCAGTGAAAGAAAATCTTAATGCTTCGGCATACCAAGACATTTTGAACAATTGTATGCTTCCAACTTTGTGGGGAAGCCCTTTTCTGCTCCAGTAGGACTGTGCTCTAGTTCACAAAGCACAGTCCATAAAGGAAAGGTTTGGTAAGTTTAGTTTAGTGTGGAAGAACTTGACTGGCCCACACAGAGCCCTGTCCTTAACCCCATCAGACACCTTTGGGATCAACTAGAATGGAGATTGAGAGTCAGGCTCTCTCGTCCAACACCATTTGTCTGACCTCACAAATGCTCTACTGGATGAATGGGAAAAACTCCACACAAACACACTCTAACATTTTGTGGAAAGCCTTTCCAGAAGAGTGGAAGCTGTTATAGTTGCAAAGGGGGACCAACTCCATATTAATACCTATAGATACAGAATGAGATGTCCTGAAAGCTCTCGTAGATGTAATGTGTAGGTGTCCCAATACTTTTGTCCGTCTAGTGTATATATAGTATATATAGTATAGCCTTAAGGACACAGTAATTAAAACAGGTAGGGCTTGGGGACCTTTGGTCGTGAAGGGACAGATTACTGCACACATTGAATGGCTATGGCCATTCACTGTTAATATTGACAAGAAAGCGCACAGTTTGATTAAAAATCTTGTATAGAGCGACTTAAACTTGCAGTTACCCAAATATCACTCTGTATTTAGCGATGTCACACACGAATATCATATTATACCAAACATTTACTCAAAGATCTGCCTAAAAAGCTTAAAACACACTATTACTTCTTGTTCTGTGGCCGCTGTCATGTCGAAGTGACTTCTTGGAAATGCAACTCTTGAGACTATGACTTTACACGTTGAATGACTGTTCAAATGGGATTTCCCACTTGAAAGTCAGAAACCTCCCAGTTCCCTCTTAGTCATGAATGCAGTGTTTTGACTTAAAAAAGGAGACAATGGTAATAATGGTAAAATTATGACCACTTTACATAATTTTACCTTACATATACATAATACATAAACCACACAAACATAAGTGAAAACAGTTCTATTATGCTATTATGGCCTCCTAACACTGGATAGCTAACATAGCCTATGCTGTAATTAACTGTAGCAGCCTCATTAACTGACACAACTGTTAAATGTCTTTGCTAACTTTTGCATGAGACGGAAGTGTGTCTTTTAAAAATGCTTAATGTGCTCACAGGTTCACACTTTGTGTGTTCAGTTTGTTTCATTCTCACAGTTTTTTCAGGAACCATGCATTATTAGCCTTAGCAACAGTATAGTAAAACTAAGGATTTTAGCACAAAATTTGAACCTACTTCTTCAACAGTGCCTTTGGTAACTTTGGTAACAGTGCCTTTGGTTTAAATACATATATGATCCCTAAAAAATGTCTTCCTATTACAAAGTTGTTGGTCAAACTTTTGAGCTCTTGCTCACTAACCTTTATTTTCATGATCTTATGCATGATCACGGGCTGTCCACTAATGACTCACACCTTTATTACTGGACCACGTAGTGACCAGTCCTCTGCCCTATTCAGGTCACGCAATTAATATTTGGCCAATTAAGGCTGTTTGATTGAATTTAACAGGTAATGATGTGGTCATGTCATGCTTTAATCGGTAAGCAGGGGAATATAAAGAGGGTGCTCATGGCTTACGAAGGAGCATTGTCCACTGCTGAACTGTGCTGCCATTTCTTATCATCAGGCTTGACAAAGTAAGTATGATATTTCTATGTGTTGCTTTCTTGTACACAGACTATACAATGTGCTGTACAGACAGAACTTTGCTGACTGTCTAATTTAGTGCAGAACCATGCTTAATCCGTGTCTGGGAAAGATATATGCTTTTAAAAAAGATGGTTCTTCAAGGGTTCTTTAGTAAAGGTAATCGTTCCAAATAGTTCTAAATAGAGTTCTAAACAGAACCATTTCATGACTAAATGGTTCTTTGCATGGTAAAATGGTTCTTCAAATTGATGGAGAATGTGTTGTATATGGTTCTTTATAGAACCTTTTAAAATAGTTCTGTATAGCATCAAAAAGGCTTGGGCTATTGTTACAATGTCAAGCTTGTAACAATAGAAGAACCTTTTTAGGTACTGTATAGAACTATTTTTAAATATATCA